TTAAATTATTGTCAACTATATAGCCAGTTGGTAGCCTCAGGCTCGCTAGTTCGCCACCTCAGGCTCTCCAGTTCGCTGCCTCAGGTTAGCCAGTTCGCGGAGTGGATTTCCGAGTTCCGGTGACCCCTCAGTGGGGGAAAAACGGCCTGGAACAATCTTCTTCTATTCATCCTATTGTTCCTGTTCAATAGGAATTTATTCATTTATTTACTTTCATGTGTTTTTCATATGATCGCGGAAAGCCTCGGAAAATCAATATGGCTATTCAGCTATAAATAAGAGGTCAATTCCTTTTGTTCTTTTAGTTAGTTGAGCAAGCAGTTTCAGTTCAGTTTCAGTTTAATTCATTCAATTTATTCAGTTCAATCAGTTTAATCAGTTACTTATTCAAGAAATTGATTTTATCTATCTTTTACTTTACTTTTACTTTCACTTTACCCCTTACTTAAATTTTGTATGGAATCCCATATAAAGTTTGAGTGAAAAGTAAGGTTTTATTAAAGTGGAAGTGAAGGTATTCAGAATTCTTCTTAATTATATATTATATAATTATTAATATTAGTATAGACTTTTTTAATATGGAATATCTTTATTAATATTAATATCTTATCAGCAGTTTCTATTTTATAATATAAAATTAAAATAAAAAAATTAGTCTCAGCTTATTCTATTTTTCTATACTATTTTTTTTAGTTTATAATTTTTAAATTTAAGCTGTTTTTTTTTAAAAAAATATTAATTAGTAAGATGCTCAGTACTATTATATAAAAAATATTATAAAACTTTTCTAATAGAATTAGAATAATTAATTTTAAAATTAAAAGATTAAGAATTTTTATAAAACCGCAGCTGTTTCTATAATATATCAAATCTATCAGATTCTTATTTATATTTTTACTGCTGTATATATAAATTTTAATAATAAATAATAAAAAATACTATTTTATTTTATTCTTCTAGCAGCTAATATATATATTCTTTAATATAACAGCTGAAATTAGAAAACAGCTTTATAAAATAAATATAATTATATTTTTTATTAATAGTTTTAAAAAAATATTATTTTAAAATATTAAAATAAATATAAAATTTATAAAGATTTTAATTACTTCGTTGCCGAGCTCTTTCTAACTGATTTATTATATTAAATTTAAAAATAACAGTATTTTAAATAAAAAAGAATATCTATTTAAAAAAAAATAGACTATAAATAATTAATATTTTTTTTTAATCTGAAAATAATTTTTTGAAATAATAATACTATTTCTACTAACAGATTGTACTTATATAACTTACAGTCTTAAAAATTTTATAATAATTATTATAAAATTTAAATAATATTCTTTAAAAATTATAATCTAAATTATAAAACTACTTCTAATATTTTTATATATTAAAGAAAAGTTCGAATTGCGGGATATTTTTAATCTTAATATTTATTTTAGATTTATTTAAAAAAGAAGAAGTTTTCTATTGCTAATTTAGTATTAATTTAATATTATTATATTAAATTTTTTATTATAATTCGGCAATTTATTTTTATAACTGCTAATAATTTTATAATTAATTAATAGTATTTCTAACTGCAGTAAGATTTTCTATTAAAAAATCTAATAATAAAAATAATAAACTATTAGTAGTAGAAGAAATTTCCGACTCCGAACCGCTATTTAAATATAATAATTATAGTAATATACTATATTTTATAAGTAACTGAAGAGAAAGAATTAGAATTATAAAAAAAAAAGTTAGTTAGGTATAAAATAATAACAGTCTTATTAATTCTAAAACTAATTCTTACTATTCTAAAAATCTAGTAAAATCCTAGGAGTTAAATATTGAAGAAGATCTGAGTTATTAATATTATAACTGTTGCGCGGAGAATGCGTAGATAGATTGTTGACAATCCGCCATAGTTACAGGGGTTATCTATAATAATAGATATTAAAAAACAATCTTAAAAATCCTACTTTTAGCATCTGAAAATATATGCTGATTTACTATATAGATTTGGATCTAATAAACCTTCATCAGACCAGTCCTTGTGGATTAGAGATGTCGAAACAGGGAAAATATCATATCCATTCCCGTGCGTTGTAGGAGGACTCACTGTCTACTATGGCTAATTATTAAACACGTACTAGGTACCGCACGAAAACGGACGATTGATTGACCCCGTCTGAAACGCAGCAATCTGACGACAAGATGAATTAGTCTCGGGTCATGAAAGCAGTTCCGGCACAGAGGGCAAGCTTACCACCTCAGTCACACTTGCGTACATCCCACAACCAAGGATAGTGACTCCCACCACAAAAACAATCAAGTTCAGGACAGCAGTGCGAAGGTTGTGCTGATCGAACCAGGCCCCTTCTTTGAGCAAGAAGAACCACATCAAGGGCGGGAGGTAAAAGGAAAAGCCTGAGACCAGCAGACAGCCACAAATCGAAAGCAGCTCGGAGAAGAAAGGGATAGCCTCGGCGACAATCCAACCAATGACATTGATGCAGGCCACGATTACGAGCCATGTCACCCATCCCATGGGAGTGTTGATAAACCGTACTGTGGACCCTTGGAAAATACGACCGTGCATAAAACGCGCGGCGATGGTGGCGTTGATGGCGCCTGAGATGTAGATGACAGGCAGGGCAACACCAAAGGCGATCTTAGCAATCAGAGGGCTGGCAGACAGCAGCGCGGGAGACTGGACCCCTTGTCCTACGAATGCGTAGATCACACCCCCTGTGACGGTGTAGATGGTCATTTGTGTGAGGGCTAACGTGGTGATGGACTTGGTAAAGTCTCTCGGGGTGTGCATTTCGTCCATAAAGGTAGGCTGGGCCCCAGCAAAGGCGTAGGCAAAAGCAATGTTGGAAATGGCAACGAATGCCTCGCTGAAAGTCAACTGTTCCTTGGGCCAGGCCGACCACGCGGCTGACGCTACGGTCGTGTCGTGGGAATGTTGAAGTCCGGTGGCGGTCATGACAATCCCAATGGCCACGATGATGGAGACGAAATCGATATATCCCAGAATGGAGATATCTGCAAAGGTAGGGGGCACGGCAAAAACAAAGAGGATAACAGCGGAGACCATACTGAAGACGAGACCGCACATACTACTTCCAGAGATAGTCGCTAGGGCTAGCTTCCCTGTTAAACAGTGCGAGCCGACGGTCATAGTCAAGAGGGCCACAAAAGCGACGGCCAGGACTTTGTCACCAATGCTTCCCAGAAGCAGGCGGCCAAAGTCCACAATATGCGGCAGGTGCGAATACTTCAGCTTGACTAACCCGATAATGTAGCTGGCATAGATGGCGATGACTCCCAATCCGAGAGTCAAGATGACCCCAGCCACCATGCCCAGCGTTTCGAATGCAGCTGGCAGACTCAGGCTACCCAGTGCAATAGATTGTACAATTAGCACGATGGTAAGGCGCTTCCAGCCGAGGCGATGGAAACGCTGTTCATCTTTCATGGCTCGCTCATGATCGTCTTGCAGGGAGCCCTTGTCCATGGCCTCGGCCTCGGCTTCGGCTGGGTCGGCCGCTGTTGTATCGCCCGCTTTTGTTTCGCCATAGATGCTGAGCTCATCGAGGCGAGTTGTGCCGTTTCCCATTTTCAGGAGTTCTGGTGGGAGATGAAATTGACAAAAGAAAAGAAGCCTGACTCGGATCCCGGGGAAGCGAAGAATAGTATAGGGGCGTCCTATTTCACTGTCTCATTACCCCGCACCCGGAAAAGGAACCATGTCTCTTCCGGGTATAAGTCTGCAGGATTGGGATGCAGATAAATGCCTGATGAAACATAATATCGTGTCATTGGTTTTACCAATCCAGTTGGTACCGTATGCTTCGCTGCCCGGGTAGTAGGATCTGCTTTCCTGATTGATCCCCTCTCCGCGCCAAGCTGGCGGGCGGCACCTTAGTCTCGTTATCTGATCATACGTTGCATCTGATTAGATTAGATTCCTGCAGCCATCCACTTTATTTACGAGTATGAATGGACCTGGTTTGCCACCAAGTTGAGTAGCTAGATAAGTTCTAGTCGTATTACCGAGCAAGGGAGAAAGTTTCTTTCCGCTGCCATCTGTCACAGTCAGCGCACTCGGCCGTGATAAATCAGTTACCATCACCGTGACCGGCCTTGTTTGCAAATCTACATCTAGAATACTGGATTATTTTTCATAAGTGTCTCACCATGGGTATAGTATTGCGTTGAGAGAATTGATGGCACTGGCATCTACAACAGATCCATCCGACGGAACTTACGCCGCTCGGACTTCCTCCGAATGCAATTGACCAGCTTGGCAATTCCCAGTTTAGTTTGATGGCCAGGTAAGCCTACCTAGGTCTCACTCGACCCCTCATCAACGGTGGGCCCACATCCTACCTAACAGCCTAACCGAGCTGTTAGTAGCGCCTGTGCGAGACGCTACCAACTAACCTTAACGTAATCGGTAAGCAAGTGGGCACGGCAAGCGAGTGGGTACCCGCGCGCATCATCTTCGCATTTTTAAAATTAAAGCAATTCAACTACTAATAATTCCACCAAATATGCCTCAATCATCAAATCCTTTAATAGAACGAGAGGGCCGTATCTACCTCGCTATTAAAACTATTTAAAATAGTAAAATTCTACTTATTAAAAAAGCTGTAAGTATTTTTAATATTCCGCATTTAATTCTATAACAACGCTTTAAGAAAGTCAAAGTATAATCAGATATATATACTAACTCCATAAAATTAATTTTTTTTAAAAAAGAAGTTTTAAAAAATTAGATTTTCTTATTTATAAAATATAGGCTTCATCCTCAGCCGGCATATATACGGAATATAACAACAATTCTTTTCTAAAAATAAAACTCGAATTTTACAGTCTCTATAAATAAAAAATAGATATATAATTTTATTAAATATACTTCGGCTTTAAAGACTCAGTTCGCTTAAAAATATTATATTTAATATATAAAATATAAAAATTCGAAGCTTTTAACTGAATAGTTTAACCGTATTAAAGCCGCAAAAAAAAGTATAGTATTTTTAATTAAAATATCTGAAATTTTAATAAAACCGGTTTTATTATAAAAATAATAGCTACAGCCCGTATAGTTATATAGTCTGACTATATAAATAAGCTATTTTTTATACAGTCAGAAAATCAAAAATAGATAACTTTAATTAAGTATATCAACACCGCCGGTATAGTATTATTATTGTACTTAATTTTTAAAAAAAAGTTTATATAAAAATATAGTATTAAAATCTTCTTTTTTTTAATTAGTATATCAATCTATTATTAAATAGTTAGATTTTTAATAATATCGGTTTATATTAGCTTTGTAAATACTTTATTTCTTCTATTAAAAACCGGCGGACAGGGCGATATAGCCTCTTAATTTTTAATAAATATAACTTCTATTTAATTACAGAATTTAATAATATATATAATTAAAATAATATTATTTTTATTTACATACTTCTATATTTTTTATATCTTTATTAATTATTTAATATTACTTACTTTATACTGTTAAAAAGAATATACGGAAGTTTAGTAGAATGACTGATCCGCCAGAACATCTACTATATTAATAAAATTAATTTTTTAAATATATATCCAAAAGCATATTTTTTTATTTTTAAAAAATTAACTATTTATAATACTTTTAAGGCTTCAGAATTAGTTTTATTTCAGCCGGACAAGATTTTTAATAATTAATTATACAGATCTGTAAATCTACTCCAATCGGTAGTACTACTACTATATTAATAGTATTAAAAACATCCAAAAATACAAAATAATTATAGAGATATAAAATTATAATTAAAAAGCTTTTTTATAAATGTATAATCAGCCCATCCTTATAAATAAAAGCAGTGTTATTTTATATTATAAAAGAATATAAAATCGTCTTCAACCGGACTGCTTTGCTTAAGTAGAAAAATAATAAATTATAAACTAAATTAAAAAGGTAGAATACTAAAAATAAGAGATCTTATCGTCGAATAGCTGATCTAGACGGCCTTACTATTAATAAAGTTAGAAATATATTTAAAAAAATTTATAAAACTGATTAAATTAGTAAAAGCCAGTTTAAAAAATCAGCTGCTAATAAGAAATAACCTCGCCGCCGGGCACCACCTCGCTGCAGCAATTGTAATACAATTAGATATATAAAAATAAAATATTTAATATGTTAAAACACCAATTAAACACGTTAATTCTTTAATATATAATATATATAAGCTTCATCTTTTTATAGAAGGCTGTTTAGGTGGGCGCGGGTGCCCACTCGCTTGCCGTGCCCACTCGCTTACCGATTATGTTAGCGTGATGTGATGTTCAGTCTTTATGAACACTCCCTATGCATTTAATATCGGTTACAACCTACTTCATAGCAGTGACAACAGTAAGGTCCACTGCTGTTTGCATGGGTTTACAACCCGACAACACCGGGCTATGTGATGCTCTTTTTATGGAGATATCATCGCTGTTGGGGCCGATATAGTGCAGATGACGCGAAGATAGAGCCTCAGTGGCGTCGGATATGGCCGAGGTCTTCGACTGTGTCTGAACTTCGGACAAATTAGATTCTTGGCCCTTTAATTCTGGGCAGAGCTCCGACCCGGTCAGGGGGCTATTCATCCACATTAAGTACCCCTCCACACGGCCCAATCTCTACCGGTCCCTGTCCCTTGAGCTATGTCAGCAGTCTGACATTTTCCTGTCGCAGCCGCTGGGCAGATGTGACACTGCACTATCTGAAATCCTTTGTACTAAGACTCTAGATCCCTGTTGTGTGGCTCGGTTGTATCCTGGCGCGTTATTTCGATGCTCACTGCTACGGCCGTTAGTAGCGAGAGTCCAGGCTGCTCATCATTGCATCCACTTTGGCTCCGTCAGCTCATGTTTCTGGGATGAAAGGATGCTGATCGCCTGTGCCTCAAGAGCAGGGGCGTCAGCAACCCACCCATCCCCAAGCCCAGCCAGTTCGTCCTTTGTGCAGGATGGGAGATAAGACTGCAGTTGACCTGCGCGAAGGACAGCAGCAGCAACCCTCAACAACTGCTCGACGGGCAAGTCCTCGCTTGTGCGAAATCAGCCTTCCTCTACCTCTGTCCCGTTAGTCAGTACAACCGCTGGGGTCTTACGCCTCAACCCGGTTTGTGTCATCGGGGCCCAAGGTCTCTCTAGAACCCAGGCCTAGGATGGTCACCGTATATTCAGCCAGCTACCACGGGCACGTGAGGGATACATGTCTATTGTCTGAGTTCCGACCGTGAAAGACTGCTCCTAAGAGAAATAACAGGCCGCCGCCTGCGCCTCAACGACACTTGCCGACCCAGACTCCGAATCTGACGCTAGACGAACATGACCCAGTGGCAGACGGCGCAGACCGTACGTCCTCTACGAGAGCCCCTACAGCTCGGAGTATATCAGCATCGCCATTCCCTCGGACTCCTGCGGGCTGCGGTATTTCAACTGCAGCCTTGAATCCACGCCTTCGTAACATGTACAGAGCCACAGGAGCGCTGAGCAATCTTCTCATTATGTGACTACAACGAATCAGTCTCGTCAGAACCAACTCGCTGCACAGTTGCAGTTAATAGAAGCTCATCAACCTCGACCTGCTCCGACCCAAGGCTTCTAATATCGATTGTACCCCCAAAGCCAGCCTCGGCTCGTCCACTAATTGAGTCATTATCCCCCAAGCCCAGCACCGCAAGACATCGTCTTCCTAGAACCCCTGGCTTCATGTTCACATGATGCAAGGGAAGAAACCACGCCTTGGCAAGCAGGTCATCTTCTACAAACGCTCTATCCACCTCAGAGACAATCTTCAAGCCATGCTGATCTTGACGGTAATGCCGGAAACAGGCCATCCCCTCTTTCGAAGCTCGGAACAGAGTAATCCTTTTGGTCGGGCTACAGCTGTGGATGCAAACATTGTGCGTTCTCGTATAACTGAGCTTAAGGAGTTCCAGCTCCCGGAGGTTGGGATCGGGAGCGGCGGGTTTCTGCTCCACGCAGAACGCATGCACCGGCAGCATCGCCCCATCAGCCACATCTGTCCATCTAAAGCCCCGTTCCACTCCGGTATATACGTCCTGAATTGACTCGGAGAACGGCAGCGCCAACATCCCCCACGTATATTTGTCAAACAGCGCCTCCAGCAGTCGCTGCTTGACCTTGTCCATGCCAAAGTCCTCAGCATATGTGACCTCAATGTTATCAATACCCAACGCGCCCACAAGCGCCCAGCAAGAGTCCTGGATCTTGCCGAACTTGCGCCCGCGCTTCCCGGCTAAGATGTCCAGGGGACTATTTTGCCAGTAAGCGACGAAGCCTGAGGCTGTGAGTGTCTGCAGAGACCGCCGCAACCACAGCTCCGGTAGCTGTGCGAAAACATGCGGGCGCTTAGGAATCGGCGACCCGACATCCGGCTCATACCCTTGCGATTTGATGAAGTAGGCGATGGCAATCTCCCAGGCTAATCTGGTGATTGGAACAGTAAGATCCGCAACAGTGGCCCGGTCGCTGAGCCAGAAGTGCTTGCCGAAGAGTCGTTGTCCGCATCCGTCGACGAGCTCCGTTTCGTGCAACAGTACGCCTTCCTGCAGGGTCCAACCGGAGCACGTCCAGCGCTCTGTCCCGTGCGCGTGGTTCAGAAGACTCATCAAGCTATTGGTGTGTCTCTCCAGCTCAGCTGGTGTCTGGTTATCGTCTTCCTCTGTGGGCTTGTCGTCCGGTATGCGCAGGTGAAGCAAGTTCTTAATCGCCGAATCCCGCTCCCAGGAGGTCGCGTGAAGCCAGACGATGCTTTTCTTGGCTTTGCCGTAGATATGCCTTAATCTGAATTAGCATATCACGAACCAGCAAGGAAGAGAGGCTTCTAAGTAGGTGGGTAGAAACCAACTTAACTGGGGAAAGTAAACCTACAGCTGCTTTCCAATCTCCTCCCCCTGAACCTTTCCCAAGTCTAATTTTTTATCCCAGGGTCGCATCCGCTCCCCGCTCTGAGGAACACACATCCAGTCCCACCAAATATACCGAGTCCCAATTGTCTCCATCACCTGTCGTGCTTTGGCGAGTGTCCAGCCCTTGACGGCGGGGACGTCCCATAGAAGACCCTGGGGGGGGTCGGAGGCGGGCTTGCCATCATCAACGATGTAGCCCCAGGTATAGGAGACGATACCGTAACCTTCACCATCGAGAATTCTTTGGGGAATATCGGTGTAGGGTACGATTCTCCACTGCTGGAGGTCGAGGAGCCAGCGGGGGTTTTGAGGGTCGTTGGGGGGGACGGATATTCTATTGGCCATTTTGTTGATGGATTGACCAGGCTTGGGGAATGTTAAATATACAATAGAATAGGTTCTTGAGTCGCGGAAGGTAGGAAGCCTCGCAGTTGATGTGAGGTTTTAAACGCCTTCGCGACCAGGTAGTTATCTAAGGAGAAGGTCGGCAAGTGGAAACGTGCCAGTCATTGGGGGTATTCGGCTGGTGGGGCTGAAGAAATTGCGATCTACTCTCCATTCGCCAATAATGTTACCGCACGCCAGTCGCTTACTTCTTCTCGAGTGCGGTCTTTTGAAGGCAGTTGGTCGATCTTGGTTCGGCCTTTGCAATGGGAGTGTCAATCTCGATAATCTGCTGATATATATGATCTTGATAAATCTACCTCTTGGTGATTGGCATTAATGATTATACGGTCGAAATAGAAACTTCTTATCTCCTCTGTACTTAAATACGAAGAAATCCAATAATCTATTATAGTATTTGACTTAGTATAGGCAATGGCAAGTGGAGGCTTTTAGGGAACAATTAAAATGAAAGTCGATCTCTGTCAATACAGTCTCGAAGACAGTACAAATCAATATTGTTTTCTTTTTTTTTTGCGTTTTTCTTCAGAACATCATCGAATAATCAGAATTATGGTTATATATAGTATGTTGGATATAAGCTGACAATTTGACTTTACTTACTTAGGTCTACTCGTATATACTCTACTTCCATACTTCAGGCCCTTCCGACTCGTGAACAAAAAAGCTAATCTTCTGAAGATATCTCTAGCCACCGGTTGTGATAAAAAGACAATCCAAAAGCTTCGGCCCCGTATGCGCTTCTTTGTTGAAATGGGAGATAAAAAACAACGCTTCGCTTTGCTTTAATTACAGTCCAAAAGTTTCTGTACTCCCCACCGAGACGATGTGCCAGTATTCTTGTGATACTCATAACAGCATAAAGCATTCGCTGTGCACTTACACATTATGGCGGGTCCAAGAAATCCGCCGAAATACAAAAGAGCGTACGATTGCATTTTGACTTCTTCTCCTATTAACTCTTTGTATGAAGACATAGGTAAATAGGGTAAATGGCTAGGCATTCCTGGAGCGGGTTCGTCTCCGTGCGACACCACAGTCTCTCAGGTCATCAAATTCCATCGTAATCAACAATACCAGAGATCCCCAGCGTATTCCAGGGAGGGGGATGACCCTTGTGTTCATCAAGTTGAGCCAGACTCGCTTTTAGGGAGGCCTGTTATTGAAAGCACTCGAAGGAAATAAAAGCCAGCGTGGGGTCTTCTAAAATCGAATTAAATATTCCTTGCGCTAGTTACAAACATCTAAATTCTGGGTTACAGGGGATAGAAACGGTGTCTGAAGTAGGTCGCTTGCCGACAGTCGGTCGCGAGGGCTGACTGTAACATAAGGGAAAGGAATGATGCTGCCAGAGTCTCCACATTCTTGGCACTAAATCTATTCGGTAGCCTGCCACTCAGGTATCTCGTATAGTTCTCATCCTCCTGGCGTTGAAACTGAGTCTTTGGTTGATGAGAGAGCAATAGTCATTGTCTATCTCCTCGCGTGTAAGACCAAATCTATCCAGAGGGAACAGAGGCTCATTTGTTGCAAGTTCGAATAGCTTTGAATCATGATTGGAAAGTGAGAATAGTCTTCAACCAAAAGGTTTTAGCATATCAAACAACCTAGAGTCCAAATTTCTACGGCTCTATCTATAATAGTGTCATTGATATGTTGTTGTATCAGCTCAGGTGCACGCAAGGCCAGAGGTGTCACAGGTTGCTGATCGCAGTGTCGGATATATTGAGCTTATATTATACACGAAGTCTCAATAATGCTGACCACACAAAATAGACGAATAAGTATATCTTACTTCCGCCCAGATCACCGATTCTGACCTGGATTGTCGAGAAATCTGCATTATCCAACTGGCCTCGGCGCCTTTGCGTAGGCATTAGATATCTGGGGGCGCTGTCGTCTTCAAGCACACCTGGTAACCATTTGACGGGGCTGAACTAGGGAGGCTATAACAGCTTGCCCATGCTCGTGGACCCCGATCACCGAAAATAGTATGTTTGCGGGTCACAGATCTGCACTTAATGATTAGACAGCGGCTTGCACCATCTGAGAGCTCCGACATACCACAGTGAGTGATGCCTGACTGATGAAGGAAGTCAGGGCCCAGCAAAATTTGATGAGACTTTAATTGCAGTGTTTGACAAAGGATGCTGTGCAGAGACAGACATACACGCACTCCAAGGCTTTACTGCAGGTGTAATGCTAGGAATTTTCGCTCTATATCTTCCGGGTTCAGACGACACCCGAACTGCTAAACGTGGGATTTCTACTAGGTAGGCTTATCAGCTTGCCTAATCTTGTCGGCTTCTATGTTAGTGCATGGGCGCAATCCCAGCCTTGTGGAATAGTTTGAAATCCATCACCCGGACCTTTCTCCCTTGGTATGATGATCATCTCATACCTCCATACCACTGTCTGTCCAGATATGACATCATAACCAACGTGCTAAGCCGTAGGGAGACATCGCCATACCGGAGACTACGCACTGTAGCCGGCCTTTCTCAGTCGATGTTCCGGTAATAAACTAAGTCCACTGCTATCTCCATCGAATCGAGCCCGAGTGAGCTGAGGGGCGGAGTTAACGCGGACTTAAGCCTCGGCACACTGGACTCCAGGCTGACTTATACAATAGCTTGTTAAGACTAAGATTACAGTATCTCAGATGTGCAATACTTAATGTGTGTATTTCCTATGGACTTGCTTTCTCGAAATCATCGATGACTATTGCCCACCTACAACAATTGCATTATTCCCATTGAGATACCACTTCCTCGAACGGTCAACACCACGACAGTTTACCACAAGTTATCACCGAACCCTTCACTATAAATCGAAGATGACGACCGACATCCCCAACATCCCCACAGCCCTTCCTAGGATTCCTTCTCAGACCAAAGACGCCATCGTCGACCCCATTTACCGCGCCCTCCTCTCAATCGACACCGCCAATCCTGCCCTCTTCGCCTCTGCCATCCACGAAGCCGCCCGCTTCAGCCTGAACGGCCGCCTTCTCGAGGGCGCCGACGCTATCAAGACACACGTGTACGATACGGTGTCCAGGATAGACACCACCCACCACCTGTCCAACCTCCGCATCACCGAGTTCGATGAAGTGACAGGGACAGCTAGCTTGGTCGCTACCGTTCTGGCACAGCACTATCGACAGGGAGAGGGACTCGATGCTTCTTCCAAGGGGCTTTTGGCGGGAGGGTTCTATTTTGTCGATGTGGTCAGGGAAGAGGGAGATGCCGAGGTGTGGAGGGTCAAGGAGTGGACCTTGAGGGTTCTTTGGAGGGAGGGCGATGAGGGAGTAATGGCAAGTGTCAACGAGAACGGTGAGAAGAAGGAAGAGTAGCGAGGGAGGTTGTATATGGAACGGCAGTGATTAGTATCTTATGAGAGGCATGCATGATGGATCACTATGGTATTACAAGCCCATTATAGCGGTGACCAATGGATGTTTAGCATGAAGAAGCGCTGAACGAGAGTGAGTAATAAGCAGTTGCACGTAGCTTGGACATTCTATGCAAGGAATCTAGCTCATCAGATTCGTGCAGCTGAGATGGGCAATGGTTATTGATCAAGCGTGGCTCAATGTCAGTAGAACCTTCATACTGCGGTGTGTCGAAGCCGCCCGAAATACCTCATATGCTTGCTCGATTTCGTCGAGTGCAAATGCTACAGTTGTCAGCTTTGAGCAAACTCAGAAGAAAAATCTCTGACGGGCAGGAAGCTCACTGTGGGAGAGGAATGCGTCCGGAGTCAGTATTCCAGCCTGGACCATCTTAAGTAATTCGGGCGTGGTACTCGTGTCCACGAGGCTGGTTCGTAAGCCTACATCCATTGTTAGTCCACACTTTCCCCCGTGGAGTACTTGGAGTGACTGACAAATATTGCGATGCCACAAGTGCTCCAGATGGAAGGCACAACTGCTGCCATGCACTCCAAGCGACGCAATAGTGCCACCCGGTGCGACCAGATACTGCGAGAGATCAAATGTCTCTTTGGCTCCAGCGGCTTCGATCACTACATCGAACAACTCTCCATCCGTCAACCTCCGGCAGGCCTCGAGGGCCTTTTCCCGACCGTCCAGGGTGGTGAGGACATGATCGGCGCCCAGTTCTTTCGCCCGCTCCAGTCGATACTCGCCCCTACTAATGATGACCACCTGCCGAGGCAGCCCATAGCCTCGTTTTAGGATCATCAGTGCCGTCAGCGCAATGGGTCCTGCGCCAAGAATGGCGACTCGTGCGCCCGGCTTGATGTCGCCGTTCATTATACCGCATTCAAATGCAGTAGGAAACACATCCGACAACATCACGTATGCCTTGGGATCGATATCCTGAGGAAGCTGGTGGAGAGAGAAAGCGGCATGCGGAATCCGGACGTATTCTGCCTGCGTACCATCGATCTGGTTGCCCAAAACCCACCCCCCAGACGTGCATTGGGAGGACATCCCCTTTCGACAGAACCGACAGTGGCCGCAAGAGGTAATACAGGAGATCAGGACAGTCTGACCGACTCGGAGGTTGGTCACGCTTGGTCCGACCGAGTCGACAATTCCGACGCCCTCATGGCCTAGGATACAGCCTGGTTTGCATGGGATGTCATTTTGGAGGAGGTGGAGATCTGTGCCGCAAATGGTGGTATAAGTAACCTTCACAATGGCATCTGTGGGCTCTTCAATTGAAGGCTTTGGACGCTCTTCAATGGCGAGACGGTGAGGACCATTGTAAACAACCGCTTTCATAGTGAGGATGGACCCCATGGTGCGAGGCAGTTCTTTGGGATGTGATGTTCAGTTTACGTTCCCCCACTTCCCTCTGCAATGCACCCTTTATATATTTCGAGGGTCAGTGTTTGCGTTGCATTGCTTTGGTACTTTCAGCACTTTTCGCTCATGCAGCATGCGGGGTTGTCATGTATCAAATGACCAATTATAGTCTTCATCAGGGTCGGCTTGAACTGCTGGGTGAAGGTAGCGAGCTGCATGGCGCTGAGCTGCTGCAGTTACTTAGCTTAATCAAGCTACGCGTATCTGCGCGGTGTCGTATTCCGCGGAGAAGACAGATCCGTGTGGCAGATGTCTCGGAGACGCCGGGGACTTTTTCACTAGACGCTATCCTCGATAACCTGCTACGAATAAGAAGTGGAGATAGGGGCTTGGATGGAAGTCTCTCTTAGTAGTATCTGGCATTCATTTGGTTGCTCGAGTACATGATTTCGATTGCATTCTGTCGGAGAAAGCGGTGGGCGGTACGTAGCGGCAATATATCCCGCCTTTCCGTTGCGACGATACATGAAAACAATCTACAAGACTCTACCTCAAACGGCTTCAGACTTCCTTCGTCTCGACTCCCGCCCCCTCTCCGACCAGGGAAAATGCCAGACGGGGATGATGAAAAAGCTGTTGCTCGTGTCGGCAATTCCCGCTAGACAGCCATACCACGCCAAGAACGCCCCGAGTAGGGCGAACAATCCCCCCGCCTTGAGCAGAGGCGTGTAGGGTGCGCCGTCGGGGCGATACAGGTAGCCGACCGCCAGGAGGAGCACGGCAAGGTCGACGGAGGCAAACAGGGAGAAGAATATGACCGTTGACTTGACCGTGCATGTCACGAGTAGGAAGGTGAAAATAAACCAGCCCTAGTGTCAGTAAAGTCAGCAAGCCAGACGCTCACAGAGAACGGAGACACAAACCATCAAATACAGCCCGAACGAGTCATAGAACATGCCCACAGACCCGTCGTCCGCGGCCTTGAGCTGGCTTTCGATGTCGAATCCCCCCGGGGTGAAGATCATGGCCAAAGAGATCCAAAACCCTCCGTATGAGGAGAGGGCTGTAGCACCAAAGGTATTGCCGGCGGCCATTTCCCTGGTATCTGATAATTAGCGTGGAGTTCAGCACGCAGAGCAGATGGATGGACGTAGACCTACCACATTCCCGCGAGAAGTTGCACCAGGCCGCCATAAGCAAAAGCCAGCGGGACTACCATGTTGGGTTGAGTGATTCCCCGTGTCTGCATGTTGATACATCCCAGGACGAAGGTGGTCAGGGCAAAGCCAGCCAGTCCTAGCGGGGCGGGATTCGTGATCTTGCGCGCTTTGACTGGCTTATACAGTCCAGGCTGTAACTCGCCTGCGAATGCGGGGAGGTATGTGCCCGCGGTGGGGACATGAGCTAACGGTCCGTACTCAGCTAATTGCTTGTCGAATTCGTGGGAGGCAGTGGTGTGAGTATCGACTCTTTGGGGCACCTCGATGTCACTAGTTGGAGTATCAGGCATGATGTTCGACTTATGCGATGAAAGGCTTTGGAGACCGCAAGGTATTCCCCCAAGGTGAGGACTTGCTACTCTTATACTTGGAAGTGAACACCAAGGTTTGAGTTCGTTTCATTCTCGCTAAGGGATCCAGATCTCTCAGACTGGGCACCTCCTTTCACCTCGTGGTCGTCATGCGGGGAAAAGCTAGCTTGCACCGTGTTCTCAAATATGAGCACTCATCCATCCAGATTCTTCGGGCGGACGGGGCCTCAATTGGATCCGTCCATCAGTTGTGGGCCCTGATCTACAACTTAACTTATCGTTCGAGCGGTACCTATCTGGGGAAAAGGGACTATCTCCCCGCGCTAGGGGTTGTTAGAGTGGATCAACATCTCCTTTCGCCTAGACAGGTTGGTCGATTGGGAATGATATACGTGCAGAAAGGAAAGGCAGATCCGGAAGTCTAATTGGGATTGCAGCGAATCCAATTCGTGCTATGGTTGGAGCCTACATCGAACAAAGTCTCTCGAGTTTGCCCCTGACTTCCTGACTCCGGGCGAACGGCAGCCTTCTCCAAGACTGTCATTTAGAGAGCAGGAAGGAGGGGGGGGGGGGGGGCGGCACGTGAGTGTACGGGACTCAACAGCCCAGTAGAATGTCCCAACAGTGGTGGTCTGTCTTCTTACATCGATGTGTGACAGCTGGTGGCAAGCACTGTCGAACCCTCGAGTCGCATTGCCCAGCGGCATCTCGGCATTTCCCCCAGCCGCCAGTTCAGGCTCAGGGCTCAGGGCTCAGGGCAAGGGCTTGTCATCACATGCTAGTCCATGGTTTGATCGGCGGTGCAGCTCCTTTTATTCATAGCATCTAGTTACTCCCAGCTTCATATCTTTTATGGTGACGATTATCAGATAATTTTACACTCCAAGGCTTCGGCAGTCTAGATAGCACGACCCATAATATCATATCCACCAATCCCCGCGTTAACAGAAATTGTTCCATGTCTATCTCGCAGAGAATCGCTTAGCAGAACAACCGGTCAAGACGGGTAAGAACCTCGTAGAATATAACCTCGTCGACGCACAGATTCCCCAAACTCTTACTTGTAGGTAGTCAGATCCAACCCCTGCATTTCAGAGCTAAGGGCCTCCACCTCCTGCACAATCTTCGGGATCGCGTCACATTTGTCATGGTCAAGATAGCTCAGGAGATTGCAGCGCGAGGATGGCTTGGGAAAGGCCTTGACGTGAGTGATGAGGGACTCGAAGCTCCAACCGGCGAACGGAGTGGTGGGAGGATTATGCAGGTTGGCTCCGAAGAGGCTTTGTTCGAGGGCCCCCAGATCGACGCAGCGACATTCGAAAGTGCAGCCGAACAAGCCCTGACGCAGCCCGTCTCTCCATCGGGCGATGAGGTTAAGCACACCGGCGATGGACTTCTCTCGGTGGGTATTGATTGCGTCTGTTGTGGTATACGTCGCATGTCAGTATTGGTGTTGTTGCGTCAAACAGGTATGCCATAAATAGCTCGCTTACCCACGATACTCGCTTTCACCGGGAATTCACTCGACTCCATATGTTGATCTCCATGTCGGATTTCCAGGAGGGTGACCTGGTCAAAAACCCGGCTCATTTCAAAGAAGTACGACACCCAGATCCACTCGAGGGTCTCGGTCGCATTGTAGCCGGTAGGGATTTGGGTCTCGAGATGCGACTTCCAGAGGCGGAGGTGCACCTGGACAGCCTCCTGACAGGCGTAGTAGTCGACCAGCACGGCGATGCGAGCACACAGCGATAAGGAAACGAGGTGGGGCACTCGGTTGTTGCGCCCGTGGATGATGCGCAACAGAATCAGCAACGCCTCCAAGTCCCAGCCTTCCACCGTGATTTCCACCTTTCCGCTGCGCTGTAGATCATGGGCCTCAGTGAAGCTGCTGGTCAGCTGCCGGTCGAACACGGGCGAGGCGAGCTGGAGGTGCTTAGCAGAGACTTGGATGCGCGCTTCGATGTTCTTGAGGGACTGGTCGGGATTCGCGGTCGATGAAGGTAGTTCGGGAGAGGCATTGTCAGGAGCAGGGAATGAAGTCAGATTTGCGTGGAGGACGAGCGTGACTTCGCCGGTCGCATCGATGATGTAGTTGGCGATGATGGCCATGGCTGGTGGTCTCGAGAGGACAATCACAAGGATGAGTGGTGGATGGGTAATGGGGTGGAGAAAAGATGAAAAGAGAGAAAGGATGAAGAAGAAGAAGAAGAAGAAGAAGGAGAAGAAGAGGGGAAAAGATACAAAAGAAGGCAAATCGTGTTACTACCTGGGCACTGCTTTGTGGAGCAGAAAAGTGAGGTATTCACCCACCAGGCTCCGCTATAGTTCTCTGGTGAATGAGTACTAGGCTACTGCTTACCATGTTGGTTATTCTGGGCATCTATTTTTATGCCTTTGATCCATGTCTTTGGTACCTGATCTAAACAACATGATTCGCTAAGTATACTTCTTGACTAAGTGATGTAAATAGAGCGACTGGAGTAGTGAGACCAGATGTTGATGCGTGCACGTGATCTCTGGATCCCTTACTTCTTATCTTATCCTCAACCTGGCCTGCTCATCATGAAAATCACCCCCGGATGTCGCCATTCGCACCAACTAAGACAATCGGGCCGGAGGTCCAATCACAGGCCTAGGATTAATTAATTCCGGCCACATCCCAGAGATAGTAAGTCGGCCCTGGCTCGCCTGGCCGCGCAATGCCCCCCTTCAGCTGCAGCTCGATTGCACCCCTCCTTCTTCTTCTCACCTCGCTTCTTGCCCTCGCCCTCGCCCTAGAAGCGCAAAATGAGTGCGACTGAGATCTACCCGGCGAAAGGCCCAGATATCTCCTTTCAACCACCAACGGAGGAAACGAGCAAGGTGGGCGACAGAGAGCGCATTGTTCAGGATGAAGAGGCGCAAAATCTCCGCCGCGGGTTGGAACAACGGCATACGCAGATGATTGCCATTGCGGGTGCCATTGTAAGTGCTACTCTATCTTCCTTGCAGAGCTCCTGCAGGCAGAACCTAGAAAAGACCCTTCTTAACTTCAAATCGATAGGGAACTGGGCTCTTTCTTGGACTGGGCAGCTCAATTGCCTCTGGAGGACCACTGGGTGCGCTGCTAGGGTACATGCTGGTTGGTGCAATTGTCTGTGCGATCCAGATTGCACTTGGAGAGGTGTCGGCCTTGATGCCCGTGACCGGATCATTTGTGCGACATGTTGAACTCTTGGTGGACCCCGGTCTGGGGTTTGCGATCGGGTGGAATGTGGTCTATGGCTGCTTCATGTCTGTGCCCAGTGAGATCTCGGCCGCCGTCGTGCTGATCCAGTACTGGACGGAGCTGAACACAGCCGTCTGGGTGACCATCCTGATCATTCTATCTGCCGTGGTAGCCCTGCTCTTCATCCGTGTCTACGGTGAGCTCGAGTTCTGCTTCGCGATTCTTAAAATCCTCCTCATCATCGGCATCGTCATCATGGGGCTAGTCATCGACCTAGGTGGCGTGGCTGGCACCCCTCGTTTGGGATTTCATTACTGGAAAGATCCCGGTCCCTTCTCCGAATACATTGCCTCTGGGACATGGGGCCGCTTTCTGGGCTTCTGGGCGGTTCTGACGACAGCCGTGTACAGCTTCTCCGGGGTGGAAAGTCTGACAATGGCCGCTGCCGAAATGCAAAACCCGCGGCGCAACATTCCACGGGCCTGCAAGCGCGTCTTCGCCCGCGTCACTATCTTCTACATCATCGCGGTCCTGATCGTGGGCATGCTGGTCCCCAGCACCGACCCGCGCCTGAACGATTACTCTGGTACAGCAGCCACCAGCCCTTTCGTCATTGCTGCAGCCGACGCTGGCATCAAGGTTGTACCATCGATCATCAACGCGGTCGTCCTCACCTCTGCCTGGTCCTCGTCAAACCAGAGCATTCTGTCGGGCACGCGTACACTATATGGCCTCGCGTTGAAGGGCCACGCGCCCAAGGTCTTCCTTCGGACGACGCGTCACGGCGTACCATACATGTGCGCCGCGCTGCAGATCGCCGTCTCGTGTCTGGCGTACTTGAGCTGCTCCAACGGCGCATATACTGTCTTCAACTGGTTGTTAGACCTTACGTCGGCGGGAGTATTGGTCTCGTGGATTACCATCGCGTTGAACCACATCCGTTTGATCCAGGGATGTCGAGCACAGGGGATTGCGACCGAGGCGCTACCGTGGCATAACTGGTGGTCGTGTAAGTGACGCGTTCAATAATGAGTATGGTTGTGGTTGTAGCTGACCTGCTCTGAAACATGACAGACTATAGCTCGTGGTTTGCCCTCGTGTCGTGCATCATCATTCTCTTCACCGGTGGGTTCACCGTGTTCACCAAGGGGAATTGGGATCCCGCATCGTTCGTGTCTTCTTATTTGTGAGTGTCTTGCTTGATCGAGTATGCCTATTACGCTAACAGTAGCAGGGATATCCCCCTTGTGTTGGCATTCTACCTTGGATACAAGTTTTGGAAGAAGACGAGACTGGTCCCCGTACAAGAGATTCCCCTTCAACAAGCGCTCCAGGAAGTGCGAGATGATGTAGAGGATGAGCCTGTGCAGACGAGCAAATGGTCCAAGTTGAATATCCTCTGGGGATAGAGGAGGTATGATTGATCACCTCGAGCTGTCCAGTCAGTCTTCCGTTGTATGTATGGTCTGGTCTAAGTCCATACCGTGGATGGACAGCAGTTCAAAGTAGCCGCTGGAGCTGACGTCGGGAGTAACAATGGCATTGTCATTTCTTTGTGCGTCGTGGTGTTGGATGAAATGATGTTCCCGCAATGCTTTGTGCGCCTTAATTATGTGCCAATGCTCCGAGCAAAGCGCCTTTACTCTGATCACATCTCAATGGATGGAGCACGGACAAACTATACAAAGATGGAAGGGGAGATCCACAGCATCTGACTCCTCTCGGTGCAAGGATAAAGCAGCACACGATCACAAGCTCCTGTCTGAAATAAGAGGAGGAAGAAGTGGCCCATCAGCGTTGGTTTCCAGCAATCAATCAAGACTCTCCCTTAGCGATGCACAAACAGACTATATAAGTCCCTCTAAGCACCAGCCACGTATGTCATCTCACTTTTGTGCCAGCATCATCGACTTCGACCGACTCGGTTCGTCCGGCTTTCTCGCGTTGACACGAATACGCTACCCCGAAAAACCGTTAATCAGTTACATCACAATGGCGTCCAACGTCCTATCCATGCCTGATGAAATCCTAGCCTGGCACATGCGGCTGCTGCATTGGTTCCCGAAAGAAGAAGGGTACGAGGTCAGCGGCGTCTTGAGCAGCGACGGACTCGGCGTAGCCTTCCATTCGATCACGGTCCACCTGCAGATCCCCGAGAAGGACATCGACCACAAGTTCCTGGCCCTCGTGCTGGGCGAGTGTGGCTGGGACGCCGACCATATGGACCACGACAACACGGTGCTGGACGATCGGATCAATTACCACTCCGACCACATGCTCGCCACACTTCCCCACGGCAGTCCCTTCGCCTGTGGGGTGGTTTGGCATAACGCTATCACTCTTCTCCGGTATAAGCCGGAGAAGCACAAGTACGCTCGGTGCACGGCCCACGGCCAGAATATTCTGGATGTGAAGTATGAAGCCGCAACCATTGACAGTTGGTTCCGCCGGCTGAAGAAGAAATGGAGGCCCGAGACCATCCCCTAAGGTAGAAGCGGATTCGACACCTCGCAACTTCGCGCGACGTCTTATTCCCCAGATTACTATTAGATATGAGTATCCCGAATGACACGAGAACGCGCAGGATAATTGTTGGCGCAGAGAAAATCAAAACCCCACCAAAGTGGATGATTGTGTCGCTCTACGTAGACAGCAGTTAATGTTTTGTAATGAACAGCTGTCATCATAGCTAGTAAATCTGACCATTGTAGAATACTGCCTTGGTTTATGAGTGTGGCTGTATTGGCTCACACATTGCGTAGGAGCCGAGGGTAGCTGAATCCTCGGATGATTGTCGCATAAATCCACGGCTGATATTGTGTGACGACCTCAGAAGATGGCATAACAGAACGTCATGCTAAGCCTACCTTCAGACAAGCCCAACTTCCGGCAAGCATTAGACTCAAGAAGGGCCAAAGGCCATCACCAGTGATTAGAATTGACTCGACCCAAAATCAGTGTTCGGATCGGTCGGTATCTCCCCAAAAGATTGGCCATCACCAAGAAGCATCAGATTGTCCCAGTAGCGGTCGAAGAAATCCGCAGCGTCGGTAGGAGCATTGAATTGAGCATGTTGAGCCCCGACGCTCTGTCCCAAATAGAACGTGGCATCCATCAGGTTGACATCGAATGGGGTACCCTGAGGACTCTGACTCTGGCTCGGTGGCGAAGAGAGGTGAGGAGGCATGAGTTCGAGTTCAGCAAAGGCGTTGGTCACTCCATAATCCACGGGGGCCAGCGAAGGTGCATCTATGCCAGGTGTTGCGCCGTGCTGTAGGTGGGTGTTGGCCACATTCAGCATGATCCGCAAGGCTTCTGCAGTTTTCAATGCCTCCTTGGATTGATGGCGAAGGCGGTTCCAAATATTGTAGGAACGCTCGAGCTCATGGGAAAGTGCTTGTCGTTCTACCAATATGGCCTGCCTTGCATCGGGTGACAGGCTCTGCTGGAGGTCATGTCTCGATTGGCAGGAGATCTCTAGTGAGACAATCATTGCCGCTGTGCGGAAATGCATAATCACACATGACGAGAAGAAGAAGGAGGCGTAGTTTAATTGCCCACCCGGTGAACTCTCGTTGAAAATATCGGACTGATGCTGCAGGACCCTTCTGGCCGCATCCAAGCACTCCCGGCGCGAATATGCGTATTTGGGATTTAGGCGATGCTGGGTAAGATATCGGCGATGAAGGTCTGAGCGAGCCTTCTGATACATGAGATCAATATTATACCGGTCCATAATCGTAGTGGGAGGGTCTGCGATAGACTCGCTCGGCGGGCGAAACCGCAAAGGTGGTGGGATATTGGCGTGGAGACCTCGCAGCTTTGCATCCAGCTCAAGCACCTCCTGGTAGGGGACTCCTTTGACCGAGCAAACTTTGCGGGCAATGTCGGCTCCCGCAAACATCACCCGATTGAGAGCGACCGGGAAGAGAATCAGAGTTTTCTCGGTCGGAGGCCTGGAAGCAGGTAAGGTCGTGGCCGAAGGATCCAGATCGTCATCTGTCAAGTTTCTCGGCTCCAGAGTATCGGATTGCGCCTGCGCGGTGGTGGGGGGAAGGCCAGCCTGACACGAGATGTAGTGGTCTAGGAGACAGAGATACATCCAAACCCGACGTCGCATCTCGCCGTCAAACACCGAGATCTCGCGATAATGTTCAGGATCGCGATGGTAGCCGCTATGAATAGCCAAGCGAGTGGCCAACCCCAGCAGGATGGATGGCCCGACGTGGGTGTCGGTGCTTCTGAGAATCTCACAACAGATGCTCAAAATGAGAGTCTCCAATTTGTATCGTCCCGGTCTCGTATACTCCGCCATGGTGAGACATTGCGACGCCAAGCGGAAATACTCATCGAATGCTTCTGCAAAATGACCCTCCGCCCTGCCAGCCGTGGTGAACAGGTGCAGTCCGGCGGCCGCACTGAGGATAGTGTAGAGATAGGCTAGCCAACTAATGGATGCGCTCTGGGGGTTCTTCCAGAAAGCAGTATACTACGCCGCGGATTAGGATGCATGAGTCGGAATGGGGAACAGTCTTCAGTGGGCTTACCTCTCGGGTGAATGTTGGAGTATGTATAAGCACTTAGACGCGTTAGGATATATCCGACAATACGGTTCGGAATGATACTCACCCAGAGGGGACTCTTTCGAATTCAAATAGGCCGATACCAACCTATCTGCCATGGATCGAACGGGCAAAGCGGCAAGGAGCTCCGAGATAGTTGAGGGAATGGAGTTTCCGAATAGCAGTACAGGGCCCGAAACATCCGGGACTACATCCTCCTCTTCCACCTCCTCGGGAGAAGTATTCTCGTGCATCTGAAGGAACTCCTTGACCTCGGCAATCTGGCAAGGGATCAGTCAATATGAGGAGATCCGTAAAATGGTCAGTGATCCCCTGCTTACCTCGTCCAGCACAGCTTGCCAATGTGTTGGATTATGGTAGCTTGTACCATCGTGTTCAATTGAGATAGTGCCTGGGAACTCCGCCTGCGGTTCGGAAATCGGTTCCGCTGTATGAGTCAGGGACTGAGGCTCTGCTGGCAGCAAGCCTGGGGTCCAAGCAATGTCTGCACGGAACTGTTGTGGTGGTTGTGGTGGTTGTGGTGGTTGTTGTGCCGGAGGCAAGGGATTCCCATTCGACAACTGCTGCACACGGGCCTCAAGTTTGTGGATGTAGTACTGGATGTCATGAGAATCCCCGGTCGAGACTCCCTGGGGACCCACAAAGTGGCACATCTCAGCCCGGCGATGTTTGATGCAGTTGTCACACGGGTGGATGCGATTACATTTCAACCTGGGATCGGGAGAGTCAGAGAGTCAGAGAGGGAGGAGGGTCCAGTGGGGAAGCCGATGGGGCAGCAGGGCTGGAGCTGGGACTAGCACACTTTTTCCGACGGCAAGGAACACAGGAGAGTTTGGGTCTCGGCTTTCTTTTTTTCGCCGACGGGGGGTGGAGGGGAGGATTATCTCCATTGCCGAGTATAGCGTCCATGGTGTATCTACAGTACAGTACAGTGTAGTGTACGTAGCCACCTTGAAGGCAATGAGGGGAATGAATACCTCGAGGAATAAGTCCGTGTACGACGCGCTAAGACGCGGGGATATTTTGGCGAACAGCGGCTGACTCAGCCACTTATCCACGGCGCCATCCGCGGAACCTAACCCCCTTCAGTCTAGCTCCGGACATTTTGGCGATTAGTGCCGGATTTACCTCAGTCGGTCCCGTTTGTCCACTTTATTGTCCATTTTATTGTCCACTTTGTCCTCCACCTTCATCATCGTCATTCCATTGAATGCCCTCCAGACAGACAGTCCCTCCCCTCCCTCATATACCCTATCCTTATTTATAACTAGTCCTTCCGGATCGTTGCTCATCATGACTCTCAAGGAACCCGAATCATCGAATCTCTTCTACCTCGCCCATCTTGCACATCTTGCACATCTTGCAGCCATCGGTTGAGACATGACCCTGCTTCCATCCTCTATCTCTCGATCGCTCCCGTACAGCCCCATGGCCTCATACTCGGAGTTTCTGCCGTGGGATCCAGAGATGGTCGATGTCTTGGACATTGATCCCATGTTACTGCCACCCTCTTGTTATGCGGATCTCGACTCGATCCCTACTGTCTCCCTCATGCCACATCTTTTTTCTGAAGGACAAATCCCGAACACCAGAACGATCGACGCCACGCTGAGTCGATCGGCCTCCCCGATGAGCCACAACTCCTTCCTGTCGCCTGAATCCTGTCCCATCCACGACCTTGGCCATCGCTCGCCCCTGCCTCAGACCTCCGTTCCGGCAGCCACAGCCGCACCCTCTCAATCGACGACCACCACAACCCCTCGACGAGGGACCAAGAGAGCACGGTCGCATTCATTCACAGAAGAGTCCACGGGGAGCGACAATCTCTCGTTCCAAGACTCGGATTCGGAGCGCATCCAGGAGAAACGGCGGCGCAATAAGATGGCTTCGCGGAGGTTACGCCAGCGACAACTCGAGCATGTCTCCGATCTGGAGTCCCGGCTGGGTCGAGTGACTCGCGAGCGTGACGATCTGCGGTTACAGCTCGCCAAATGGGAAGCGGAAGTCATGGTGCTGAGGAAACTCGTCGGACAGAAGATGGACTGATGGCGTTGGGAACTGGCTTGATGATTTTTACGGCTTAGTGGAGCGTCTCCGCGACCATTCTTTTCTGAATCTTCTATATACCCAGGATCATAGAGTCATCATATTCATTTTTTATTTGCCGTGTTTTCTGGCCCTTGGCTAGCAGCAAGTAACTGTGCGACTTGATCACGTGTAGATCACTCGTAGATCACGTGTCGTACTGTCCGCGTCGCGGTCTCGATGAGCTCACCGGAGTAGGAGATAAGCCAGCCAGCCTCACCTTTCAATTCTTCATACTATGTCTATAGACCTATAATGCTCCTGATATTCAGTCTTCTACATCGCAAGAGGGTCTATGCTATGTACCTACACTCTCCGTGTTTCTGGCTTTTTATGTCTTTCTCCTTCGAATATCCATGCTCTGCTGGCTTATCGACCGGCCAGCGAATATATATCTCCACCCATCCGGGCTACATTCCTGGTGTGCCGCAAAACTCACCAACGACTATCGTCCATCGTCACTCCCGAGAGACGAACTTCGTGCTATAGTGAACTAAGAAGGTGATTTCACGAATGTATATTAGCTACTCTGTAGCAAGCCATCACAAACAAACGCCAACATGCCAAGACGCCACCGCAATCCATTTCAAGCCCTTTTTGCATGATGTTATTGACCGAGATTCAATCCCAGATCCAGCCCCAGGTCCATGCCGAGGTTTAGTTGTAATTCTGTCTCCGCCGCATCGTTGGCCTGCTTGAGGGCAATCTGACGCTCCTGCTCATCGGGCGGAAGGGCAGCAAAGGCGGCGGTGTTCTCGTCCCATGCGCGCACACACTCCTTGTTCCAGTTGCACTTCTCGACCTCCCCGTACACCGGATGGCTGAAGCGCGGGTGGTTCGAGGGCCAGTTGGAGGCATGGTAATGATGTTTGACAAGGGCTGTTCGAGCGTTGTGGTTGCCCGAGTCGGAGTGGCCCTGGCCGGCGGCGAAGGCCTCGACGGTCAAGACCAGAATTCCCCCCACGAGCTTGGATTCGGGAATATTGTGGAAAGTGTTCCAGCTCACTTCGTGGCCTAGTCGGATGCTCATCTCTGCCAGCACGGCGGAGGTGAATGCGGAGGGTCCCGTGCCGCTGATCACGTCGTCAAAGTCCAGCTCCAGCTCGCCGATGGGCTTGCCTTGCTGAACCGACAGCTCATGTAACCAAGCCAGAATGTTGTCCACCAGCCGCATCATCACCGGGTGGCGGGGCTTGCTCATGAAAGTCCATTGGCAGAAGGACTGCGATTTCTGGCCCAAGATTGCATGGTCGTTGAACTCGGGCTCGTCGATCTCCACCCCAATGACCAGATCCATCTCGTCCTCAGTAAATCGCTCGGGGATAAATCGGTCCAGCGGGCGGAGAGCTTCCACGTCAATGTCAGCCCAGATTCCTCCATCAACATACATTATCAAGTATCGCAGAAGATCGGCCTTGATGATGCGCGCGTTCAGCGACCGGTAGACTTCGACAATGTCCGGTCGGTTCAACCCCTCCGGCCCATAATGGGTCTCGACATAGTAGAGGTCATTCTCGTCGGTCAGTACCTCGTACCGATGGCGGGGATTCTTCTCCGGCCAGCTTCGAGCAACCAGAAGATCTCGCGGCTCGAAAGCCAGAGGATTGACTTTCCATGATTGCCAGATCTTCCGGGGAAACTGCTTATAGCGCGCGGTGGGCCCGGAGAGGCTGCCATTGACCCCGCCAAAGGTCCCGGTGAGGGAGAGGTAGAAGACCAGCACGAAGGCCGAGAAGAAAAGAGGGGCTACTCGACGGAGGTGGCGTGGTAGGAAGACGCCAGACAAAGGGGTGTTTGCCTGCATTCTGTCGAGCGAGACGAGCAGAGATACAGGCAACAAAGAGAAGTGAATGAAAAGTGGTGGTGCTCGGGGGGGGCAGAAAGGGCGTGGGCTGATGGTCTGGACGTTTATGAGGGAAATCCGCACGGTGACGAGAATGCTTCATATGCGTCAATTGCAGTCGCTAAGCTCTCTTAGCTGCGCTAGGGTTCTCAATGGGACCCAACTGAGCCGGCCATGGAGCTAATCGATTGGCGTAGCACATATGGACCCAGGATGATCGTACTCAAACCATTCGGAGGTTCCTGGGGGGAAAAGCCTCGGGTGGCGCACTGACGGCGGCCTGAAAGGGGAAATGGCTCCGAGACATGTGTTTCTCACACGACCAGGACAGATGGTCAGCGAGGAGACTAACCTTGGAAGACCCTCAACCTGTTCACTCCCCCGGTCGATCGCTCCGCTTAGTCGGAGTTCGGTTGTTTTGGCGGCGGGGGCGACGGGAAGCCCTCATATATCGCTCCGCACCACCAGACCACTGCATCGCAGCCAGCTCGACAACCTCACAAGCTATTCTGGCCATCATGCCAGCTCTCTTACTCTCTCCAATGCACAAAAAGTCCTTGGAAGACGGCGAGTGGAAGTCTTCCCTGCCGGAACCGCCTCCCATCCCTAAGTCTCGCTGGATGGAGAGGCTGTGCCCGGAATTTCTATCCCGATCAGATCATGGCCCGGATCATGACAAATTGCCGACCTCTGCTCCTCGACCTCGACGAACAGCCTACCTAGACGGTCTGCGCGGATTTGCCGCTCTACTGGTGTATTGGCACCATCATCAACTTTGGGCCCACGACAGGATTGGAGCGGAGCGCATCTTCGAGAACGCGTACGGATATGAGAACCAACGCTACCTGGTCGCCTTCCCGGGGATTCGCAACTTTTTCTCGGGCGGACATTTCGCAGTTAGCGTCTTCTTCGTGCTCTCTGGATATGTCCTGTCGGCGAAACCGCTGGCGTTGATCAACGCAGGGGAGCGTGTCGCGCTGAGCGACAATCTCGCGTCAGCTTTGTTCCGTCGCTGGTTGCGCCTCTTCCTGCCCGTTATTGCCACGACCTTCATCTACATGACTTTCCTGCACGTCTTCCGCGTGAAAACGGTGCCCGAACTGCAAGGCGGCTATGGCGCAGAGCTCTGGAACTGGTACGCCGAGTTCAAGAACTTCAGCTTCATCTTCCGGGGCGGAGGTGAGCCGTGGTTCACCTACAATGTCCACTCGTGGTCCATCCCGGTGGAATTCCGCGGATCGATCATCGTCTACACGGCGCTGTTGGCCTTCTCCCACTGTCGCCGATCCATGCGGTTAGCCTGTGAGGCCGGCCTGGTCTTCTATTTTCTTTACATTGCAGATGGCTGGTTCGGAGCATTGTTCATGTCGGGCATGCTCCTGTGCGATCTGGATCAGCTCGCGGCGCGGGACCAGCTGCCCGAATGCTTCGTCATGCTGGAGCCGTACCGCGAGGGGATCTTTCCTGTTCTGCTCGCGATCAGCATATACCTTGGGGGAGTCCCTTCGCGGAGCCTCAAGGTGGAGATCCTCCGCGAGTCCCCCGGGTGGTATTACCTGTCTCTGTTGAAGCCTCAGGCGGTCTTCGACTATAAGTGGTTCTACCTCTTCTGGGCAGCGACCTTTCTGGTTGCCTCGCTGCCACGCATGCCATGGTTGAAGCGATTTTTCGAGACCCCCATCAATCAGTACCTCGGACGGGTGTCGTTTGCCTTCTACCTCGTCCATGGCCCCGTGCTGTGGGTGCTGGGCGATCGGCTGTACGCCGCGGTCGGATGGGCGCGCGATTCACATGCATCGAACTGCCCTGGCTGGATTAACCGACTGCCGTTGCCGCACGTCGGGCCCCTGGGGCTGGAGGTGAGCTTCCTTGCACCGCAGCTGATCCTGCTGCCGGTGACGCTGTGGTTGGCAGAGATAGTGACCCGCTGGATTGACGAGCCGAGCGTGCGAGTAGCGCAGTGGCTGTACCGACGGACACTGGGAAATGACGCCTAGTCTTAGTCTTAGTCTTAGTCTGGAGTAGCAAGTAGCAATCGATAGCAAGACAGGAATTTTAGTGCATGATTTTGCTTCTTGGGTTGCGTGCTAGTTTGTAAGCTCATTTCCGGAGTTGGAGACCAACCGCGGGCCAGGAATGGCGCTATCACCGATGGTTCAGCGAGCAACCGAGAGGGGAAGAGAATGACAGGAGGAGAGAAGACTGATGCGTAGTGAAGAGTGGGGAATCCTTTCGGTCTTACTTCTTCTTTTCCCGGACCCTGGCAATCACCTAGGTAATTTCACATGCTCGACTATCGGCGGCGTAGACGACGTGCTGATCACTTCGCATGAAGCCCGAGTTGAAAAGCGGGGAAGAGCTCCGCCGTCAGATTAATTTATGCAAAGATTGGGTTCGGTGATTCGGCGATTTGGTTAATTGAATGAGTGATTGATTGAATCCCATTCAGGGCCATGCCGCCCAAGCCTAAAGGGGGAAAAGATGCAGCTCAGGCCTCCCACTACTTGTGTATGCCCCTCTGCCTTCATTCCTTCTGGCTGCAACCCTAATTTATCTCACTTCCACACCAGCCAGACCACTCCACCCCTCCCCCCCTTCCTCGCTCAGTCTGAGCTGTCTGATTTTCCCTCCTATTCTTCCCATTCTTCCCTGCTCAGGTCGGACAAGTCCAACCCAAGCTCAGCAAGCAATGTCTGCCCGGCTAATGCGCCTGGTGCCCCTTGCCGGGCTACTCGTGGGACTGCTCCTCGCCTTCTACTACCTGTACAGGGGGGTCGCAGCCCCGTCAGCCACTGGCCTGAAGGAGACCACCCAGCACAATAATATCGACTTTTCGCACCTTTCAGACACTCATCACCCAGTCTTTTCCGCATCGACCCCCAACCAGAAATATTTCCACGTTGACTTTGGTGAACGAGATGGCTTCAACCCCAGCATCATCCCCCATCCCGTACTGCAAGACAAATGGACCATCACCGCGCAACTCGCGCGCAATCGCTCGCAGACAGAGCCCCTCTCCGTCTGGAGTGCCGAGCTGGTCTGTACCGCAGCCTTCCAGGACCAAGGTCGCACGCTACGCTGCGTTGACCAGCCTCTCATCCTCCCCATCGCTGCGACCGCCGCTGACCAGACGCGCTGCAATGGCGAGCTGGAATTCCTCTCGGTGAGCCTGGGGCCGCACGATGCGCGGATCTTCTACGGGCCCGACCGACCGTATGCGGTGTATGGGTCGAATTCGCAGCACACCTGCTTCGGACAGTGGGCGTTGGACTTCCGCGTGCTGGTCGACTGGCCCGGCGAGGAGCTGATCCAGACGCCAACGTATCGACACCCGGTCGAGCTCCAGCGACCCCTACTGCCGGGGTACTCTGCGATCGAGAAGAACTGGTTCCTGTTCTGGGACATGCACGGGACGGCATACGTGCATTACGATGTGGCGCCCACGCGGGCCTTCTCGCAGCTGCTGAGTATCGCCGATGGCTCCGTCGGTCCCGATCTGGCGGCCAATGCCGCCCCCATCGATGAGCCCTGCCTGCAGAGGCACTTGCCCGTCCTCACAGACCCGGACCACGAGTCCATCCACCAGGCGACGAACTCCCTGGCGATCACGCTGTGCGAACGCGCAGATCCCAGCTGCCAGCCTAGCGAGGATAACACGTTTGTTTTCATGGTCTTCCAGCACAAGAAGTACGTGGCCTTCCACAGTGTGTATGAGCCCTACGTCATGTTGTTCCGCCAACGTGCGCCGTTCGAGATGTTTGGGGTCTCCATCAAGCCACTCTGGATTCACGGGAGGGGGTCCGCGAGTGTGGGGGTCGAGGAGGACCAACAGCAGTCGGAGATGTTGTATGTGACCTCCATCAGCTGGAAACAGGCGGGCCAGCGCTACCATGGATACATCGATGATGTGGTGTTCATGGGCTTTGGGCGGGAAGATTCCCATTCGGGAGGCATAGATGTGCTTGCGAGGGATCTGCTCGATGGACTAGGGTATTGCTTCGGTTGAGGTGCTGTGGTGTGATGTTATGTTCTGTATGATATGAGACAACGATATGCTCTCCAGGGGCAAATAGATTAATTGCTGGACCACTGCATCAGTCCTGATCCATTCTTGCACCGCCAACTAAGCCTTTCCAAGCCTGCGAGTCATGCATGGGCTTCAGCCCTACGTCCTGATTGATGGGGCTGTCATATCCCTGAAACAAGCTTGGTGGTGACCCACTGGTTGCTGGGCGGTTAACGCCCAATAGAACGGAGGCATTTGCAGCCTTCGCTGGAGATAGGGCGGTTTCCAAGAGATGACAGCTCCACCACGGACTCAAGAAGAGTGTGATGAACTTCCCAGTGGGCGCTTGCGACAGGCAGCATGATTCGGAGGGAACGTACGGTGAAAAGGATGTACATGAGCGACCCCGGCTGCTCCTTTATCTCTACCTTCCGCTCCAGTTTCTTAGCTTTGCGGGGGTGAAACGTTTTCATTCTCAGTCACTCCTTTGACCATTTCTCCATCCTTTCGGTTCTTTCCTTTCGGTTCTTTTCTTGAAGCCTTTCTTGCTTCTCGAGGGCTGTGGCTGGACCGCAACCCTGATCTCGTTCTTCACTGCCAGCCACATTTGGTACTGTACGTTCGGCCAACATGTCGGACAGCATGTGGTATGCGTTCCTCAACGACGAGCTCTGCTACGTCTCCCTGTGGACATTCGCTTGCCTGATAGCGATCATCTTCATCTGGCAGACCACGCAGCAGCTTGCTGCCCATCTCCGGCGACTAGCGACTTTCACCGACCCGTCGCAGATGTTCCACCGGGTTGCTGACCCCCGACTCTCATGGCTCAAGCGGCATGTCCTCTACGCCCCCCTCTGGCGCAATCGGCACAACCGAGAAATGCAGCTTTCTCGTGCGGTCAATATGGGCACACTGCCCAGTCGGTTCCACGCCCTGCTGCTCACCTTCGTTGTCGCCCTGAATGTGATTCTTTGCACCATTACGATCCCCTTTGGCTTGAAGGAGTCCACCGTCGCAATGCAGATCCGGAATCGAACCGGGTATATGGCGACAGCGAATTTGTTTCCGTTGTTCATCATGGCGGGGCGCAACAACCCGCTGATCGCGCTGCTGCGGATCTCGTTCGACACCTGGAACCTGCTGCATCGGTGGCTGGGGCGGATTGTCGTGCTGGAGGCGTTGGCACATGTTGTCGCGTGGGGAGTGCCCAAGGTGCAGGATTGTATGGCTCCCTTCTTCGGTGTAGTTGGATTCATGTCTGATACACAGCAGATGGATGGAAGGGGATGCTCGCAACGCTTAGCAAGCCCTTCATGTTCAATGGCTTGATGGTAAGTGCAGCCGACTCCAGTCACTTCGCTTTGACCGGACTGTGATTGACCTCTACGCCCAGTGCATGGTGGCCCTCCTCATCATCCTCGTTCAGTCGCCCTCGCCGATCCGGCACGCCTTCTACGAGACCTTCCTGCACCTCCACATTGCACTCGCCTGCATCGCGCTGGGATTTGTGTGGCATCACGTCTACCGCTACTCGTGCAAGTTCTACCTCTACGCAGCGGTCGCATTCTGGGCATGCGAGGTCGGGATCCCACAGCCAGATCTATGTCCCCAGGCTAACCCCATTACCCTGTAATGCAGCGTCTAGCCCGCTTCCTGATCCTGTTGCACCGGAACTTCCGCAGTGGGACTCGCACCACAGCCTACATCGAGGTTGTCCCGGGCGACGCAATGCGGATTACCCTGCACGTGGCGCAACCGTGGCGCTTCTCGCCGGGCCAGTATCTCTTCCTCTGTATCCCTTCCGTCGGAGGCTGGACCTCGCATCCCTTCTCCGTAGCCTGGGCGGGAGACACGAGCACAGCAGCAGCAGCATCAGTTCCTGAGAAGTCATCCAACAACTACCTCTCACCAGACACAACATCGCAAAGCATCTGCCTGCTGATCCGACGCCGCACGGGCTTCACCGACAACTTATTCAAGACAGCCCTCACCCACCAACACTCCCACCGCAGCACCTTGTCCTACAGCGACGACCCCATGGCAACAAGCCCCTCCTTCCTAGCGCCGCAGACCACCCCTTCCCTTCGACTATCCGCCCTGGTGGAGGGCCCATACGGCAACCTGCACACCCTTGACTCCTACGGCACCGTCCTCCTGATCGCCGGGGGAGTAGGCATCACCCACTGTCTCCCCTTCATCCCGCACCTTCTGAAAGGCTACACGGCCGGCACCGTGTCCGCCCGGCGGATCGCGCTGGTGTGGGTTGTGCAGTCCCCCGAGCACCTGGAGTGGATCCGGCCGTGGATGACGGAGGTGCTGGCGATGGAGGACCGGAGGGCGGTGCTGCGGGTGAAGGTGTTCGTGACGCGGCCGCGGAGCCCCAGGGAGATCAAGAGCCCCAGCGCGACGGTGGAGATGTTCGCTGGGCGGCCGGACGTGCAGACGGTGGTGGGGATGGAGGCGGCGGGCCAGGTCGGGGCGATGGGGGTGATGTGTTGTGGGAATGGAGGGTTGAGCGATGAGGTGCGGAGGGCGTGTCGGGCGGTGCTGGAGAGGGGGGCGGTGGTGGATTATATCGAGGAGAGTTTTACTTGGTAGGTGGTGGTGGTAGTGGTGGTAGTGGTGGTTGAGTTGATGAGGTTGTCGTGGTGACGTTGGTTGATGATGGTTGTGTTGTGTGTCGGAGTCGGCGCTTATTCCCGACCCGGGGTTGATGCCCGAGGCACAAAGGCCAGATATTTGCAGCCTTAACAAAGTGGCGTCAGTCTGGCAGCGAGGCTAGTCCGCATTCGCCAGCATAGCCAATATTGTGGCCATCTTTCCCGTGCGTATCTACACCTACAGTAGTATAGAGAGAGCAACCATTTACCCCTTGTACAACCGGTACAAGACCATGATTATATTCCGCTATCTCTCGTGGTCGTCAACGGAATCTCATCCGCAATCACCACCACCTCAACCTTCCTCACAATTCCTCCCACATGCCGATCCAGAAACTCCCGATCCCCCGCGAAGATCTGCGTCGTGATATTCGCCAGAATCTGCCGCTCGTGCTCCTCCGACGAGCACGACGCCTGTCCCTGTGCCTGCTGCCACACATACGGCATGATCCACCGGGCCTTCCAGTCCGCCGCAAAATTCTCGGTAGATTGATTGGGAGTGGGCTCCCCATCCATCTGGTGGTGCTGCGTCTGTTTCTTCCGGATGTACTTCCGAATCCAGTGAAGGACTAAAGGTCGGATACATGGAACGGAGGCGGTGATGAGGACGATGCCGGCCTCGATGAACATCCAGCGGAGGAGGGGGACGCGGTTGATGCGCGGGTTGGTCGATTTGAGAATCGTGGGGTATTCCAGGGTCTTGATGAGGGAGGCGGCCATTGCTCTTCAGACTTTAGTGAGTTTCTGAGAAAAAGTGCTTTGAGGCAGAGGTAGGAGGTAGGGCTTACACGACCCCTAGGCTAAGCAGGGAGATGAGCACTAGTTTGACTCGGAGCGTCCAGTTGAAGCGCCAGAAGACGTAGATGGGGAAGAGGGCGAGGAAAAGGTCGCTGGCGGAGTTGAATGCTACTCTCCCCTGGGGTTAGTCGCGGGTTCTTTGTTGGTGTACTAGCTAGTGCTTGATGATAGGGGACGAACTTACCACCCTGAAAATATCCATAATCGATCTGAACATCCAGCGACATGCAATGTTTCTGAGCGCCAGGCTGAAACACCTCCGCGACACGCGAGCATTGCGTGAACAGCAAAACCACGCTGACCACATTGACTATCACCTGCAGGGGCACGAGAGCCCACAGGACCATGCGGTCCCACGTCCGCGCCGCCAGCAACGCCATCATGTACATGATCATGGCGAGACGACCGGCGGTCGCGGCGAGTATGACAATCGCATAGCCGATGGTCGAGTACCGGAAGCCTGCGACCACACTGTGGTGACCCGGGGAGCTGGTGGTGTTGCCGTACCCGTGGTGGACCGCGAGGTTGAACAGCACTGCTGCAACCAAGAGTAAAGTCTGGCTTCATTAGTGTCAAACTGAGAAGATGGCTGACAATAGCGTACCAGAGCCAGCAATATAATCGCATCACTGAGCTGCAGGTTCCCGAACTTGTAGTTACTTGCCATACGGGAGGCGACAACGAGGATTGAAAAGGCCATCATCGTCCACACACTGATCAGCAGCTCCGGCCCGTAATCCGTCCCGGAGGGCGTCTTTGCCCCAGCACCGAGGGTATGGTTGTGGCCCGCATGGCTATCCTGGTCGTGGTCGTACAGCATAATTACAAAGTGTGTCGGTGCTCATCTTATCTCTCCGCACGATCAGCTCGCGGGAGAATAGAACCAATATGAGGGCAAGCAATCTGGCCATGGCTTGAGTTAAATCAAGTGACGATGGGGTCCGACTCCCTTCACGGGTCGGGCATTATACTCAATTTAGGGCAGGGCGGGACAGACTCCAGATATGGGGACAGATAATCAATGTTGACAGCCACGTAGACAACGAAAGTCATTCAAGCCACCTGCTTGCTCCTAAGTCGCAGATCCTTGACCGCAACAAGACTAAGGACCACCTGCCAAGCCTGATGAGTGAGTGAAGTTCGGGCATCGGCCGAGACAATCCTTATCTGAAACACCGCCGTTGTTCGAACCCACCCACTGGTCCAATCACTCGATTGAGGTGTGCTAAGCATTCTGATTGACTTCAGTGTCAGGCTGACGAGTGTGTCTCAGAGTTGGCGACGGGCCGATGGGCTTGAGAGTCAGTCAATCAAGCTCTGGGATGTGCCTCTGTGCCCCTATTTTTATTCCCATCGCGGGACAGCGCCAAGACCCGGTGAAGACAGCCGCAAAAGCAGCTCTGGTCCGTGCCAGCCTTGTCCCGTTGAGGACTGTTTCATAGCTAACCTGGAATGCTGTTTATTACTTGATCCTATAACGACTGACCATTACTTCCGCGCGGTCACTCATGACTCCAAGGAATGGGTCGTCAGGATAGGCTACGGAATATGGTCCGTGAAACCCATGTTTAGGGCGAAAGAATATTGACTATATTTACGGTATATATGCATAGCTGCTTTACTGCTCTCGATCACCACTCTGAATGTCGGTCAACCCTGCGCTTAGAAGTTTCCCTGCTTCCCGGAATCAGCCTTGGGGCTCTTTCCGCCCTGGCTGGAGACAAAGCCCGAGGGAGCAGCGCCAGCAGACGTGGCAGCAGGCGCGACAGCCGGCTGAGAAGCCGTCTTCGAGTGTCCGCCGCGGCCATGGCCGGAGCCCTGGTGACCATGGTGCTTGGTGTGGTGGCCCTCGTGGCCGTGGTGCTTGGTGTGCTGTCCGGAAGGAGCAGCACCGGAAGGACGAGGACCAAAACCGAAGCCCTGATCAAAGGCACCGGAAGGAGCAGCGCCTACACTCTCACTGGGCTTGGGGGCACCACCGAGCCCATGGCCGGAGCGCTGTCCAGAGGACAAGGCGGAGGGAGCAGCATTCGCGTCATCGCCGAAAGCGGCAGAGGCAGAGGCATAAGAAGTCGCGACAGACGTGGCAGCGGTGCTGGATTCGTCCACAACGGCGACAGCAGTCTCGACGGGGGTCGAGTGGGCCGTGGCGGCAGAGGTGGACGAGGCGACGGCAGTCTCCGATCCCATGGCGGGGATGTTGATGGTCGCAATGGTCCACACCTTACCACCCTCACTCGAGCTCAGGCCGGTGTAGGTGGCGCCGGCGCCAGTCGCGATAGTGTCACCAAAGGTGGTGTCGGCCTCACGGAGGGTGATGGTGGTGTTGAGGTACACCTGGGCAGCCACCGTGCCCGTGCAGTCGGAGTCACACTCGGTGCCTGTTCCATAACTGTGCCGCAAAATCAGCATTCGGGAGCACTGGCTCTAGAAAGATCGAAGGAGGCAACTCACCCAGTCATGTAAGGACCCGACGCGTAGGAGTAGTTCGACAGCGCGGCACCGGTCAAGGCATTGGTGACCGTCTGCACCCAGGTGTTATCGTCGGAAAGCAGGTTGTACTCGATGCGAACGTGGTCGTCACCGCTGACAGCGGAGCCAGTGCCATCGAGCTGGCCGAAGGAACCAAAGATACTGGCGCGCACACACCATTGGCCCGTAGTGGCACCGCACCAGGCGTTGCTGGGCCAGCTCTCCATGGTGGTCTGGATGAGATCTCCAGTGCCGTTGCTCATACCAGGCCAGAGGAAGAGCTCGCCGTTCTGGGTGGCAGGGGCCGTGCCGGGGATGAGGGTGGTCACCGCATTAATGATGTCAGACTTGGTGGGACCCAGCGACACACTGCCTCCCCACGAGTCGCGTTTGGCCACCTTGGTGCCGCTCTGAAGGGCAGCAGGCAGGACGGCACCCAGTGCCACGGCGGGCAGGAGTGCGAGAGTGCTAAGGACTTGCATTTTGAAGTTGAAGCGGATGCGATAAAGAATGTAGTGGAGTAGGATAGGAGGATTAAGGTATGTAAAGAACGGTCGAGGCCACCAGTGCCGTCAATGAAAGGAATGAGATTGCCACCGGGAGGAAGGGATGAGAAGAGAAAGTAAAATCGCATCAACTTGAGGAGACACGGAGCTGGATGCCTTTATAGAGGAAGCGGACACCAGGGCTTTTTTTGAAGGGGCAGCACCTTAATTTGCCCGGGTTTCAGATTAAGCATTGGCCCGCACCCTGAAACAAGCCTCCTGTCCACGTTTTTGGCAGCATCATGCTGAAAACAGGAGATTGTCTCAGATATACTTTTGCTGGACCTTTTCTTGCCTTATGCCCGGGGTCTAGATCTTCCGTCGATACGACGGCTTCAGTATGGTGCGGGAGAGTGGGTGACCCTTGAATTGAGAGATGCACTTTCAAGGTCGACTCGAGGTTGTGAGAGACTACGTACCGGTCAGCTTCTCTAATATCAATACCGAGGGCAAGTACGCACGACAAGTAAGAGTAAGGGAAAAAAAATGTCTCGGGCAGATTCTCTGGAAGCTCCCGGAATGAAGTCAAGCCCCGCCACTCCCAATGGAGCAGACAGGCGACTTGAATGGTTTGGACGACGAACAAGCCAGTATAGCAGAGTGATGCTCAAAGTCGATAATACCCAAGAAGTTGCAACGATATATATGTTCAGGTTTGCTACCGCAACTTCCGACCAAGGCTTCGCACTTGGCCAAGACCCTGGTATACCTGGTATAGTGGCATGGAAATGTGAATGGCGACAAACCCGAGTCCAATCCTTCTATTTTTCTAACACCACAGAAATGACTCGAGCGTTGACAGTCAAAATCCCATCAACTTAAGCTAAGATCCAGAATCTCACCTCCCATGAGCGGACAGGCTGATGCAAGGGGGGGGTGGGCAGGTCAGGTGATTGTTCTTTGTCTACCACAGGTCGAACAACTCAACGCCATCTCACATGTGACATGCATCCATCCACATTCCACATCAAACAGACACCATGGCAGATAATGTCGACGAGTTTGAGCCCTGCAAGAACTCCATGGCCTCCGGTGTCAGCACCCCCACCCTTGCCACAGACAATGAATCTGCAAAGTTAGCCGGCGACGAGCCCCCCTTCGCGGAGATCCAAGCCAAGGTCGCCACTTACACTGTCCTCGACCGTGACGGGCAGCCACACCAATACTCGACCCTCTCCAGCGGCCCAGATGCAGCCCCCCGCACTCTCGTCGTCTTCATCCGCCATTTCTTCTGTGGAGTATGCCTGCCTTTCTCCCAGCTTCTAAAGCACCAGATGCTAACCCAACCCGCAGAGCTGCAAGGAATACATCGAGGTCCTCTCCAAGACCATCACCCCAGAGTTTCTATCCCAACTAAGCACTCCTACCTCGGTGGTAGTTGTGGGGTGCGGCGACCCAGGCCTAATCGACATCTACGCAAAGGAGACAGGCTGTCACTTCCCCATCTACGCGGACCCCACCCGCAAGCTCTACGAGCAACTGGGGCTGCTCTCGTCGCTGGCTCTCGGCGAGAAGCCCGAGTATATCCAGAAGAGCATGGTGCAGATCGTGGCCGAGTCGTTCTGGAAGACGCTGAAGCAGCTCCCCAGTGGGTTGGCGCTCAAGGGAGGCGATTCGCGCCAGAATGGCGGCGAGTTCCTGTACGAGGCGAGTCCCGAGGGGGGCGAAGAGAGACGCGTGGTGTGGTGTCATCGCATGCAGAATACGCGGGACCACACTGAGGTGGCAATCCTAGCCAAGATCTTGGAACGGAAGGGGTGAGTTGGTTGTAGTGGTGAGGGTGTGGGGCTTGGGGCTGGCTGTGAGATGGATGCGATTTGTATCACTCACAACCACCTTTTGATGACATCAAGCTTCTGCTTGTCAATGATCCTACTTGTAATTGAATGTCTACTCGAATGTCCTGCAGGTAAAACATAGGTAATTTTGACAATAAATTGCATCACCCATCAAAAACATTTTCTCGTCAATCATACGTCACTAGTTATCAATATGTGAACGGATACCAAAACACTTTTCTCACACCCATAGCACTTTCAAACAGCAATAGCAAGCCGCTCATGGCTCCCCACCACTTGATTAATTCCCGTTGCGATCAAGTCATCGCTCGCCTCAGCGCGACCCGAGCCAAACCGCTTCAAATTCCACTTCTCGACGCCCTCCACATCCTTCAAATCCTTGGCGAAGGTCCGGAAGAGATCCGCATTCAGACGCTCATACTCGGCATACTCCTTGGGCCAGTCGCCCAGTCGTTCCACCGCCAACTTCAGCAGGTGCAGATGCTGTCGAACATGTTTACCCTCGTCCTCCACGATGCCTCCAGGGCTGGTCGCGCCGGATGCCGACTCGCTGCTGCTGATGCTGTCTTCCATCTCGGTCGCGGAGACAGAACTCGGATCAATAAACACCCGCAGCGCATTTTCATGCAACGATGCCGCTTTCTTGTAGTAACGGAAGGCCAGCTCGCGTCGGTCCTTCTGGGTCTGGTACCCCTGCGCGACGCTGGTGTACATCTGCGAGAGGAGGACAGTCATCTCGACGGTGCTGGGGTGGCGCGGACCATGGACGCGGGCGCAATTGTAGACGATGTCCTCGGCGAGGCGCATGGCAGCGGAATAATCCCCGATCAGATAGCGGGTGATGACGAGCATGCGGCCCAGGGCGAGGGTGTAGGCGGATTGGGGCTGCGAGGTGGCGATGTGGTTGGTGTCGCGGTTGTTCCAGAGCGAGGTCAGAATCCAGGCCAGGTTGTGGTAGTCGTGCTGCTCGTCCAGCACGCAGATCAGGTTGTTGAGGTGCACCAAGTCCAACTGCGTCAGGTCGACCTTCTGCTGCTTGAGGTAGCCCAGCGTCTCCTGCAGGATGGTCGCGGACACGCCTAGCATCTCCTTGCGGGACGAGGCGGCGGGCCGCGCCTCGACGTCCCGACCGGCAACCACCAGCCCGAGCTTGAAGACGATCTTAAGCACCGAGGGGGAGGTGTAGCCCTGATGCACCCGGATGTACTTGAAGGCTGTGAGAGCCAGGTCGCACGCTGCTCTGTAGTCCGCCGTGGCCAGCAGCTGGGTCACCCGGTCGTAGCTGGCGATCGCCACGGAGCGGATGAAGTGCTGCGAGGTGTGCGAGTGGAAGTACTCGAGGAGGGTGGCAATGAAGACCTTGGCTTGACTGGGGTTCGCCTGAACGGTGGACCCCTCCGTGGCAAGGAAGTAGTTGGTGAACTGCTCGACGAGTCGCGCAGCGTCAGCTTGACGGCCCTTGGCGGACAAGAAGCCATACAGGCGCGAGGCAGACGAGGTGACGGTCATGACACTGCTGTTCTTCGAGCCGATCTCAGTGCGGAACTGCTCATAGTACATGTACTCGGTGGTCAGTGCCGAGTAGATTTCATTAAGAGTGAGCGAAGAGTCCTCGCGCTGGCGCAGGCTGTACTCCAGCTCGGCCAGGAAGGACAGACTCTGCCGCTGACTGGAGGTCAGGTCGAATCCCACAGCCCCGACGTTGGTGGTGTCCTTGGCCACAATCTGCCGGTATAGTTCTTGGGATATGTCTCTCGCTCGGTCTACCTGACCGGCCGTGATGTAGCCGGTAGCAATGGTCTTGGCAGCGGCGCTCAGCTGAATGGACGACGACTCGGTGGCAAGGACCTGGGCTGTGGCGTTGCGCAGCAGGGTCACGGCAGCCTGGGTATCGCTCTGTTTGGAATACAGAGCCACGATCTCGCTGAGGTGCGATAGTGCCTCTTCATGGGCCCATCCGTGGGTGGAGCGCAGAGAGGCCAGACGCTGCGTGCGAATAGAGATCACTCTCTTCACTTGCTCGGCGCTCATGGACTCTGTCTTCGACACGTTGACGAGGATGTTCTGTTCTTCGTAAATCGAATCAAGTGTCGCACGGATATCGTCACGGTCGATGTCGACTTCGTTGGACTTGTTGTGCAGCAACTCCTCAAACAGCTCGATTGCTTCTGCCTCGTACCGCTTAGACTCCAGGCAGATATTAGCCAGAGTCTTGGTGGCCTGGATGGTGATCGAGGCCGCGCTGCCAAAGAGGCTGATGCAGGCTTTGCGGTACTGCACTGACACGTCGTGAATGACTGTGGTGTCGCTGTGAACCATGCGCAAACAGTGAATGTATCGCTCATAAAGCGTCTGGACGAAACTCGGTTCTTGCAGCTTGGGGCTGGTCTTGGGTCTCTGCACCGTATTGAACAGTACGCGGCAGGGCTTCAAGGCGTCCGCGTAGCGTGCCTGGTTCAAGAGCTCAGTCACCACGATCAGCAAAGGCTCAAAGGCATCAGGATGGCAGGACTCCGAGTCCTTGTTGAGAATATGCACGATCTGACGATAGTAATCCACCGCGATAGGACGAGGACGAGTCAGCTCTGCCAGCTTCCATAGCTGCTTGATGACGGTCGGGTGCTCCGATCCGTATCGCTTGATGGAGTCGCTCAGGATATCCTGGTGGATAGTGATCAGCTTATCACTTTGCGACATGCGCTCGTATAGACGGAGAATGGCAGTTGTGACACGGCCCCGCAGCTTGTCGCCCGCCGGTCGATCGCGGCGGACGGCCTGATACAAGCGCAGTCGGGCGTCCTCCTCCTTTCCTGTTCGGCGTCGGGAGCGATAGCAATTTGCCAGCCGTTCTGCAAGCTCGATGCAGTACTCCAGATTGCTCGAGGGGAGAACCACTTCGTCCACCGAAGGTGCAAAGAAGGCAGGCCACATGGCCCGGAGGACTTGCTTGATGGCCTTGGTGGCGTCCTGCCATCGATGCTGCGACAGATACAGCTCCAACAGAGTGTTCGTGGCAGTGACGGAGACCTGGTCAGTGCTAGACGTGTTGAAGACCATCTCTTTGAGACTCGATTCGGTGATGGTCGAGCTGGTCGAGGTCGCCATCTTCATCACCTCCCGTGAGGTGGTATTGATATGCTGCTGCACCTCCTGATGAACACCGCTCTGACTGTTGGTACTCTGAGCGCAGTGTTTGAAAACGCTGAGTGCCAGCACAGAAAGTCCCACAGACTTCATTACCTTGGCTACCTCTAGGAACTTGGAGGCCACTGCCTCAGAGCTCGACGTGCTTTGGCTATACCCCTCCCAGAAGCCGGACAGGATTGAAGCGGCCTCGTTCTCCCGGTGTTGGGACTTGAGGAACTTGGCATAGCCCAACACGGCGTCCATGTTCTTAAGCTCCCAGTCAGACGAGTGGCTGAGGCGGTATTCCTTGCTGGTTTGCTGCCACAGCTCAATATACGTCCGCTCGGCGGCCTTCAGGTCTTTCTCGGCCACGAACCGCTCGGCCTTGGCCTGCAGAGACTTGAAGTCGAAGGCGCGGGTGATCACATCGTCCAGCTCCAGTTCGTCCAGAGAGAAAGTCGTCCGCGTCTCCATCGCATCTTTGCGACCGTGAAGGTGGAGCAAGAGCGAGTCGTCCGTCGGTCGTGAGCCCGTCGGTTGCGGCGCGCCGTCCGTGGTCGGCCCCTGCAGCGAGGTTTTGATCTCCTTGGCTCGAGCCTCGTCTCCCATCGAGATGTAATGTTCCGACAGCTGGGTCAGAGTGGAAGTCACCATGCTGCTTGACACTCCATAATGGATCTTGTAGCATTCAACCAGAAGCTGCAGCATCTCGGTGCGTTTCACCATAATCTCGGTCTTGGAGTCCGCGACCCGGTCGGCAGTTACTTCCAGGTAAAACCTGGTCATCTGCATGGTGATCAGGTGTCGGGACGAGAGCACGGTTTGGCTCATCCTCGCAGCATCATAGAAGATCTTGCTAATATGGGCCGGGAGGGTGTTGTGGATACGTCGGTAGAAGAGAGCCTGACAGAGGACAGTCTGCAGGGTCGTGGGGTGACTAGGGCTCAACGCCTGCCGGTACAGTCGGGTTTGGATGCCGTGCAGCAGCCGCAACGAGGGAGTGGATTTGTTGTCCCAAACTGTCATCTCAAGCAATGGCACTGTGGGCGAAGTCGGAAGCGCACTGCGCAGCCCTTTGGCTACAGTGGTGATTTCCTGGTCGGTGGTGCAGCCAAACGCGATTTTGACATGCGTCAACCAGTAGCGCAGGGCAAAGTCGAGTAGAGGATATTTAGCCAGCAGATCCTGGGTGGTATTCTCGTCCAGTGGATCTAGCGAGGGCTCGTGCTCGCTGGTGACGGCCTCCTTGGTGTATAATAGCAGCCTCTGTGCAAAATCGCTGTTCCTGTTTTTGATAGTCGGCAACAGTTTATCTTTCGCCAGCACGTCCAAGATCGCGGTCCGAATCTGTCCATGGCGCAGGTAGACCAGATGGCTCTGGATAAAGACAAGCGATGCGACCGGCTTCAGGAGCTGCTGGATATCAATCGACTTGTCGGTGACGGTGGAATTCTCGACTTGAATGGAGCCCAGCGCCGACAGCTCCTTCTGCGTCATGGGACGAGCCGCAGTGGAGAGCCAAGCCAATACCTTCAATGCATCTTCGCTCAGCTTCGCATGAAGGTTATGCGAGACCAGATCGGTGAGTGTCTTGCCGGTGTTAGCCACACTTTCAATGGCTCTGGTCAGAGCTTGGGCGTTGGCCGAGCCCTCCTCGCGGATGCGTTTGGCGGCCAGTTTGGCCCAGAGGAATGAACCACTGGACGCTTCAGCAATCCGCGTGACGTTGATCTCTTGCTCTTCCTCAGGCAAGGATATGAAACCACGAGTATGCTGCAGAATCTTCCGTACGACAGCGGTGATGTCGTCGAAGACGAGCTCCGGCGAGACATGCACAATGCTCTGCGAAGACGTGGAAAGCGGCTGCTGGGCGCCCAAAACAATCAACTTGACTCTATCCGCGGGGGCCACGGCCTCGGTCAATCGCTTGTGCATCAGGGTCTCTCCGCAGCTGGCCTCGTCCATTCCGTCAACCACCAGGACGAGTTCCTTGGCGCCCTGGAGACTGCTCTTCAGTGCGTTCTCCACCGCAGCCCACAGTAGATCGTCGTACGCGTCCTCTTCCAGTGTCGACTGACTGCGTGTGTACGAATCCGATAGAGTCTGGTAGAGTCGCACATTGCCAATGCGCTTGTCGAAGAGCTGTGACAGGATCATCTTGGCGACTGCACGAGGGGTGGTGTTGGCTGGGATACGACTGCCTATAATGCCTGTGAGTAAGGTTGGTTCTCTGGTGCTGGGAAGTGTGACTTACTGATCGGGACAAAGATCGATTTGTAATGGGTACCTCCGACAGGGTGTTGGAGATGGTCGTTGATCACGGTCGCCAGAATGGTTTTTCCTGAACCCGGTTTACCATGCACCGCCAGGGTCTTGCGGTTGCTTTTGAGGAATCGTGTCAAGTACGGGGTCATCCACAGGCAGGTGGACTCCTCACGCTCCTGGGCAAAGTGCGCGGTTGTTTCCGCCACGTTGACTAGCACGGGGTCCTCAGGCTGCAGCCAATCTTTGAGGGCTCGGATCTCGGTGACTGTTGCACGAGAGCATTAGCCACTGTTGCGGATATGAGAAGTAGTTTGAAGGCAATCACGCTCACCTTTGTCCCCGTTCAGACCCTCCCGGATCAGCTGGTGGCGCCACATTGACTCGGAGACATGTTCACAGCGAGCCTTGAAGCTGTCAATGGGACCCGGAAAGGTGCTGTAAATGTCAATCGAGACGGAGTCAGAAGAGTTCAAAGACCGATGGAAGTGTCTTGCCACGCCAACAACAAGGGTGACGAGGTCGGCCAAGGCCAGAATGAGTTGGTCTTTGATCTCCTGGGACACAGAGAATAGTTCTGTGCGATCCAGCAAGTTCCCAAGGCCCATGGAGGAGCGGTAGAAGAATCCGAACAGATCCATCAACGCAGGGGCATTGTCCTCTGCCAACTAATACGAGACATCTCAGCGGTCAAATTGAATTTGTGCTTGGATTAGGCATGCATACCTCGAGTAGGCTCGCACAGTGAACATAGGCAAGCTGGGCAGCCATGTGACTGTCTCCGGCAAACTGCTCCAGAGCCGTGTCGAATGAATGCAGCCGCTCCACGAACAAGGCCGCCCAGACAAGCGCCTTGTCATAGCTGCTGCCCTCTGGAGGGAGCTTACGCATCCGCTCCGCTCGAATCCATTCGAGAAGCGTGGCATAGTCCGCGTCGGTGATACTAGACGAGATCATAGCGTCGCTGCTGCGACGAGTTAGTGAGCTTACGACATCCGCCAGCGTGGAGCTTCCTCCACCACTCAGGGCCCGTGACCCCCGCCTCGAGGTGGAGGTGTGGTAAGTGGTTGTGTATCCCTCCTGCTCCAGGATATCCGACGCTCGTCGAGTTCCGAATAGTGCGGTGGTCGACAGAGGAGAGCCGAAGGTGTAATGGACGTTAGGTTGGAACGAGGTAGCCATGGTCGGTTCTAGACGTGGTTGTTCGCAGGCAGGACTGTGTATGCAGGGTATCGATATTCCATCGGGAGAATGGAGTTTCGGGTGATGGATTAAACTTTAGACCAATTTGCATAGATGTTGAGCGTAGCAGGAAATTATGACAGAAAGGCCTGGACTAGGATGTTAAATTCAAGGTGCTTTGAGGAGATACCTCTCAATGAGCAAGGTGCTGGACCTTTGCCATGTATTTCTAGTTTCGACTTGCTTGCTGACTCCTCTCTTTGGAGGCTTGTAAGACGTCAGAATGAGATGCACGACAGTAGGCTGAGTTCTCCGGTCAATTCTGGAAGACCCAAAACCTTCAGAGTATTGACAAATCGCAACATCGATGAATTGGTCCACTGTGTCCATAAATCCCGAGAATGACGAAGTGGTTGGTACTGTAGATAGGTCTGGAATCCACACCAAGTCAGATTTGACATCACTATTGGGGAACCCTGCTGGGTGTTTGTTGTGGAACTTCCACTCACGAGGATTCCCTGGGGCGTGGAGCGCCGGCAGCTTGTTGAGTTTGCGTTGAGCTCACCCAAAACATGGTTGAGCAGTATCTTACTGTCAGGGATTGAATTGAGCTTCGCACGGTGCTATAGAAAGCACTATCGTAGTAGAGCATTTCTTCCAGAGGATGAACTCTTCCAATGCCCGCTGCCGACAGCGCACATCCTTCGCGTCTGCTTGGGGCTTCTTCCGTTTCTGGAAAGTGAATCCCAGTCATTCAATGGTATTCACCCCAGTATCACTTTCATAAAAGTAATAATATCGTGTTGCCAGAGCAAAAGTTAAAAACTTCACGTCATAACAATGAAGCATTGGGTGATCGAATCGGTGGGCGGCGGAAGGCGATTGAGTTAGGGTTGTGGGGACATCCGCATGCGGCAAACCCTCCTCCATGCCATGGCAGCCCACGACAAGATTTCCACAAATCACCATTAATATATGAGCATGGTTTGTTCCAGTGCATCTTCTTGACAAGTATTTCCTGAGTTGTTTACGTAGGGAGAGAGTGGTTGCCGCATGGAAAACCTCGCAAAATACATCACCTCTGGCATTGTGGGTGTCTGGCTCAGTCATGCACTGCTCCGCCATAGTCCCTTCAAGCATGTCAGTATTGTCAGGATTGTATGACGCAGCCGCTGATTTTCTTTCGACTAACGTGGTCAGCATCTGGGTAGATGACCAACACTGTCCCAGCAACAAAGCCTTCGCGGTACCCACTTCTTTCTCCCCGATCGGTGTCCCCGACAAACAAAAATAGACATGTCGAATGCGGATATGGGGGCTTGCGGGGACCCGCGAGGACCATTCTTGATCACTCAGTGGATACGGAGTTAATAATCGATGCAGAAATATGAGTGAAATAGGGATCAAAAGAATTCTGCGGAGTCCACAGCGTGTTGATGGCTGTTCATAACCCACTCTGTCAATGTCGAACTTGTCGACCGGCCCCGTTCAGTCGAGACACAGTGACTCTCGGTCCACCACCTTCACCCAGTGATCAGAACAGAGGAAGGGTTGGGAGGTCCAGAATCATATAGATGGTGAGGTCGGGGAATTGCTCTTCTGAATATGTTTGCATTGATGTGGTCTTGCAGAATGGATGCTAACTTAGAGTATGTGCATTCATGTTGATCCACTCATCCTTGTTTTATATATCATTGACCCCCACCAAGTACTTAGTGATCATCATCTGCATACTCCTGCAAATGAAAGATGAGGGAACATGATGCCTAATCGCGTGGTTTCAGCGGCTTAGGCAAGAGAAGCCAGCTAATCGCCGTAGCACAGAGTAGGGCCACGAGCATAGGCTGCAGGACTTTAACTCCTGTGCGGGCTGAGAGGATTCCGGTCAAGACGGGGAACAAAGAGCCTCCGATCTGTCCAAACACAAATACAAATGCTTGTAGAAAATTGGTCAATGGCTATGTAGTTAAGGAGAAGCAAAGCAGAGGAAGGAGAACGGTCTGCAGGAAATAAACACACCAATTGCTGAGCTCCGAACGTCTGGCGGGAATATCTTCGAGGCGACCGATATACCCTGCTCACTATGTCAGCATCGGCGAACTGTCCCTCAAGGAAACATATTGGCAGTGCAGTACTTACAGCGGCAAAGAATGGCCCAGAAAAGAAACCTAGAACGCAGATTGCGACCGCCTCGACAATAATGTTCGGGACCCTGCACGTGACACATTAGCCGTATACCTAGTGTTGAGGGGAAGTGGAGGGATCCCTACAGCCAGAAGACTAGCTGCAGTCCCACACATAACACGACATAAAGAAAAACCATTCGCCGTTCTCCCAATCGGAAGTGGGCTCAGCCAAAAGCAACCTGCCCAGGAAAGCGCCTCCATAGAACCCAGTGGGGACATATCCCATCGCATCCAGATTGCCGTGCCGCACATTGACGGAATATTCAACCATCCAGCCTGTTTCGTATTAGTCCCTGACTCACTAGAAAATAGGCCCGGTGCGGAGATGACAAACCTCCAGCGGTAATGGCCGCTCCGAGAAAAAAGAAGAAGTACAGACTGGCAAGCCAGACCGTGGGCATGCGCAGAGTGTTCTTGATCTCGACTAGCGCACGGCGACTCTTGGAGTGGGAGTTGGAATGGGGGCCATCTCGCGATCCCTCCGGTGAAGGGTCGGAAGTAGCAGACTTGATTGCGAGCTGGTTGTGAAACGCCGTCAGCACAAATGCTAAATTAAGAACCCCCAAGCCCAGAGGCGCCAGATAGAACAGATTCCACTGCGTAGTTGTTCCCGCCGATGCCACAGCCGTGGCAACCAACGGACCGACCAAGCACCCTGCCATATACATGGCATGGATAAATCCCAACCAACGATGGGCGGCCTTGACGGAAGCAACATAGGTATTGGCGTGAGTGTCATTGTACCCTTGACCTAGACTGGCGAGAAAGAAGGTGACGACATAAAGCGAAAACGGGGGCAGCCAGGCTCGAAGGGCGTGGGAGAGCACTTGAAGGGCTGCGCCCAGGGCCAATATAGCTCCGAGGCCGAGATATTGACAGAGGGCGCTGTTGGTCACGGCAGCCAACAGCCATCCTGCGAAGGTTGATACATAGACCACGACGACAAGGTTGGTGCTCACATGGTAGGAGCGGATCACATAGGGGATTAATGAGCCCAAACTACCATCATTGACCCCGGCGACAAAGAAAGAGAATCCGGCACTGAGGATTTTGGCATACAGCCATCGTTTGTCGGCAATGCTTGGCTCGGGAGGCTCGACTGAGGCTGACTGCTCTGGCGAGAGATCCATCATTTCCTGGTCTGGTTGCGGTCGCATTAATTATACTGGTTGGTAGGTTAGGATGCAAGGAGTGGGAAGGTTGAGAGATGAAGCATTATTGAAATGTTGGTAGACAATGGATTGTACGGTAATCAAGCGATTATCTATGGTTGACTTGGGTTGACTTGGGGATGCGGGAGCAGTTGGTTACATTTCCAGATACGGCAATTCACACAGCAGACCTACTGGACGGTCCAGTCAGTCCCTTGACGGAGCTGTCAAAAATCATTCTGGATCCTGCCGAAAACTAGCCGAAGAGCAGAAGACATTCACTGAAGGCATCAGGGCACCAAGGCGGTCAGGCAGCCAGGCATACACAAGCTCAAACACATGACCGCTGCTAGTCTGAAACGGGAAACATTTATGCCTCAGGCATCATGGATCTTACCGAGGTAAAGCAACATGCACCGATTATTCTCAATTGACACGCTCCCTGATTGCTACTCAATTGACCCTTTGGATCCTCTGGTGCACCAGCACTGCAACATCATCACTGTTCTTCTCCAGAAACATCATATGGCCATTACCACGAAGCCCCCAGTCCGCCAACCGCACATGCTCGGTGCTCACCCCTGCTTGGCGAAGAAATCGGACGGTGCACCAGTCGTACGGCGCATGATACGATGCTTCTGAGGTGACCAGCACCACGGGCGTTCGCTGCAAATTGACCAGCCGTCGCGGGGGCGGGTCGTCTGCTTGAATCACACAGCCCACCTCATCCGGGTGGGTGGCGGGGATGGCAGTCGTCACCAAATCGGTTGTGGGATTGACCACTGCAGGGGAGTAGGCGATAGGAATGTCCGTCAAGCCATATGCGCGGGCGGATCCATTCCCGAAGGCGACATTGCGGAACGGGGGACCGCCTGGTTCCAGGGAGATGATCAGGTGCACGAGGTCCGGTCGCTGGTCGGCTAACAACCAGGCCATGATGCCGCCCTGAGAGTGTGCCAGGAGGATCACTGGCGTGCCGATCTTATCGAGCAGAGCGACGCCCGCTTTCTGCATAGCGGTTTCTTGGAGTGTATTGTCGCTGATGAAGGGCACGGTGCTGGCGTAATACTCGTCGAAGACCGGGTCGTGCATCACCCCGGATCCCGGCCACTGGGTGTGCAGCTTGGCCTGAGGCCATAGCGCATACCGCTCGGGAGAAGTGAAGTATCGCTGCAGGTGCTCCGCCGAGTAAGTCTCCAGCTCTCCATTCCACGATTGCCAGGGACTGCGACCGCGGAAGGGTTGGTCGAGGAGGTAGCATTCGTAGCCCTGGTCCAGGAAGTAGGAGGCCCATCCGGGTTGACCGTCGGGTTTGTTCAGCCAATTGGTCCCAGTCTGAGCTTGTCCGTGGATCAGGACGATGGGGTAGGGTTGAGTGACTCGCGTGGGGGTCAGTTTCTCCACATAAATCTGGCCGGTGCGAATGTGCTCGCCGGTGTCTGCCAGGGTAGTGTACTCGCCCCCGGCATAGAAATACCGCACGCGATGAGGAAGATCTAACCCCGAAGGGAGCATCAGCGCCAGCAATGAGAGTGCGAGGTTGACGAGCATTGGGATGCTTCAATGTCATCTGGGTGGTTGGCCAAAATTGACAAAGTTATTTTCATCATCCTTCCTCTTCGTCCTAAATTTTTCTCGCTCCTGCAGGTCGCACAATCGCCACGGCAACGCGTGGCTGCCTTGCTGGGGGTCATCGATGAGACCTGTCTTCTGGTGGCAGTTGCAAGCTGCATGCTGCTTCAGCCAGCAACTCGGATCCTGAATCCCAAGTTAAACGTCACACTGCTCGGAAAATTCCGAGCCTATCCCGTCGGTGAGATTGAAAGCTTCATACGGTGAATGTGCCGTGCTGTGTTGTGTTTTGACGGCTGCCTAGGATTGTTTAAGCCCACGCACTTTGTCCACGCGTCACTCACTCTTCTCTCCACCAGGCCAGGCCAGGCCAGAACCCTATCTACATACATACATGCGATGCCAGACTCAATCCAAGCAGTAAGAACTCACCACTCACGATGCCACCTCCCAGAGTGCAATCAGTCGAATACCACGACCTCGCTAGTCGCTCGTCTATCGATTCATTTGCATCAGTCTCCGACTGGGAGCAAGCTGGGCTGGTTCTTCCCAGCAATCGATCGCACCGTTCCTTCTGGCGCAAGTTGTGGCGATCCACACCTACTCCTTGGCAACCCCAGCGTGCGAGACCACGTCGCTTTGCTTCACCTCGCTGGTCTTCCATCCGACAACTATTCCGAATAGCACTAAGCTTTCTAATCGTTTTGATCAGCTGCACCGCTCTCTTCTTTCCCTCTTACACGCGCCTACCGCCCCATTACCAACAAGTGGTCGAGCGAGCCACGCAGTCCGACCAGCATGGCCGCGGCAACCCGCGCAACGAGCGCATCTTCATCGCAGCCATTCTCTACGACCCCGAGGGCACAATCGCAGGCGGCAGATGGGGCGAGTCCCTGCTACAGCTGATCGACCTACTCGGCGAAGACAACGTCTTCCTCAGCATCTACGAAAACGACAGCAGCGGGCAAGGCGAACAAGCGCTCCGTCACCTGGAGGACCGCGTCGCATGCAACAATTCCATCCAGTCCGACCTCCATCTCGACCTGAGCACCTTTCCCCGGGTCACCGTCCCAGGGGGTGCCCAACGCGTCAAGCGCACCGACTACCTGGCCGAGCTGCGCAACCGCGCCCTGCGACCGCTGGATGACCCCGCAGCCCAGCCCTACGATCGCATCCTATACCTCAACGACGTCATCTTCGACCCCATCGACGCAGTGCAACTCCTCTTCTCCACAAATGCTGCCAATGCATCCGACGGCGTAGCCCGGTACCGCGCCGCGTGCGCCGTCGATTTCATCAACCCGTTCAAGTTCTACGACACCTACGCCACGCGCGATTCGGAAGGCTACGGGATCGGCCTGCAGTTCTACCCGTGGTTCAGCACGGCCGGCCACGCCCGCAGTCGACAGGACGTGCTGGCGCAGAAAGACGCGGTGCGCGTGCGCAGCTGCTGGGGTGGCATGGTCGCCTTCAACGCGACGTACTTCCAGCGCCCAGACCGTCCAGTGCGGTTTCGCGCGGACAGCGACTTGTTCTACGACGGGTCCGAGTGCTGCATCATTCACGCGGATTTGCAGGATCCCCCAGCAGCAGCAAGGGTGGATGATCTGACTGACTCCGGGGTGTATATGAACCCCTATGTGCGGACGGCGTACACTGAGCGGAGCTTCCGGTGGCTGCGCACGACGCGACGCTTCGAGCGGCTGTACTCGCCGGTGCACGGGGTCATGAGTCGGTTGGCCGGGTTTCCGAGGTTCAATCCGCGGAGGACGGAGATCGATGGGGAGGTCGTGGCTGAGAGGATGTGGGTGCCGGATGCGAGGCATTCCAAGGGGGGATCGTACCAGACAGTCGAGCGGGTGGCGGATAACGACGGTTTCTGTGGTGATGGATTCGGTGGGAGACGGGGGTTACAGCTCATCCGAGAAAATCGTCAGCCCGGGGAGGACGGATGGGAGGAGATACCGGTGCCTGTTATATAGTCATTAGTGTCCTAAGTAGTTAAATTGCATATATAAAGTTGTTTTGAATTTCATGGTTTCTTGTGTACAGTACGGTGCCTCCGCAAAAGGTATCCCCAGCATCCCGACTCCGCCAACGCCATAATCATGATAACAGACCACCACAGAATGACAATAGAGAGAAATATCAAACAATCGCAGCAGTAGGCACCTTGGACCAGTCGCGACACATGCCCAGCACCGTCCGACAGAACTTCCCATACTCCACCGTCAGATCGAACGCCCGCCACGACCCCTGCGCCAAATGTCGAAGTCTGGCCGAGGGGTCGGTGATGGGCTTCGAACCCATGTTCCCATATGCCCCGCGGCCGGGACTGCCATCGTGATCTCAGTCAGCCATAGCCAGTAACCTAGAAGTGGTGCACATACCTGAATCCCGTGATGGGGAGAACCACAACATCATCGACCAACTTACTCCTCCCCCCATCTTGCAGTCCCGACAAGGCCTGCCATCGTAGATCAGCTACCTCCTCCAGCCGGCCACGCACTGCGTCCGTGAATGTGGCAGGTCCAGTCAGCGTCAGCGGATCGAGGGCGAGTAGCTCCTGACGCGCAGCCCTGGAGTTGAGAGATCCGCCGTAGCGGTCGGAGATGTTGGTTAGGGTGGTTGAAAAGCGATCGAGGAAGGTCTGCAGGATCGGATGGCCGGGTGCCCAGGCAAAAGCCCACTGGGTCAGCTGCACAGGCTGCGAGTAGCCCATGCGCCAGTAGGTGTCGGTGTCCTCACGGCAGTCGGCCTCCAGCCCGACGATGGCGTGCACTGGGCTGGTCGAGCTGTAGACGATGCCGGTCTGGGTGTCGTTCCAGGGGAGGAGGTCGGTTGCGCTGAGCCATTTCGTCGGAGGGCGGAGGGGCTCGGTGTCAATATCGCCGTACTATCTCCTATCAGTGTCCATTCTTCGACAAGATATAGATACTGAACCAGGCTGGGCTGGACTTACCACACCCCCAATCCACTTGGACACCAGAATACGAAAAACATCTGATCGCTCGACATTGCTCGCCAGACTCGCGAACTGCACCTCTAGGGCAGGTTCGACCTTGCGAATCAACTGAGTCATTCCCGCATCTGTCCATAGGAAATACGCCATCTGCCCGTCGGTCGCCTGCAGCCAGCGCTCGGCGCTATGGCGAAGGAGTTGAGGCCAGGTGTCGATGTGCGTGTTCTTCCAGGTTTGATGCACGACCATGGGGATGGCCGAGTGCGGCAGATAGCGCTCGGCGGTGTTGACGAGGCCGAGAGCCAGCTCGGCGGCTTCGACGATGTTCTTGGGTTGGTGGTCGGATGCGCTCATCCATGTTGGGGGAATATACCAGGCTGTGCAGGTTGTCAGTCATGGTTTGTGTTTGTGGAATTGTGATGGTGGGCGGGACCGTACCTCCTCCTTCCGCATGATGCGTATGGACATGATGATAGAGAAACGGGTATTGATTGTCTAAAGTCATCAACTCGTTATCCCACTCTTCTCGCTGATAGAGCGTCCAGATCATCAGCACTGCACCGAGGAGGGCGAATATAGCCAGGCGTCGCAGGCGAGTGGGTGCCATTGCTGCTCTCCGTATCCTATGCTAGGTGACAGGTGGTGGTGGTGTTGATGGTTGAGGACCTCCCGCCTGATTCCAACCAAGCATCATAATTAAGCTCCGATGCTAAGGCGACGACCCAGGGCGTGGGTGGTGCCAGATGCCATCCGTCACAACGGTTACACAATACGTAGGCAGCGATGAATCGGACCCTGAGGGGCGGCAAGATCTACTGGGTCTACGAAACACACCCCCCATCGGAAGTGAATGTAGAATATGTCTGCCTGGAGACAGCGCCGGTCCACTACCGCCGCAATATTGCCTATCATGTATGCAGGCGCAGAATGCTCGAGCCGCGTGGGCGCAAGCAAACAGATGATGAGTAAAATGATTGCTCACGACCAAAGACCCCCGAACGCACGACCCCTAAAGCCAAAACCCCCTGACCAACTCAAATGTGGATGCGTATATTTTCATCTACATGGAGACCAAACAGAGGCTGAGAATAGCCCTCGTTGCTGCTTGTCAGTCCGGATGTGAGACATTTGACCAGCACTAAAACTAGGCTTCAGTTCAGGGTTTTTCGTGCGGGAAAGTTTAGGCGAGCAAACGCCCACCAAATGGGGGGGCGTGGTTATAATTTGAGACCCGTGGCAGAAGGCGGAAATGGCCGAGGGTTCCAGTCGGTTCCAGTCGGTGTGCGTGATTCAGGGTCAAGTCTTGTTCCGATTTAGTTCAGCCCTACGGAATTGCACCCCTTTTTGCCAGCCTTAGCCGCCAAATTCCCAAAAAGCTTGGTTGTCTTGCCTAGCGAGTGACAGTCCACACACTGCCAGGGTTTTCCACCATATTCTTCAATTCTCCCTCCACTTCTGGAAGGGTTGGACTTGGCTTTGCATCAGCACGGCCATCAAAGTGCTTGTCTCAATTACTATAAACAATATTTCATTCTCACTTGTTCTGACCTGCACCTATCCCTCCGATGCGGTGAAGGTTGACCGGCCCCCACCCGCGGCTGTTCGGGGGATGTCCGTCTGTAACCCGCGGAACCCGAATGCCCTCATCTTCTCTCTGGTCGGCTCCACTGCCCTCGGAACCACTGACGACCAGAATGCCTTGTTTGGGGCTAGTTTGTCTAGCCAGGTTGCAGGTTTTACGCTTACACGCCTACACCAATCGCCGGGTCGGTCTCATCCTGGAATTGGGAAAAGGTCGTACAGGTGAAGGTTTAGGCAGCCATTATCATGGCGTGGCCGGACCTGCAGGATGGGCTGGGCTCCGGTGAATAATGCAATGAGCCTCGCGGGTGGTTACATGGCCGTGACATCTCATCCCCCTTGGATCTCGCCAACAATGTTGAACATACGGCCCGGGGAAGTTCTTGGCTCGATGCTTTCTACGTGACTTTTTACGTGACTTTATACACACACCCACTTTTTTCAATATTCTTTGTGTCTCCTCTCGCCGATAACCAGCATCGACCGTTGATACGATGGCTTCTTTGCGAGTACGGCTACTCTTCGTCGCAGTCACAGTGATCACATTAGCGGGTCTGTTCCTGCCTATGCACGAACTATATCTCCTCCTCCGTCTGCCCTTCGTCTGGAAAACCTCCGCCGCCGACTCGATCCTCTCTGCCCAACGCGACGGATTCGACGTCACTTTCGCATCCTACGCTAACAGCAGCGGTCTCCAAGAAAACGCGGGCATCCCCAACCGCCTCCATCACGTCCACCTGGGCCCCAGCGCACCGCGGGCGGAATGGCTGAGTGCCCGCGCACAGTGTCTGGACCATCACCCGGACTGGGAGGTGTTCCTGTGGGAGGATGAGAACTCCCGCGAGTTCGTGAAGAGCCAGTACCCGCATCTGCTGGCGATGTGGGAGGAATATCCGGCGCTGGTGCAGCGGGTGGATGCGCTGCGGTATATGGTGCTGCATACTTACGGCGGTATATTCTTACCTTCCTCCCTGAGACAACAACAGTGAAGCACTCTTTCTAAACAATGACGTTCAACAGGAGCAATTCTGGACATGGACCTCGCGTGCCGGCAGTCCCTCGACCCCCTCCGCGAATTCGAGTTCGTGGCGCCCGCCGCGCACCCCGTGGGCATCTCGGTGGGGATGATGCTCGCGGCGCCCAACAACGCCTACGTGCGCGCGCTGGTCGACAACCTGCCCCGCTTCAACCGGCGGTGGTCCCTGCTCCCTTACATCACCATCATGTTCAGCACGGGCTGTCACTATGCCTCGTAAGTTGTTTTTCATTATCCTCCCGAACGCACAAGCCCCTAACGTAAGTTCCCTGTGGTAGGACAATCTTCACGCTGCAATCGAACCGGTCCGCCCTCCGCGTCCTAGCCGGCACCCCGGATCACCCCACCCTGAACATGCTAAACGGATACGTCAACACCCCGCTGTTCCAGCATCTGGGCACCTCGTCGTGGCACGGGCGGGATGCGCGTTGGATCAAGTTCTTCGCGCACTGCGACCAGCGCCTCTCCTTTCTCGTAATCGTGGTGTTTCTGCTGTCCTTCGCGGGGGCCGTCTGCTTCTGCGTGGCGCGGGGGCGACGCGCCGCGCGACGACCGGATCCCACGCGCACGGAGGCGATCAAGTCGGAGGGGAAGATGGTGTAAGCTTTTGTCTCCGAGGATTGTTATGTACAGTACATTAGCTCATTGTTCATATTCGTGGTATCGATCGTAATCTGTAACTTCGTGGTTTCAAGTGCCCTAATTCCGGACGGCAGTCCACATACATACTCCGCAAGTTTAAGCACCCCCACTAAAAAGCCACTGCATGAAATTTACACCCCCGAAGGGTTACTGCACGCGCACCAGATCATTGAACCACATATACCGACTAACCACCAGATACAACACGCGGTCCCACGAGTACTGGCTCGCATGCTGGGCGAACGCCGCCCGCGCCACGCGGTAGGTCTCCCACGAGCTGACCAGCAGCGCCGTGTCCTCGTAGCGGCCTGCGACCGCAAGACTGGGGTCATGCTCGGGGCTCACCATCAGCGCGCGGAGAATGCGCCCGGTGAAGGGCAGCGCGGTGCGCAGCAGGTCGACCAGCGAGGCGTATTTGCGTAGCAGGAAGACGCTCTGCAGCATGTAGGCCGGTGGAGCGTTGGGGGTGGCTTGGACGAATTTTCTGCACCATTGACTCATTAGTTGACTGCTGTTTTCTCGGAGTATGGCAGATGGAAATGATATTGATGGGAGGTAATGGGATGGGAAGGGAAGGGGAAAGGCTCACCGCACACCCCCGCTCACAGCGCGGTGGTTCACATGCCCCGACACACCCCCGTCGTCGAAAGTATATAGCAGATCGATGTGCCACTGCTGCACGTACTGCGCGACAACCTCGCGGATGAGATCCTGGTCCCACCAGGCCTTGGGGTTGTCCTGCAGTTCGCCCCGGTCGAGGACGATGCAGCGCTCCGGCGCGATGCCCAGACGGTCGCAGCTGCGGTGGATTTCCGCCTGGCGGGTGTCGCCGAGCCCGTTGTAGTTGCCGCAGGAGAGGACCAGCAGGGCGCGAGTCACCCCGGGGTTGGTGCGGTGGTAGAGGATGGTCGGACTGAAGAAGAGGGTCTCGTCGTCCGGGTGGGCGGTCACCAGCAGGATGTTGCGGGCGCGCTGCACGCTGGCCGGCACCAGCCGGGGATCGTCCGCCAGCGGGTACGCCAGAAGCAGGTATAATCCCACGGCACAGGAGACGAGGACGATGGTGATCGTGGCGAGGAGACGTGGTAGGGGGCCTCGTCGTAGTGGACGTCGTAGACGGCGGAATACCGGTGGGAACTGTGCCATGGCGACGGATTGACTGTGATGAGGAGGAAGAAAGTAGAGGAAGAGAGAGGAGCGATGGGAAGTAGAGAGAGAAAAGAACCATGGATAAGAGGCAGGCAGCCGGATGGGATGTGGAAATACGGTACTGTATGTATTGTCTGTACTGTATGTACTGTTATTCGGTCTAGATTCGGTACAGGAAAGTCAGGTGCCCCCCACTACCCTCATTGACCCACTACCAATCTACTGACTACTAGGTACTCAATATTCATCAAGAGACGCACTTGAGATCTTTTCAATACCCACAGAACAAATCATCATCCATCGGCCAGAACAACCACGGGTCCATCATATTCCTTTCGGCCTCGCCATAACCAAAATCCCCCACTCCACAGCAAGACAGCCCCGAAGATCAACGAGGCGTAATTCATATTCGAAGGAGTAACCGGCTGGTAGGCGGGAAAGACCATGAAAATGCTCGTGAAGCAGAGATAAATAATGGCGACAATGTTGACGATGATTCCAACCCGGCCGAGACTCCACGGCCCCGGCTGCAGGCTATGCGGTAGGAAAGTGCGACGCCACAAGAAAAAGATAATCGGAACAACATAGGAGACGTGCAGGCCGAGAACGGCGAGGGAGAGGATTGCGTTGAACGCCGTGGTCGATCCAATATTGATCAGTCCGAACAACACGAGAAGGCCGGCGGTGGCAAGGATAGAACGCGTTGGTAGATGGGTGTGAGTATCAACGTGAGAAAGATAAGTAGAGAACGGGAGGGCTAAATCAAACATCAGCGTGATTAATCCCAGAACGCAGTTGAGGAAATCACTGTACCTTTATCCCGAGCCAGGGATAAGACCATTCGAGCGGTTGATGCCAGCAGCGCAATCGTAGCCAACCATGCCGTGATGATGAGAACGGCGGTCATAACACAACTCGCGGCCGAAGATTGAGTTGCTTTGCCGAAGATCTCGATTATCGGATATCCTGTATCAGTTTCCAGCGCACTCTCCATGTCTCCCATGCAGAAAAGAATAGTAACAAGGAATGCGAATCCGAGAATGCCGTTGATAGCCAGGGAGCCAAGCATACAGTATGGAACGGCTGTGGTGGCGTGGGCCATCTCCTCACACAGATGTATCGCCCCATCGTAGCCTGGAGCAAGTATTAGCGTCACTATATCGGGTCAACAATGGAGAGAGCACAGACCTGTCAAAACGTAGCAGCTTGAGAGCATACCCAGACACCAGGCCAGTCCATCAGTAGACCAGCCAGTGTTATTGATGAATGTCGTAAATACGAAGTGCGCGTCATTCTTTGCCGGCGCACAAACCCACACAGCAATCAGAATAGCAACAAATCCGACCAAGTGGATCAACAGTGAAATTGTCTCCACCAAGGATAGCAGACGACTACCCCACACATTCAGAATGGTGGCTAATCCGACCATAGCACAGTAGATTAACGATACATGCCAGCGCTGGGGCTGGTACGTCTCGCGGGTGAGAACCACCAAGCCCTGAGCCATACCGGCAGAGAGGTAAGGGGCGCTGGCAGTGAATGACACCCATCCGAATGTCCCTAAAATGGTGTTTCGAGAAGATCAGCTGGTCGTTTCGGCCCGCTGCGGCTGAAGAGCTCACCGATCCATCCAACAATCCAGCTGAAGGATCTCCGCAATTGTTCTGGCGTAAATTTGGCTGTGAAATGATACTGGCCCCCTGCGGTAGGGTATCTATAGAGAAAGTAGTGTGAGCCTAGTGCACTCATTCCTCGGCAGGAGGCACTCACATCGACGCCATTTCACTCAACGACGCTGCGGTCGCAATCGAACCAACGACTGCCACTATCTTCTGGTCAAAACCATTCGTGGATCGACCGAGGCAGAAGAACCAACAAAGATACCCATAGACCAGAGAAACAGGACCACCACTGACAAGACCCGCTGCCATCGTACTGTACAAATCGTGGTCGTCAGCCTACTGAGTGCCATCATCTGTTCAGCGACGGCGCGGATTTACCTAGAAAAGGCCTCCCATGTTGACATCAGAACGACAGTAAGCGACAGGATTGTGAATCGAGAGAAAGGCTTCTGCCCATCCGCAGATAAAGTCAGCATACTACCGAATGCCAGATGGATGAATGTGCAGCTGCCTACCTTCAATTCGACCAATTCTCCAACCCCGCTGTGCACCCCATCGTCCACCTCGCCCGACTTGGCGGTGCAACTGTTATGCGATGCTTTCATGCTTGTAGCCATTTTGATCGAGCGATCGTACGATGGTGGGATGCCTGAAGCAAACTCTGGGCGGGTAGAGCAGGCGTGTATGAGGGGAGCAGGAAATATGCATCTTAACTACAATGATCGATTCTATGTAACCATCACAGGCGGCTAATCATCGTAGTTGTTTCTGGGCAGAGTTGCCACTCACCATGTTGGCAATTAGAGTAGAGATAAGCTAGGTAGCACTTTATCGCTGAAATTGTACAAAAAGTGCGGACCAGTAGGATCACGCGGGCGGGAATATCGAAAGCAGCTCTTATCAATACTTGGTCATTTGGATGCAGAGCCATGATTTAGATGCAGGTAGATGAGAACATGCACAAACGAGTCGCCGAACATAAAGAATCTGAGATCAACCCTAAGAGATGGGTGGACTAGTAAACAACAATAGTGAAGCCTTTGCCTCTCCTCTCTCCTTTCCTTGGCAATTATGATGGGTCTGGTTCCCCGTTTAGATTCGCCGTCAGCATTCCCCGCCGACGATAAGGAGAATTGCACATTTCATGGAAGTGATTAGGTTGGGCTGAAAGGCAGCTGCGCTTGTCTTTGATTTGGCCGATAATGGGATTATGCGGAGACAGTTTGCTGGTATGTATATCTAGACTCAACATCCGATCACTTTTGAAGTGTATCGTTGAGCACGGTGCCATAGAGAGTGTTTGTTTATCTTTTTTTTCTTGGTAGGAAACAGCTACCTCGTCATGCGATAATCTGATGCAGGTACCATTAAGCGCAACATTGAGGACGACCCCAAGACACTGCCTGTCGGGCTAATTTTGTCGGCGCTCCTCCTCACGCAAGTCGGAATCTGGCTGCAAAGCAATCGCAAGCAGAATCGCGCCCAGTTCATTCATCTGGACGGATGATGTTATATTCCATGGGCCGTACTCATGCATTGTAAGGAAATGGGGGCCCGTACTTCGGCCGGGCTTGTTGTTCAGATAGTCAACATAATCTTGATCGTATTCAGCAAATATAAGAAATACATGATGCCGATTCAGGGAGACATGCACTCGCCTACCCACATTCCCGTCTATTAGTGCCCTGAAGCATGGAAGATGTTGACCAGACTTACCGGCAAATTCTATTAAGATAAGGTCTAGATCTGTATCCGATTTGGCCCAAGCTACCATCTGCGCGGCTTCCTGCATGTTGATCAATGCCCTCTTTAGTCTTCTATGCACTGGCTTCACTTCAATGAGGGTACGAACTTTCCCTGTGGGTCCATCTTCGAGATACCCATCAACTCGGGCTTCGAATGACGCATGGCTGAAGTCTGCTTTGAAGGCTTTTCGATGAACAGTCCGACGACTGTGAAATCCCAAAGTGAATTATTAGACCAACCAGAATTGTAGACAGAGCCACGGTGACTATTTCTTGATCTTTGGTAGGCTTGTACATCTGCTTAAGAATCTCGCTCGGCCCGGGTGTCTCCTCGGGAGTTTCAAAGGCGGATGGCTGTTCTTCATCCGAGCTGTCTTCTTCTAACCCTAGTTATCCGATCCTTTTCCATCCTTCCTCATAACAATGAACACACCCTCCGTCCTCTTCTCCTCTTTTGTGTGTGTCTTTGGGCGGAGTTTAAATCGGGCTTTGGGCATCCTGGTTTGGGTTACTAGCGTTGAAGCGACGTATGGCTGGGTGGTATGTGGATTCTGGCGCTGGGAATCGGGTGAAATTCTTTCAATTATGTTTCGGTTATGATGATTAATTAGCATGTTGGGCTTGGTTGTAAGACACCGTGCACAATCTTGCCTTTATTCTGCCTCAGGCAACAAGTCAATGCTCGGGGCGCAGATTGCCGTCGAGCCAATAGGATTTCCAGCAGTTATCCAGCCGGACTGAGAGAGCTTATCTCCGCTCGGCATTGGCATTGAGGCGTGATAGCGTTTTGCGGGGAAGAAGACAGATTTGAATACAGTGTCACTTTGCTTCGTGGTCCTATAATTCGGCATAGTCTCTCATCCAGATTGCTTTCACTTCCACCGAGGTCGCAACCGAAGCTGCTCTCACACATTTCCAATGTCAACCTTGCAACCAGTCTCTCGTCGTAGAGTTAAAGCTCGGAGTGAGTGCGACCTGCTACCCAGTGCAGCGGTGTCTACCAGTGTGTTCGAACTAACCTATTACTCATTCAAGCTGGCTGCCTCCGGTGCAAACAAAGAGTAGGGAGACTCGTCAGACCGGAACTCCATGTGCCCTGCTAACCAAATCTACACAGCGAATAAAGTGTGACGAAACGGTACCGGCGTGTACCCAATGTACGCGGAAGAACTTTGACTGTCCGGGGTACAGACGACCCTTGAAATGGTCCTCCAAGTATGAGGTGGAGATGGCCATCGCGCACCCACCCACCGAGCTGGAAGAGACCATGGAAACATTGCAAGCACAATTCATCCAGTCGAAAAGGTCAAACGACTCTACAGTCAATGATCATCGAGCTGAAGCCGCTCACCGAGCCCAAGCTGACACTGAGGTACCATTCTGCATTCATGGAGACAATATTTCAACCGTATCGACCCGAGGGAGTCCCACTACCAGCGAGCTAACAAGATTGGTCAACCTGCACCAGGTCTATACCACCCTCGAAGATCACGACACAACTCTGCTACGCCACTATTTCTGCAAAGTCTGTCCAGTGAACTCCTGTTTTGACTCGCACAAGAACTTCTTCCGCATGGAGGTCGGAGCCCTGATAAGCTCCCGCCCACTGATCCACTCCTGTGTCCTGGCCATGTCAGCCGCTCATCTAACTCCAATACGAGGCGACATGGTAACAACCACCTTGACTCATCGATCTACGGCATTAGCCTGTCTGAAGGCGGAGATAGAGGCAGTATCCCTTCCACGTCGGAGAGAGAGCGCATCATTACTCGATCGGACCGTCGAAATGCTTCTTGGTAGCATACTTCTGGGAATGACTGAAGTAAGCCATCGGCCCTATTCAGTCACCACCACGATTGACCGCCTGAGATAGGGATGGCATGATCCGACGCAACTAGGTATCACTCATCTACACGGCGCCCGTGTCTTATATCGCAAATGGCTGTCAGCCCCTACGATACCAGGCCCATTCTCTCGAGTGAAAGCTTGTGCTCGAACCAGAAGTCTGATCACTGGTCTCATGGTTTACTGGGAAGCAGTTACTTCCTTCGTTCATACTCAACCGTTGGACGCAACCGCCTACTTAGCGGCCGATGAGCCATCTACCATCTACGTCAACCCTTGGACCGGCATTTGCACGCGATTGTTTGCCTGCCTGGCTAAGATCGGCACACTGACAAGACACCGGTCTCTGCTTCGTCAGATGTCGGTCGCCGCCTCCTCAGCGGCTGGGTGGGCGCAAGCCAGCACCGAGATGATTGAACACGCTCGCAGTGTGGAGACCACGCTCCTCCACTACCAAGTCCCTGGGCAGAAACGAGTCGAAGACACAGTGGATGCAAGAACGCCCATCGACCACCTGCAACGACTGGCCCAGATTTATCAACAGATAAGCCTCCTCCAACTGTACATGACCTTCCCCGACATCCATGCGGGGTCGCAGGACGAAACCCTGTTGCGTGGCCAGACTTCGTGGACAACGAGTCGGGCCCACCGTATTCTAACCCTGGCCACGAATGTTCTGGCCGCTATCGGAGTCCTTCCCACCACCTCTGGCGTGTACTGCCTGCTCACGATTCCGCTGATTATTGCCGGCAGTGCATTGCAAGCTCCTGTGTGCACTGCCCCCAAGCCACATGAGAGTAGCCAATCTTCACCGGATATCCTGAGCTTTACCCTCCAGGATGATACCTATCTTTTCTGGCGGAACTTTGTGCGTGAGCGCATTGAGACCATCCATCGAATCATTGGCGTTGCCGCTATTCCCCGGGCGCAGGAGATTCTGGACAGGGTATGGTTCTTGTCCGATGTGCGGAGGTTTGCAGACGAATCTGGCGGGGAGTTCGAGTACGTCCAGTGGACAGAAGTGATGGTTTCCGAGCGATTGGAGACAGTCTTTGGCTAGCATTGTCTAAGGGTGGCATCGACCGCCCTCGGTCAATTTCGATGAAGAGGGTTCGGGTTATTGTATACGCAGCCTGAGGCTATTGACGCTAGCCGCATTTGGTCAGATAGTGCGTCAAGGAACAAGATGCGATAAGCTGTATGTGCTCCACACTAGCGCTAGTCTTTTTTCAGCCATCATCTTGAAAGCCCTCCCCAGTTATGGTACCTAGTAGATACTGCCAGCAACCTTGAAGTCTTATTACTATAGCTAAGCGAGCAAATTGATACACGCGGTCTTGTGGCCACTTAGTTGTCTCGAATGCTTCACTACATGAATCGCTAGACATCGAGTGGAGATATACTATTAGCAAGCGTTCGACTACCATGTGCCGGTCCATGACCCCGACATCTATTTATATAAACCGCCGTTCACACAATAGAGTATCACAGACAAAGCACACCACAACCACCACTAAACACCCACCATGGTTCTCCAAGTCAAAGGCAAAGTCGAAGCCTACAAGCTTCTCGAATGTCTTCTTCGGTCAGCCCTTTTCCCCAACACCCCCCTAGGAGTCTGATAAATTCACGGGCTGACAAAGGAAAAAGACGACCTGCTCGGAACGGAGAAGCGCGAATTGGGAAATCCAATCGTTGGCTCCTGGTTTCGAATCGAAAAAGGTCCAGAAGCAACACCCCCAGAGTATACCTACGATGAAGTTGGAGTAGTCATTGAGGGTGAGTGCACGAGCCGCATCTTCCTGGAACCGAAGCCTAGGTCAGCTGATTGGAACCACTCTGTAGGAGAGATCAACCTTCGTGATGAAACTGGACAGACCGCCACAGTCAGACCGGGCGATACGTTCTTCTTTCCTCGAGGTAGCACCATCACCTTTTCTTCGGATAGTTATGGGGTGGCGTGGAAGTGTGGGGGGCGTTGGCCGGCTAAACTCTGAGTAAACTGGGGTAGTGCCCTGTGTGCAAGTACTGAATAAATTGAGCATCCATTATCATGTATTCAAGTATTGATTGCTGCTTTTCTCAAACCTGTGCTTATTGTCGAGTATTTGCTATGCTTAAACACTATGACTTGTACATGTTCAATAAGGCAGTCATCACCGTGATAGATAAGTAAGGCGGTAAATATAATCGCAAAAACTGACGGGTAAGGTAAAGCGCATTTGTCAAGACATTTCCTTATCACTGGGTCCTTGGTTGTGCATTTTCAGAAATACGCAGGTCGAGATGTCCTACATGCTTTTCTTGATCTGCGACTCTTCTCCAACTTAGGGTTCTGAGCTAGCCTTCCCGGATTTGGCAAAAAAGTGCGTCGGACTCGCGTGCCACCCGCAGCACGACCAAAGTGCACCACAATGGGAGTACAAGGTATACTCAGCTAAAAAGATAACCATTTGCAAGTCCGCATTAACTCGAGATGCTTTCGGGATGCGCGGATGCCGAAGTGCCCAATGGAATGGCATGACGCGGTCACCAATGCTGTCCTCATGACATTATTTAGCGAAGCCGGATCTCTGGTTCTATGCCTTGAAAACCGCTTCTCCATAGTATCAATCACACTCGCAACATGTCTCGCTCAAAAGAAGGCTTCCTCTGGACTCCCACCGAAACCACCTCTGGCCTGCCCACAAATGCAGTGCAATCGAGCTCCCCGACCCTCCGCGACCGCTATGACGTGATCGTCATCGGTGCCGGATTCGCAGGCCTCACCGCAGCCCGCGACCTGAGTCAGAAGCACGGTCTGGCCGTTCTCCTGGTGGAAGCCCGTGATCGTATCGGCGGGCGCACATGGACGGCCCGAGTGCTCGGGGAGGAGATCGAAATGGGCGGCACCTGGGTGCACTGGAACCAGCCGCATCTCTACGCCGAGCTGCATCGGTATGGACTGCACCTGAACCTGAAGTCCTCGGCAGGGGCCTACGCGCCGCACGAGCAATTGTTCAAGTCGTCAGGAGGTGTGGTGGAGAAGGTTTCCTCCGAGCATTACGGGCCGGCACTCGAGCGCGTGGCGCAGAGAGTCTTCGCGATCGAGGGATTAGACAGTCGGGCCTTGATGCCGTATCCCCATGACCCGCTGCGGGCACCTTCACCGTGGAAGCGGTACGATCATCTCAGTGTCCAGGACCGACTAGACCAACTGACGGACTTGGATCAATGGGAGAAGGAGTTGTTCGCGTCCAACATTAGCACGTTTGGCAGTGCTCCGGCGAAGGAGACAGGGTTCACCGATGCACTGCGCTGGTTTGCACTCGGGGGCCACAGCATGGCGGGAGTGTTCGAGCTGGCAGGAAACTACAAGCTAGGACGAGGCGGGATGACCTCCCTTGCTCGGGCGATTCTGAGCGAGTATGTCGGGGACATTAGTTTTGGCACGGTTGTCGCAGAAGTGAACCATGAGGCGGATGAGGTTGAGGTGCGCACGAAGGACGGACGGAGATTCCGGGCAGACGCAGTCATCTCGACGATCCCACTGTAAGTCCTCTCGTCACTCATGTTCCGAAAGTGTAGACGCAGTTGCTAACGCCCAGCCAGAAACTGTCTCAGCGACGTGCAATTCAACCCCCCGCTCTCGCAACCTCACCAAACCGCCGTGCGCCAGGGCCACATCAACCGCGGCGCAAAGATCCACTTCAAGCTACGTGAAACGCTGCCCGGCTGGTTTTGGACGGCCAATGAAGCCAGCGACTCGGAGTTCGTCTTTGCGTTCTCGGACCACAACGGCACCCAGCCTTCCGGGCCATCGGGCACCTGGTGCATAGGCTTCGGTTACAATGGGCAGTTGACCCAGAAGACAGACAGTGAGCACATCGTGCAGAGGTTCAAGCGGGATATCAAGCCCGATGTCACCGTCGAGGCATACGCGACCCATGACTGGATGAACGACCCGTATGCCAAGGGCGTGTGGGCCTGCTGGGGCCCCAACAGTGCATCGGCCCATCTGCAGGAGCTTCAGAAACCGCACGGTCGCATTCTTTTCGCAAGCGCGGACTGGGCGGATGGTTGGCGGGGCTTTATCGATGGAGCCATCGAGCGAGGTCAGGTGGCTGTTCGGGATACTGTGCGGCTGTTGAAGGAGACTTCCACGGTGTCTGCCAAACTGTGACTAAAGATGTCGTCGCGGGTTTGGGCCTTGCGTTGAGGTAAAGTCTGCTTTGTTACCTGAATGGTGTGTAACAAGCTATCTGCCACGAAACACAAGGCTAAAGGGCAATGAATGTCAGAATAGCAGCATAGAAGATAAAATGAGATAAAGTACTAGGCTTACCACCACATATCATACTTATTCAGTAGGAATTAATTCTGTCGTCCTTAACATTCGTGATGTATTGCCTCGGGGCCCTACATCAGGCCCAGAGAGACATGAAGCAGATCAGAAAATAGTCGGCAAAGACAGATCTAAAAAGTCATCGAAGGCAAGATCTAGGTCGGTCATGTCACCTATCGCCCAATCGTGGTCTCCAGTATAGTATACGACGGGATCTTGTGCCACGGGCGCATAAGTCGCGTTCATCGACAAGCTTTCTTCTTCTCCAGTCGCGGCGGGAGCCGCTCGCGTACGCTTATTCCGAGTCGCTTGTGGAGACTGCACGACAGGCCCATGTACTCTGGGCTCATCCCCGTACAAGCCTGGATCACTCTCGTGGATTTGCTGGAGAGCTTTGCGGCCCAACCGGGCCATCGCTTCGGCAGAGTACCACGAGACACTCAAGCTCTCAAGAAGTGAACAACACGCGTCGATGTCGGTTGCAGCTCGTCTTCGATGGGTGATAAGATTGCTGGACCGGTATTGGCGATAGGACACGCTCATGGACAATGTGACTGCATACGATACGATCGGCAAAGGAGGCAGTTCCTCGGAACACTCTCTCGCCACGATGGATTGCACGCGAATGGCTGCGAGACCCCGTTGGTTGCGTGCAAAGTTGTGCGATTCGGAGCTCGCGTTATCCATCGTTCGGTGAAAGACAATTGCAACTGCTTGGTAGTAGAGCTCCAGAAGTTCTGCACAAAGATAAACCTCGTCAGTCTCTCTCTACCACTACAGTACCTACATCGCTCCATTCGGGATAAGAAGAAAAAACCACTTACCCAAGGAAGCAAAGCCAAGTTCCTCGCCGAAAGGACCCACTATTTCCTCAAAGCTGGGAAATGGTTTCTCTGCCCTATCCTCGTGGTTGGTTCCGGGTCGGTAGAATGAGATAGCCTCGGACAAGAGTTCCGAAATCCTGAACCAAACGTCAAAAGCGGTTGTTGGGGTTTCGGGAGCATTTATGGCGCTGCGCGGCCTCTCTATACTAATATCATGGTCGATGATCAGGGCCGGGCGACCAAACATCGATGCAAGAAGCTTGTCCAGGGTCCACAGACTCCAGAAGAGCTTGAGATGTGCCGAGTCGGCATCGCCCGGTCGCTTGAGGTGCATACCCACGGTTTGTGCTTGGTGGATGGCCTGCGAGAGGTGCATCGAGGCAATTTCCGATCCTTCGGAGTTCTCACAGTGCAAGGCCATCAATGCGAGCACTCGAATCCTCGTCACACGATCCCGCTCGAGCCCTTCGGTCAGCGCATCTTCGAGTCCTTGGTAGACGTCCGTACAGAACACTCGAGGCGACACCACGGCGGCATTCTCGGTCAAGTGAAGATGCGGAGCAGCAGCTCTTGCCTTAGCTGCAACTAGACAGATTGCTCGCTCCAAGAAGGGGGAGGAGATAGCTATGCGTGGATCGACGATGGGCAGGACGTGGTTGACCTGAGAGAAATAGATGGCGAAGAGTGGAAGGCGGGTGGATGAGGGCAGTGGCCTACAGGCCTTCCGTGCAGACTCGTACCGTCGACGAATTAAAGTGTCCAACACATGAGGCGTATATACTTCCTCTGCGGGATACGTTGGCGCTGGGTTGCGCATGTCCTCGGTAGCATTCCTCGATGGATCTCCTCCACTTTCAACGCCAGAGGCAGGAATCCAGAGTCCCACTCGGTCGCGTAGAAGGGTAGAATTCGTACCCACTGCCAGTCTCTCTCGAATCACAGCCTCCGGATTCATCTCGCCAACAAAGCGAGCCGGCAGAATGGCATCTGATGTTGTCGAAGCCCGAGACTGATGCTGGGGTCGCGTCCCGGTGGGGCTGGGTCCGGCCTGTCTTCGACGCATGCGACTGGAATTTGGCTGCGTACCCGCATGCTGACAGCGTTTCTTCGATCGGCAAAGAGAATGTGTCAGTGCTCCCATACTTTCGCAAGATGCCACGGCTTTAGTGAGCGGCTACACACCTTTTTCCGCTGGCAAAGGTCGCAAGCTCTCAACGCCCTCTTTCGAGAGCGGGTCTGTGGGGAATCGGCTAGCCAGGTGACCTCCATCTTGATCTGGAGGGAGTGAGGAATAGGGGACTTTGATCGGCAAGAGGGGGGCTATGAAGCATGCTAGAGGCTTGCCAATGCTTGTCGAAGCTTGTCAATGCATTGTGACTAAGTTACTGACTGCCTGATATCGAGAGCGAGCAGTGAAAAAGGCGCAGGCGCGGGAGGCGGCAGCCGAGCGGGAAGCTTTCCAAAAGTAGAAAGCCGCTCCCCGGGCCGCCACCACGGCGGAAAAGTTTCCTGAATAGGCAACCGAGTTGGGGGTGCAGGGCGAACCCATCATGAACAATATATACCAAATCAATCACATTTTCAGTGAGAAGAAGCTGCATTTCGAGAAAAGAGAGGTATGAGAACGAAATTTATTGCCTATTGTTGGGGATAGACGTACAGTCAGTACGATTCCACACCCTTTATCCTTGAGCGACGATGTCGAACCACGGCTGTAATATACACTTTGAATTGGAGTATGTCCTCTAACCTGCTACGAGCCCTTCTCTGAAACAGTGTCTAACTTGTGAGCTGGAATAGCGTAAATGCCCATAGGCTCTTTCTGCCGGCAGAAAGCAGCCTCACCCCGGAGAGTCCTCACATCACGGGCAAGTTGGTCTTGAGTCTAGCGCAGCCTACGCGGATAGGATCGATCGACGTTCAACTGCGGGGAATCATGAAGCGACGGTACGTGTTAAAAAGCAGCCTAGCTCACATATTGCCACCGAAGATTAGGCTGATGCATTAGCATCCCCAGATGGGGCAGCTCCGCGAGGCCCCAGACGTTGACCGAAAGCTGCACCGAGTCGGTTATCTTCCAGCGCAGTTGGCAGCTGATGCGGACAACCGTCTTCCAAACCCGCATCTATGGCCCGGGCAGACATGAGATACCTTTGAGCCTTGCGCTCGGATCAGGAGAGCATATGCGAGAGTCCGTGGACGGCGTGGAAGGCTACTCGGTCTCATATCTGCTAATTGGACGCTTGACGAGAAAATTTGCGAACTATCTGACATGCCACGAGAGCATCAAGGTGTATCGCAGTCATGCGCCCAGTGAGTGGTACTCTTTTGCAACTGCACATGTAGGTTTCTCTTCAATTTGGACGGACGGAGACAAGCAGCCCCTGACCCTGCTATTTCACAGACTCTGGACAACGAGTGGCCGGGCAAAATTCGATATTCCATCAGCATTCCTGCCGTTCAGATACCCTTTGGATCGGATCTATGCCCTCGGATACAACTCTTTCCATCGACTGAGGGTCTTCAGATTGAAAGCATTACAATCGAAGTCGTTGAGACTCACCACTTTGCGCCAAATCCATCTTTTGGGGGTGGGTTTCTGAAACGAGTTGAACGCTCACGCGTAGTATGTGGAAAGGAGTTCTCGTCTACGAAAGACCCGGATATTTCAACCCAGGAGATTGAGGGCAGATATGAAGTTGCACCGCTCGTCGCTTTGCCGACATCAATTCATGACTGCGCGCATACGGTGCAATCTTCCCACTTCGATATCACTCACAACGTGGTCGTCACCATCCGAATCATCAACATAGACGGGCACATATCAATGGTAAGCGCAGTAGACTTTGATGGTGGAATACTGTGGGCTAACTTACAGCGGTCAGGTTCGTGCCTTTATACCCATTATAATCTACATGCATAATGTGGATATCACCCAGCTCAAGGCATCATCCCTCTATTCCAGACACATCATTCCTCCGGTGTATGGCAAGCACCAAGAGGACCCATTGGTTACTGAAAGTGAAAGCATGGAAGACCAGTCTCGGGTATGCTCCCCTGTAATATCGAGATGTTCTTCGCCATGTGGGCACATGCCACTAGACTCTGGATGGGTCGATATTGAAGAGCTGAGCAGGACACCGAGCTATACCTCTGCTATCGACAGAGTACTAATACTGAAAGGGCCTTTACCACCTCCATACACATGAAGGCCGACTGGACCTAAAAATCCAAAATCCAAAATCAAAGTAGACTTTGACATAACCCGGAACTTTTCTCTCTGGCAATTAGTGTAACAGTTGGCCAATCGAGACCTTTGTCAAAACTCGGTGGCGGATGTCTTTAAAGATACGTGTATATTAAAGCGGGCTTTCTTATACATGACTAATCTGCGCTGCCTTGATATCTTGCGGAAATTTTTAGATACTACTGGAATAGATAGTTTATGCAAAGGTAGCTACAAAAGACCATGAAAGGTCAGACACACATCCCCAGACCCGGCCGGAGCCTCGAACCCAACAAAGCGATGATCCCTAACTACCCAATCCGCACCAGCCTCCTTCAACTGCTGCACCGTATGCGTAGTCGTCACAGCCAGCACCTTGCATCCCGCTGCTTTGCCGGCGACAATTCCTGCAGGAGCGTCTTCCATCACCAGAACTTCTCCTTCGCCAGAACGATGTTGAAGCAATTGCTTCTTGGCCATACGATACCCTTCAGGGTCCGGCTTGCCCATCTTGACATCCTCGGCAGTCGTGGCCTTCATTGCCCGCGGGAGTCGAAGGATTGTCAACCAAGCATCCAGCAATGCCTTGCTGCCCGAGGTCACGATGGCATGCGGGATGGAATGGTGGTTAAGTTGCTCCAGAAGCCGCCGCGCTCCCGCAATTTCCACCGCAGGCGTGGAAGAGAGAAGGGGGATTCTGGCCTCCATGGAGCTCACATCTGAATGTACGTTAGTGCTTTAATCACCACCACGGACGGGAACAAGACAAAGAGGAAGAGGTGACGCTCGGACATACATTCCCAGTTTGCTTTGGTGGGGTCTAGTTCTTTGAGCACATCAATGCTTCGCCTACCATGAGAGGCACAGAGGATGTCGCGATAGTCCAACCCCAATTCGGCTGCGACTCTGGACATGTTCAGTAGGACGCGCGTAGTGAATGAGGTGATATTCGCTCCTAGTCATGTACCAGCGAGGAGCCACGGTGTGGAAGGCATACCTTTTCCAATTTTCCACGATTGCTGTGTGTCAATGTCAGCCACATGTTCACCCGTGGAAGATTCGTCACGCCTACCTTCGGTCGAATCGATGATTGTTCCATCAAAGTCGAGAAGAACCCCGGCAAATGCATGCCGCTCGGTTCGACCGGCTGACTGGGAAGACTGGGCCATGATGTAATCTCAATCAAATTGCGCGTTTAGTCACGTTTGGATGCTTGCGAAATGCAGGAGAAGAGGGACTGATTTATAAGGGATAGGGGTCAAGTGGCGCCGCTCAGGGCTGGCGGGCGGCAGGTTACCGTATCAGGAAATCCACCCGCCTGCCTTCCCAGGCAAATATTTGCAGGCTTGTGATGTATAAGAGCCCCTGTGATCCTCGCACGAACCTCAGACAGAAACACAAACAAGGCGACAATCAACTTGGTTTGGAGCCAAATCTCTGCAACATGCATACTTCACAAGTTCAGACCGCGAGCCTCCGTCCGGCTTTGCGCATCCTCTCGAAACCCAGAGCACATCGCCAGCTGGCCACTTCGACACAGACCCCTCGCAAAGAAGGCGACATCTCCTCGGTATTCGTCTCCCTCTCAGGCGTCAAAGAGCAAGCACTGCCACCTAGATTTGCCGATCAGAAGCGGCGTCTGATTGCTGGACGCGAAGATCAGGTGAAACAAAGCTGGGATCGACTCCTGTGCCGGTTGCGTGATGAGGTGGGACTCATCGCCACAAGGGGCTCGGACATTATCCCCTCCATCGACTTCAAGGACATTCACGTCGCACCGTCGAAGTTTCAGGACGAACTCCGCAAGCGTGGTGTTGCGGTGGTGCGGGGTGTGATCCCTGAGAGCGAGGCCCGCGCCTACAAGGAGGAGATTGAGGCGTACGTGCGCGCCAATCCTCAGACTCGAGGTATGACAAGCTCCCTTGAAGAAATAAAAAATTAAAAGAGTCGTCTTCTCGCTGACATGACCCACCGTAGCATTCCCTCCTCAGGATCCGCAGGTATTTGAACTATACTGGTCCCAGCCTCAGATGCGTGCTCGTCTGCATCCCCACATGCTGCAGACCCAGCAATTCCTCATGAGCTTCTGGCACTCGCGCGAGGAAGATGCCCTCATCTCCCCCACTCACCCCCTGACGTATGCCGATCGCCTGCGCATTCGCCAGCCAGGTGATGCCGGCTTCGCCTTGGGACCTCATGTCGACGGCGGCAGCGTCGAGCGCTGGGAAGACAGCGGATACGGATTGGGAAAGGTCTACCAACGTATCTGGGAGGGACAGTGGGAAGAGTACGACCCCTGGGAAGCCAGCTGCCGAGTGCCAGCAGTGGCGGACTTGTATTACGGGGCCGGGGCGTGTTCCATGTTCCGGATGTTCCAGGGCTGGTTAAGCATGTCGCACACAGGTCCCCGCGAGGGCACGCTTCTCGTCAACCCTCTGCTGTCCATGGCCACCGCATACTACCTGTTGCGCCCGTTCTTCGAGCCGATCTCGTCTCCTCCGGCTGGAGACTGCTCGCGACTGGCCCTGGAGACCTACCTCGACCCGACAAACTGGCGGCTTGAGCAGTCGATGTCCAGCAAACTGGAGGGCGCCACACCAGGCTACGCGCAGGAACTGAGCGATATCTTGCACCCGCACTTGCGCTTGAACAAAACCATGGTGCATATGCCCAAGATTGCTCCGGGCGATTATGTTGCGTGGCACTGTGATAGTACGTCTCTCCATATCGATATCTCTGCGTGATTTTGTTGACTAGAATTAGCCATCCATTCCGTCGACAAGGTCCACCAAGGTCGTGGAGACAGCAGTGTCTTGTATATCCCCGCTTGCCCTGTGACCGAGGCCAATGCGCAGTATGTTCGCCGCCAGAGGGAAGACTTCCTCAACGGCGTGCCACCGCCCGATTTCCCTGGAGGCAAGGGCGAAAGTGAACACATTGGGCGCACAACACAGGCAGACCTAGCGCGGTATACTAACGAGCAGGGGCTGAGATCTCTGGGACTGGAGAAGTGGAACACCGAAGAGAAGAATCTGAAGCAGGGACAGCGCGGTGTATTGAACAGAGCCGATGAGATCATGGGTTTTTAAGGTCGACACCTTTAGCTAGTATCAGATATGACCTATTCTATCCAAACATATGTACAAATATAGGCCTCAAGATCTTTACTATGTCATCCAGACATTCAATTGAACAGTAACCCCCCATTAGCGTTCACAACACTCCCCGTAACCCACCGACTACCCTCTTCAACGAGGAACGCCACCACCTGGGCAATATCATCGACGTCCGCCACTCTCGGGGCTGCAGGAGTACTCTTGACCACCCTTTCCCAATCCTTCCGCACCTCCGCGTCGCTGATGCTTCGCTGCCACAATTCCGTATCCACCGGGCCGGGACTCACACAGTTGACGGTCGCATTATACTTATGACCCAACTCCGTGGCCAACGACCTCGTCAGACTCTCAATCGCGCCCTTAGCAGCCACGTACGCTGCGCACCCGGGATGGCCGTCGCGCGCATAGCTGCTGGAGAAGTTGACAATCCGGGGTGCTTTGCCGAAGTACGGGGTAGCTTCTTTGATGAGGAAGACCGGAAAGCGGAGGTTCGTGGCGAGCTGCGCCTCCCACGCCGCGTGGGACATCTCTTCGAAGGCGTAGTCGTCCCTGGCTCCCGCATTGTTGACGATGATGTCGATGGTGCCGCCCCAGCGCTCCACGGCGGCGCGGACGATGCGCGAAGGGGCGTCGATGTCGCTGCCTTCGGCCTGGACGGCCAAGGCGTCTACTCCTTGTCGTTGAATCAGGTCGGAGACGACTTCCTCGGCTTGCGCATGGGCGCTCTGGTAGGTGAGGAGGATGTTGGCGCCGCGGTGGGCGAGTTCGTGGGCGATGCCGCGGCCGATGCCGCGGGAGGCGCCGGTGATGATGGCGTTTTTGCCTTGAAGGGACTTGCCGGTCATTCTGGGTGTGGATTCGATCAAGGTAGGGACGAAGTAGCGGGGCGAAGATCGTGGGTAGGCTAGAGTCTTTTATCTTGATGCTTCAGGGCTACTACTCTTGCACAAGATTGAGGGGTAAATTAGCGGGGATGGCCCGCAGCGGATACACTAACCCTTGCTATTACAACCCACTAACTACATAAGAGTGCATACATCGTGATGCTTGGCAGCCAGCTGCGCATGTCCTTCGGGAATGATAACTAGACAAATATATGAAATGTCATGCAAGGTATTACCTAACCCGGAGGCCATGGTGAGATGACTGCTGTCAGGCCCCTCCAACTTCCCACAAGCGCAGGGAGGCTCTCGAATGGACAACTCCAAGCCGCAGCAGCTCGTTATCAGGTCGAAGTTCAGAGTACAAGAGCAGCTGTGCACGTTCGTAGGGGGTGAATTCCACAAGAAGATCAAAATCAGGGTTGCCCTCGATCGGAAAGTTCAGTGCGGTCAGCTTGGGCATCCGACGGGCAGCATGGCCGAGGGAAATGAGGACTCGCTGGAAATGCTCAGTATCCAAGAGTTCACGGTCTTCATCTCCCTCGTCCTCGTCACGGATAAAGGCTGTCCAGTCCTCAATCGCATCGAGCTTCGCTTGTCGCTCGGGGAGCGGAAGAGTAACCCACTTGCCTATGAATGATGAGAGGGCATTATCGCGACATTGGAGGAATCCTTACCGGTGAGAAGAACCGGCCTGGATATAGTTCAAATGATCTGGCTTGATACGCTCTTCCATGCTGAGGCACAGTGTGGACATGGTGGAGCATTTTCGAGCAATTTGCATGGCCGCGCCTTCCCAAATATCAGGAGCAAGGTGGAACGCAGGTTCGCCACAGTCTTCAATGAACCAGAGTCGGTTGATACATGGGACAACTGGGAGCATGGATGGGTCACTGTCACCAAACGAAGCACGGTAAAGAGGAACAGCCAATGTCTCTCCGTCTTGCAAGTCCCAGGTATCCTGTCCAGTAAATGTATCGTGGTCTGTGTGTGGCTCGAGCATCTCTTCTTGACCCAAGATCGTTAGTTGCACGGTGAGGCGAAGACCTGGGTCCCAGTCACTAAGCGTTGTGAAGAGGGCGATGATACCGGACTGGAAGGCATGGTCGTTGGCTCTTCGGACTTCGTTATCGGTGGAATAATCTTCCAGCTGAATTGCCTGCCAGTCGGGTAGCTCATATGGAATAACCAGATGACATCTTAGTTGCCGAATCCAAGCTCGTCGAGAAATTCCTGCACTGGATGTGATCCGATCGAGGTTTGCCAGGAAAAGTGCACGACCTGGGCTGACTTCCTCAAGGTCATCGGTGGTGTAGACGTGCACTTCGCGGTAGACCAACGGCTCGAATGCTGCTTGCCAGCGGCGACAGACAGTCACACACGGAGTGAGGGGTGCGCCTGTACTCTTGAGAAAGGTTGCTATCTGGATGAGTAGCTCCAGTGGTAGCGTGGCAGCCATCTTCAACTAGTTGATCTTAATGCACCTGAGGTCGAACGCAACTCCATGTGGGCCATTGAGAAGAACGAAATAAAGTCGGAGAAAAGGGGGGTCTTGATCAGGGAACTCAGGGCAGGAACGGTGACGGTGACGGCAACCACCACCCAACTGACGTCCACCCCATTGGTAACATTGCTCCGGTCTCTGATACCATCATAGTCAATTAGTGCATGCTGATGGCAAATGTTGAAGCTCTGCTGGACGTGGGATGTATCCCCATCTGGGACAGCATCAATCCGACATCCAGTATCTGCTAGGCTGCTCTGCATTGGCGCGCCCAAAGAAATTGGAAACTTGGTCACTGGGTTTGCAGCATGATGAACTGAGTAAATCTCAATTTTACTGATTGATAAGCAAAGGAACCAGGTCTTTCAAATTTGATTTGAAAGTAAGGAAATTGTGAAGATTTGGAAATTTGAACATTTTTGTGACAACATCAAGGAAAGTATACTGTGTCGATTGACATATGATTTTGACTTTAAGAAACCCTGGATTTCACCCAACAATGATATTCTGCAGGGTCTCCTCCTACTCCGAAAAGAGCACTCCCTTATCGACACGGATCCATTCTCGAATTATACTCACCACGCGTTGGCAGGTTGCAGAGCCACCCAACTTGTGAGCCGTGAATCGTCCCCTGATCACACAGCACAACAAAGAACCGCAGTGCATATCTTGACAGTCAGAGAACAAAGAACCACAATCGCTGCCCAATCTTCGTCGGGTTGACTCATAGGCGGATCGAGTTGCCTGAATTCCCACAGACTCATCAGACTTCCAAAGGCTAGCGCCGCAATGCTGCAGCGAAGAAAATGCACGCGGTCGGGGCCAAAGGCTCGATACAAACGGGGCCGGATCATGGTTTCAGGGTATCCAGCTGCACAGCAGAGTATTACAGGCACTATGGTCGTGACCAATTCACCTCGGATCAAAGTGTTATATGACATTGTGTCCGACGCGGTCGAGATGAATAGGAATCGCTGCTGGTCACTTGGAATGGAATGGTTTGTAAGATTGAGCCATAATTTTAGCGTCTGGGTGCTGCGGGCATAAAATAGCTGCAATAAGAATCCTTGATCTAGATTGGTACGAGACTAGTAAGGAAAGATTCTTTCAACAACAACGACAGAGAGCTTTAGCGGGGTCCGCTGGGAGTTGGTGAAGCAAGCCTGCCCTGAATGTAATTTTTTGCTGTCTATGGTTCTCATTCACAAACACGAACTCTCCCAGACTGGGGTAAAGCAAGAAACAAAGCTCAAGTGCATGTTGTGAATGAGTGTCTGCGTCTGGTTTTCTATCCCTATTCTTTCAGGTCTTTGTTTAACTCTACAAGGGCCCGTCTATCATTCTAAATGTCTTTTATCTCTATCTTGACTCCTGCGTGCTATTATGGACTCATCATGCTTTATTCTTCGAGGTTACTACGAAATACTCCAGCAGTGGCGCTGCAAGGTTCCTTGCAGAGTTTTTAGAGTAAACATTAGGAAGAATTCATTTTGCAAGCATCAGACCTTGAATCTGTACAGCGGCCATTAGAGAATTATCAGTTACCCAGGTTGATTAGATATACAATGGGAGTGGCGACTCGACTTAACCAACCTATTCCAAATCAACTATCTGTGGTGATAGGGAGATATGCTTGGTATTATGCTTGGTAGTGATGTCGTGATGAGACTCAATGAATTTGCTTCGATTATGCTACGCTATTCCCTTTTTTCAACCAAAGACAATATGGCCGAGCGGTCTAAGGCGATAGACTAGAAATCTATTCTCTTCGGAGGCGTCGGTTCAAATCCGACTGTTGTCGTTTTTTGCTTCCTTTTTCCCTGTCCTTCTACCCGACTGTCCCCACATGACTCGAGTAATTCTGGAGGCATGGTCTGTAGCATGGGTGAGCAGCGTTGGCCGAGGGTCAGCCGTGTCACAACGAGTTGGGAGTCCCTTTGACCACAATCCCACAAAAGCCCAACCAAATAAACAGATGCAGATGAAACCAACATATCCCTCACACACTTGATGAACCCCATCGCAAACATGTAGGGTCTCTAAACGTCCGCTAGCATGGATTATGGAGCGAGGGCGTGAGATCTATCAGCAGGCGCTCGACGGCCATCCTTCGGCGGACGACTTTGAAGACTGGTTTCACTTTTAATCCCCATGTGGGCGCAAAGTCAGTTTAGGAATAACTGACTCCAACCCTAACTCCTTCATGTGGTCATACCATGTCTGGCCATTTGTACAGTACCAATCGAGCAGATAAATAGAATCTTCTTGGTACATCTGTTCCAGATAAAGCACATCTTGCGTTCAGAGTCAATGAGCGTAATCAAATAGCTACACTATATGAAGTTCTGCATGTCTCGAGCAACTATTCACTATGTCTAGATTTCCCTGTTGATTGAAGTTGTCATGAGTACCTTTATCCTCTGCCCCCAAAAAGACAATCTCTCTAACCACTAACAAATGCTTCAAAGACCGAACGATAACAATCTAGCGGGAATTTCCTAACTGCCTTTGACGCGAAGAATAGCATCCCTTTGGCTGTTTTCTAGATAAAGAAATAACTAGAAAGGATAATGCTACAACTTTGGTAACCAGATTTTGCAACTCCGTTTATATAATTGCATCTCATCTCGTAGTCAAGTCACAACCCACAAACGCTCAGGCCTACGGTTTCACCGCCATGGATGAACAACTAAATAACCCTTTAATCCAACTGCCCAACGAACTGCACCTGCAGTATGCCTACTACCTGGACGCTCGGGCCCTCAGCCGACTGAGCCGGACCTGCAAGAAATTGAAGAACAAGTTCAGCGAGGAGCTGGAGCGAGCCCGCGAAGCGCATGAGTGGGCGATTGTAGCCGTCAACTACTGGGGAGGCGAGTGGGGATCACAAACGACCGCCGACATCGAGGCCAGGATGCGGCAAGATAACCAGGGGGCAGCAATCGCGGTGGAAGCTCATCCCAAAAGATGGAAGCGGTACCCTCGGCTGTACCACGTCATCAAAATGGGCCAAATCGACCTAGTGCAGAACTATCTGAGAGCCCGGGGCGATCCTAACCTCCGAATTAGGCTGGGTGCCATGCCGAGTATCAACAAACCCCTCCTGCATTGGGCGTTGTACACCGGGAACTGGGACGGACATACGACAATCGTCAGGCTCCTGCTCGAGTACGGCGCGGACCCCAACCTGGATGAAACGGATCGGAAGGAGGGGATTCGAGGTGCCGGGACTGCGCTGGATTGGGTTGGGAGAGAGCATCGGGGTCTCTACTTCAAAGGCCAGTACCCCCAGCCTGGTGACGCGGAACGAACCAGGCTGGCTCTGTCCTACGGTGCAAGGGCCTCACTTCATGAAACAATCTACAGTCTATATCAGATGGAAGATGGCTCGGCCCTGGTGCAGATGGCGGTCGTCAATGGAACGGATCTGATGCAGCTGGGCTTCGAATGGCACAAACTGGTCGGGACGCTGTTCTGGGAGGAGACCAGAAATCGGTTCACCGACGAGCAGGTACGTGAGCTCTTGACCCTCGAGCCCAAGCTAGTTACCTTGGTAACGGACGCGGCGAAGTCCGCCGTTCCGTATATCAGACGGCATAGACTAGCCCTTGCCGAGCGCCTGATTCGGGAACCGAGCCCTTCTTCCTGGCTGGCGAATCTGTTTGCGGACTTATAAGATTACATCTAGACCCATGTGCTTCACAAGTGGAGATTCATATCAAAAGAGCAAGAATGATTGTAAATTCTAGTCTGATATAGAACAAAAAGGCTCTATATCAATATTTCTTTTCCTCGAAAGAAGTGTCATTTTCCATTTTCACTGTACATCGTGGCATCACATCGACGCTGTTGTGTTCCAAAAAAAAAAAAAGAACAATCAGCATTATCTCTGACCCGTTCCCTGCGCATCCAACTCATAAACAGGTTCATTGCCCCCCGCCAGCTCGTGGCGTGTCATAGGCTGCTCGCTCTCCAGTTCGCTCGCCGCCGCTTCACCCGACACCTCGCTGACTGTATGCCCAGAGGTGGGGAGTTCTGCCTTCTCCCAACTACCTGTAGCAACCGGCAAGCTTTCCTCCGTCTGGGGCACAGCCCGATGCCGCCGTCGGAGGAAGATATACCCCAAGGCGAGGAGTAGAGCGAGACCGATCACTCCGCCCACCACTCCGCCGGCTATCGCTCCTGCGTGTGATTGTGAGCCTCCTCCGCTGCTGCTCGTCGGAGAGGGCGAAGCTGTTGCTGATGTAGTATTGGTTTGCGAGACGAACAGATTCTTCAATGCTGGACTGGCCCAACTGGACGGGTATGGCGAGGCCTTGATGTCCGCCGCGGTAGCGGAGGAGAGAGAGTATGTCATTAACCCGGGCTATCTTTCGATCAGCACAGACTGTGTCAGTTGGCTAACTGAGGCAACCTACGTCAAACGCCGACCGAACCACCTCCGACTGCGCATCGTAGATAAACGCGGGCATGGTGTAGCAACCGGCGTCTGAATCGTCAGCCCAGGCGAGACGGCCGCCGACCCCGAAGATCTGCCTTCCATAGGCCTGGCAGCTGAGCGTCATCCGGCCCTCACTGAGTCCGGCGGCGTTGTACCACTTAAAGGATGGGATGGAGAGGTAGTCCACGTCGGTGACCACGTCCTGGGAGTGATAGTCGGCGCCGCCGAGCACATAGATCTGGTACGAGGCGGAGGCCGGATCGTGCTGGACGGTGGCGCAGAACTGCGTGCGCGAGGCCACGCTGCCGCTCGTCGACTGGTTGTACCAGCTGCCGGAGGCGATGTCGTAGACCTGGACATAGTTCCAGCTATTCTGCAGGGAGCCCGTCAGCTGGGCTCGTGTCCATGTTCAGTGACGCTTGCTCTCACCACAGCCATAGTCGCATTGGTGCCGTTGATCATCGAGGGCGTCTCCCCGCCCAGAAACACCAGCAGCCCCTTCTCTCCGACGGGGATATACACCAACGCCCCGTCCTGGACAGGCGTGACGGGGGCCTCGAACTCCGCGATCTCGCCGGTCGTCGTGTTGAACTCCACCAGTCTGGTCGCATATACCCGCCGACTATCGGTGATGGCGGTTGTTGTCGAGGAGTCCTGATACCCACCGAGCCAGTACGCGCTCTGCAGCTCAGGCACATCGACATCCACTGTGATGCATCATCAGCACCAGCCCCCCTCACCATTACATCCAACCCCCCTCCCCGATAAGAGAAAAAGGCCACTCACCTCCACCATCATACCGCACAGGCACCGCACTCGTCTCCTGCACCTTCCACTTCCCCTCCTGGACCCCATACTTCCACACCTTCTCATCCAAACTAATATTACTTGCCCGGCGCCCGCCATACAGGAACAAGGAACTATTGTCCCGACTAGACCACAGCGCCTGATCCTTGAGCACAGGGATCTGCGCGTCCACCAAACTCATCTTGTAGTTTGCGCCATCGTTCAGCGAGAACGACTCGCTCAGATCCAGCTGCAGCATGTAGTTATCTGTTGTCTTCCATCAACATCCGAATGATCTCCTTGGGGGGTTCGGGAGGGTGGGCGCACGGGAACTGTTCCCGTCGTCGGGGATGAGGCCGCCATCTAGGTCGACCATGTAGAGGACGTCGTTGGCGATGTTTACTGCAGATCACTTGTTTTAGTTGATGAACATGGATGAGAAGGAGGGAGGAGCGTACCGCCGAATTGATAGCTCCGACAGAATCCACCGGATAGGTCTGTCAGTACGGAGCCGCGTTTGCTCAGGGTGGTGTTTGCTGTCTGCGTCGAGGTGACTGTCGCGAGGAGCGCGAGGAGTGAGAGAAGGTGCGATGCTGTCATGTTTGGATATGTTGCGCGGGTGAGGAGCCCGGTTCTGCTGCTGCTGCTGCTGCTGTGGTTTCACAGCAAGAGTAAAGCAGGTGGTAAAAGAGGGGAAGGTTACAACAATAGGGGAAGAAAGGTGCAGGGCTGAGCTGAGAGGCAAGGTCATCGGTGGCAGCGCAGGGCGGCGCAGGGTGCTTTGCTCTTAGCTGCAAGTCCGTTTCAGGGTCGGCGCTTAGACTCTGCGGCGGTTGGATGTGGTGGCTTGTACATTCGGTATAGTGCGGCGCTTGGAAATGGTGTGAATGCCATTGTGATCAATTCAAGAAAGCATGCTAGCAAGTAGGGGGGTATAAGCCATCGAGCTGCTTTAAACTGCTTTCAGAGGGCGGGCGTCGCACGTAGATTGAGAAGGCCAAGACGATCAGGGCAGGATCCGAGCATGTTACCAGATCGGGGGGAGTGGGTGCGCATCGCCCGAACCAGGGCTGTGCCTATTGGGTGCGATAAAATTAAGAGGGACAGGCTAGATCTCTTTCTCGGAAGAGATGAACATAATACTTCAGAGATTTGAGGCAGACCTGTGGGGGCCAAAAGAGGATCCGAGTCTCACAGACAGCCGTTGAACAGGTGCTCCATTCGCACCTAAGAGGGATGCATAAATAGCTGGCATGAACCAAGAGGGGTTTATGTGACAGGGACGGTCAGCGATAAGATAGCAAGGGTGGCAAAAGACCAAGGCAAAAGCAAAAAGCAATGACCAGACTGGGGCTCGATCCCAGGACCTTATCGGTGTTAACGATACGTGATAACCAACTACACCATCCGGCCAATTGATATTACTTGCCCCCTATTGATACATCATTCGCTTAATGTAATTTGTAGACGTAACATGACAGTCGAACTTGTTCCAAGTCAATAGCTATGTCTATAATGTGACGAGAACTCCCAAGGTAAAAAAAAATTGAAATTCCTACTTGTATATCCCGAGTCTCACTGACCACCAACAAACGAGTGAAGCGATATGATTTCCGTCTAGAGTCCAACCTTCAACCAAATCAACCTGAAGAATGCATCATACTGAAACCATCTAGACAAAGACGTCAACCGACCGTCAACCGTGGATATCCACACTATGCCCCTGCAATCAGACCACCACCCACCAAGTACTGGGTGATTACATTAACTAATACAATTGGAAGAGACGAAAGTTACACCATCCCAGCATTGTTCACGCTGGATCTGTCGACCAGTGCAAGAGTGACGGGCTGTCAACGTCATCACTCACAACTTATACTCCGCTCTTATCGCTCTCCGCCCACCTCACATAAACATCAACTCGGGAACACTCTTCTCAACTCGACAAAGGTCACTACTACCTTAATATCGCAACGAACTGAAGCAAGATGGCTCTCATTATTCAAGGCGCAACATTCCTCCATCAGTACCTGGGCGCATTTCTGCACTCCGCGCCGCAGAAGTCGCCGAATGCCCTCAGGCTCGGCGTGCTATCCTCCGCCCAGATCAACGCCGCAGCTGGTACGCCTCACCCCCAGGAGCCAACAAGTTTATAACCTATTCTAATCAACACAGTCATCCGTCCCGTTGAAACCCACCCCGACGTGATCCTCTACAGCATCGCCTCGCGCGACGCCGCGACAGCCGCCCACGCCGCCAAGCAGTACCATTTCACCCGGTCGCACGACTCGTATCAGGCGCTGCTGGACGACCCGGCCGTCGACATCGTCTACATCTCGACCCCGAACGGGCTGCACTACGAATGGGCGGCCAAGGCAATCCAGGCGGGGAAGCACGTTCTCTGCGAGAAGCCTTTCACCTCAAACGCGGAGGAGGCCCGCGCGCTGATCGACCAGGCCAAGGAGAAGGGGGTGACGATTGAGGAAGCGGTGCGTTCGCTCTTGAAGACTTCGCATGTAGCATTTCTATGAATGCAGTATATACTGATTTACACGCAGTTCCACTGGCAATTCCACCCCGCGGCGCACGCCTTCCGCCACATCCTCGAGTCCGGCGAGCACGGCCGCATCATCCGCACCGAGGCCATCATGACCGCCAGTCCCGGGGTGCCCAAGGGGGATATCCGGTGGCAGTATGATCTTGCGGGTATGTACTCTCTGTCCTCTTCGTTTTCCCCTTCATCTTTTTTTGGGTTAACTGCATCCTGACACAAGCGCAGGCGGATCCGCAATGGACATGACGTACGCCCTCTCGTTCACGCGCTACGCGCTACGCAGCCAACTGCCCAAGACGATCCACTCGGTGACGGCGCGACGCTCGGCCGCGGACCCGCGCGTCGACGAGGCGATGTACGCCTACCTGACCTTCGAGGACGCGCAGGGCCACGAAGTGCACAGCCGGATCTACACGGACATGGCGCGGGCGTGGGCGGTGGGGGGCCTGGTGCCGCGGTTCTGGGAGCTGCCGTCGATCGAGGTGGAGACGGAGAAGGCGATCATCTTCTTCTACAACGCGATGATGCCGCACCTGTACCACTACATCGCCATCACGGACAAGACGACGGGCAAGACCAAGTCCCACCGGCAGTATCACGGGGGTCCGCTGTGGGGCAACGTGACGACCAGCGACGGGGCGCGCGGCGGCCAGTCGGCGTGGAGTACGTATCGGTGGCAGCTGGAGGCGTTTGTCGATGCGGTGCGCGGCAGGACGCCCGCGTATTGGATCCCCGGCGAGGAGAGTATCTGGCAGATGGAGTGCATTGATCGGTTGTATCGCGCGGCGGGGCTGCCGGTGCGGGGGGAGCAGGCGGATGAGAAGGAGTAGTGTGCAGTCACTGCATTGGTGGTGGGATATAATTTGTCTTGAATTCGTGATTCAATGAGTACCTAGTAGTTAATGCTGTGTTAGTGTTGAGTAATGTACTGTATGTCCGCTACTTCCGAGAACAATGACGTTGGGTTGATTTCACAGGCCCCACCAGATCTATACCCTAACTGAAAGCTATAAACAAGCAACCACCACCACTTGACTCATACTTGACCCTAATAATCCCAAGATAACCCCCAAACCCCTCCCTACACCCCTCTCACCACTGTGAACCTATAAACACTACAGAATGATCCCCCAAACAGCCCCCCGCAGCACCCTCGACCCGGAGGTGCAAGCCTTCCTCAGCCAAAACCCGACCCTCCGGCTCTCGGGCCGCGACATCTTCCAAGAACGACGCCACCACGTCCAGACCTTCAGTCTACGCAACATCCCCACATCAAAACAGCCCTCAATCCTGCACGTCGAACACGCCGCCATCCCCGCCGGGCCGCACGGCACCATCCCACTGCGCATCCTGTACCCGTCCTGCCCGGCCTCGACCCCGCACCGCCAAACCGAACCCTCCAGCCCGACCCCGCACAGCCTGACCCCAGCCCTCATCTACTTCCACGGGGGCGGATACACCGTCGGCAGCGGCGATGACTTCGAACCAGGCTGCCGCCTCCTCGCCGAAGCAGCCGGCATCCAGATCTACCTGGTCGAGTACCGGCTGGCACCGGAGTGGAGGTACCCGACGCAGCTGGACGAGTATGACGCGGTGATCGACTGGCTGCGGGGCGAGGGCGGGCAGGCGCGGCACGTCGACCCGGACCGGATCTTCGGGGCCGGGGACAGTGCCGGCGGGAACATGACGGCGGCGGTTTCGCTGCGCCGTGCGGACAGAAAACAAAAGGGGTTGGATGGGCTGGTGCTGCTGTATCCCGAGGCAAGGTTGCCGTTCGATACGCCCGCGGCGGTAGAGAATAATGATGGTGGCGGGTTGTATTTGGATTGTATGTACTTCCCTATAGTGTATGGGCTAGTTGGGCTTATGGGTGCTAACGCTAACATGGGCACTGCCCTGCAGGTAATGGGATCTTCAACTTCGCGGCCAACTATATCCCCGATGGGGTGGCGCCGTCGAGCCGGTATATCTCCCCGGGGATGCAACCCCCCGAGCAGCTGCAGGGGCTGCCGCCGGCCAGGGTGTATACGTGTGGCTTCGATCCGCTGCGGGATGTCGGGGTGGAGTTCGCGAGCAAGCTCCAGGCCGCGGGCAATGCGGTCGTGTGGCGGCATTATGCGGAGCTGTGTCATGGGTTTCTGCAGATGGCGCCGTGGAGTGAGGCGGCCACGCGGGCGTTGAAGGAGGTGGCGCGCGATGTGCGGGCGTCGGCGGAGGGGCGGAGCAGTAGGCATGGGAATGGGCAAAGCTAAGGATAGACGGATATAATTGCATAGACATGGAACTGCTCGGCTGGTTCTTGGTATCAAATTCGCCAAATAGTATCAATTAATTGTAGAAGATTACGCCTTCTCCCCCGACCTTCCCAAACTCATGCCCACCTCCACATCGGTGGCGATGGCATTCTTGCTTGCCCGCAGCAGATCCTCGTCGAAGACGATCCGCTCCCGCTGGAAGGCGACGATGATCGACGACCCCCCGAACTGGAAATGGCCCAACTCCTCGCCTTTCTCGATCCGGGCCCCAGGCTGCTGGAACCGCTCGTGGAACCTACCGACTCACATCAGCATCTCTCCACCTCTATAGTCAAACCACAGGGGAAACAAACCTCACCGTCCCGACCTGCGCAGCCCCAATCGCCACAAACAACACCTCCCCGAACTCCTCACTATCCACCACAACATAATCCCTCGCATTGCGCGTCAGAATATCCACCCCACTCCGCAACGCAATCGGATCCACCTCGTAATAATCCCCAGGCATACTCCTATACATTTTGACCACTCCACGCACCGGACAATGAAACCGGTGATAATCCTGCGGCGAGAGACGGAAGCTCGCGACCGCGCTGCCGTCGAACTGCGCCCCGAGCCGCCGGTCCATCACCAGGTTGGTGATCGAGAAATCACACCCTTTGATCCAGACCTTCTGGCTCTCTGCGACAGACTCGTAGGCCACGACGCGGCTGTCAGCCACAACAACTGCCGTGCCGGGGTTGTCGGGCTCGAAGATCGGTCGCGAGCCGGGCCGGTGCGCGCGGACGAAGAAGTCCTCGAAGTTGCGGTAGGCGGAGATATCGGAGGGGTCGAATTGGGTCATGTCGATGTGGTAGAAGGCGATGAAGGCAGCGATGCGGTTGCGCGAGGTCAGGGTGGCTTCTTCTTGGCCTGTCCACCATTAGCATGAGGGTTTACGGGAAGGAAAGGGAAGGAAATACCCTCTTTGATCGCTTCGCGGTGCATGTATAGGCGCATCAGGTGAGTGGTGTCCAGCCATTCGGTGAGAGGGTTAAACAGCAGGAGGAGTTTGAGTTTCTTCCAGAGGGGTTGTTGTTCGCGCATGAGCTGGCCGGTCTGGGTTTGTTAGCTTTGTTTGAGGCAATAGTGAAGGAAGTTGACCTTGCGGTTGATAGTGAGCCATCCTACTTGGCGGTTTTGGATCTGAGAGGTTAGTCTGGTCAGATACGGGGGGTGGGAGGACTGTACTGAACGTACCATTTTGACCCGGGCCAGCAGGTCATCTGCTATCTTGTGGAGGACGTCGAGAAAGCCCATGTTGCTGTTGTGGTAGCAGTCGGTTGTGGTTGTCGTGGAGAAGAGGTGGTGTTGTGGATGAAGAGATGATGGAAGGAGATCTCCGCGTGTGGGAATGATGTAAGGATGATGGGACGGGGGGTGTTACTTTAAACGGCAATTCAATGTATTTGCAGTACTAAATATGCTATTCACTGCTATTACTCAGAGAAATGACCCTCAATGCACCAAAATCCAGACTAAGTACTAGTAGACACGCCCGCCTCCAAGACCACAAACTCGTCCCTCTCCGAATCCAACCTCACCCTCGCCCCAAACGGCAACGTGACAAACGGGCTGGTATGGCCAACATCCACATTCATCAACACCGGCAGCTCATCCTTTCTGCCCACCACCACGTCCAACACCTCCACAATCACCGCTGCCAATTCCTCCTGCATGCGCTCATCATACTTATACCCCCGTCCGACCACCAACCCACTAACCTCCCCCAGCACTCCGGACAACGCCAAATCCACCAAGTTCCCCCTGAACCTGGCCACCGAATACGGCCGCTCAATCGTCTCGAACCCCATCGCCGACTCCAGCAGCAGAACATGGCCCTTCCACGAAACCGGCGCAAACACCGTCCCCTGCAGCCGCTCGACGATATGCACCGTCCCGCCGTACAGCTTCCCCTCGGCACGACCGCGTCTCACCCAGCGCCACGGCGGCGCGGGCACCGTCACCCGGGGCTCGACCGAGGCATCCCGCCCGAATTGGAAATCGTTATGCTCCACGGCGCAGCGCGGCGATCGCGGCACCGGCCCCACTGCCCCACCTGGCCCCTGGCTGCCTGTCAGCACATGCAGCAGATGCTCCACCGTGAAGGCCAGCGGATGCACGTCGGCGAAGTCGGTGAGCACGCTAGGCCCGTAGAAGGTGCGCAGCCCCGCGCGCGACTCGAGCGCATAATGCAGGAAGGTGGTGTCGCTGTAGCCGACGAAGATCTTGGGGTTCGCGCGGATGAGCTCATAATCCAGGTGCGGGAGCAGCTCGTTGGCGTGCTGCCCGCCGATCGTGCAGATGATCGCCTGGATGGTCGGGTCCCCGAAGGCCGTGTGTAGCTCTGCGGTGCGGATGCGGATCGAGTCGGCGATAGTGTTTGGTTCCGGGTAGGGAGTGTAGATGATGCGCACGCGGAAGCCTAGGGATTCCAGGAAGAGGCGGCCGCGGTGGAGCGGGGTGGGGAGGATGCTGTTTAGGCGGGCCGATGGAGAGACCAGCGCGATGGTGTCGCCGGGGCGGAGGGCGGGGGGGAGAATGGTGGGCTGGGTTAGGGCTGCGGTGATGGCCATGGTGGTGCGGTGTGGGGGTTATTGTTGAGCGTTGGTATACAGTATAGATTAAGGTTGGGTGGGTGGGTATTTCAGATGTAATCAAGATCAAGTCAAAGATAGAATTGATAGATGAGGGCTTAATAGTACCTGAGTGCTTTGCATCATTTTTATCATGGCAACTGATTCTGTTATATACTCCGAATCCCTCGTTTAGATCAAACAGCATCGTGAGATTGGGATGTTTGCAAAGCATCCATCGAGAATGCGGGGATGCCCTGATTGGCCGATGCGGGGTGTTTGCACTGGTGGTGCTGTTTGTTGCTGTTTGGCTCATTTGACATTTGCTGTCGTCATAGATTTGGTCTGTTTGCATGTTTGCATAGCTGCAGCTCTACGGACGACCAGACAGTCAGGTTCTGCAGGTATTATCATAAGATGCGCAGGAGAATCGTCACATTAGGTACGGATATATCTATCATCTCAAACAGCCACCTTGTCTATCTCTACTATCTCTATCAGCTGCTCAAAAACAGTAAATCTGCACAATAGTCAGCACTGGTTCTCACAGGATGCGGGTGCACTCACGATACTGACTCCCCGATGCCCACGCATCGACCTCCTCTAACCCGGCCCCCCCAAAGAGCGCCATCCGATCATCGCCATCGTACTTGTGGCTTTGCACCGCTCGGATGCGCGTCCCCGCGGGGAGTTTCTCGTTGATCAGACCCACCTCCTTCGTAGAAACATAGAACTGATCGTGGCTGCCGTTCTCCACGTTCCACTGCCCTTCCACATCCCAGCGATCGAGCGCAAACGCCTCGTGCTCGAGGATCTCATTCGCCCGCTCCAGCCCATGCTTGATGAACCGACGATTCACTCCCTCGGGATCATTGTACGCCGCCAGCACCCGTGCCGGCTCTTTACATCCGTCCAGCCCGATCAAAAACGACGGGCTGCTTCCCGTGCCAGCATCTGCGTGCACGAAACTGGCCAGAAACCCGGCGGCGTCCGCCCGGGGAAAACTCCCCAGCGTCGAGCCCAGAGACAGGATGGTCTTCGGCCGGGAGCGGAGGTCCGATCGCTGCAGCCACTCGCGGCCGTCGTCGTAGGTCCCCAGCAGCCCGAAACACCGCACGTGCCGGAAGATGCCCGGCGGAACCATGCTCAGGGTGCGCTGCAGCTCGGCGAGGGAGACGTCCAGGGCGAAGTAGTCGACCTCGCGGCCTAGCTCGTCGAGTGCGTCGAGGAGGATCTTCACCTTGCGGAGGTTGCTTGCTCGGTCAGTGTCGTGCTTCTCCCGACGACCCAGAGTGGGGTAACTCGCAACTCACCCACTACCCAATTCAACTAGCATGCTTCCGGACGGGATATGCTCCGCGATCTGGTATCTGTGCTTCTCCAGCAGCCCGATCTCCTCATTGGTCAGATAATAGGCCGGGGAGAAGGTCACGTCCTCGAACAGGCGCAGCCCCTGTTCGTCCCAGAGGAGCAAGTCGGGCATGGCGGCCTGTCCATGGCACGTGGCGTGCACGGAGTCCCGTAGCGACTGTCGGAGCTGGGTCTCGCTCATGTCCGTCCGGATGTCGATGATGTTGCTGGTGGCCAAGGGGCCGAAGGTGGGGGTAGGGCGCTGCGGCCGGCTCGTCAGCTGGGGGGTGACGATATTCTCGAACATAGTGGGTGCAATTGAGTAATTCTTGTCTTACAGTGAATATCCATCCAGGCTACATCACGGGATAATATATTTTGTCGGGCTGGAGGTCAAGCATGACGTGAACATGTGGTGGTGCTACTAGCCAAGGTTGTAGGCTGATCTCATTGTGACCGGGCCACGCTGATCGCCTCGGCTATCGCTACCGGCGATGATCATTGGTTCGCGGGGGTAGGATCTAGATCCATGATTCATTCATGTTGCAGTGCGTTGAACCTTGGCTGCTACCGTAGGTTTGTATTGTATATTATCCCACCTATCTAATCGCATCCGGAGGTCCTGTGAAATGCACTTATGCTATGCCTGCACGCAATGCAATGCTGTCTATATGCACACCCCGCCCACCTCACCACCTCACCACCTCACCACCTCACCACCTCACCACCTCACACATTACCCATCACACATCACCTCAATTAACCCTTGGTCGCTGGAGGCTCAGGTCATGATTGCCCAACCTTCGGCCCTTCCAGAAAAACCGTCACGCAGGTCGCATTATCACTGCCCGGCAGCGCCGTCGTCCCCTCGGTGATATTTTGCGCCGCCCGCGTCGCGTCGAACCCGGACTGCCGCAGCTCGACGATGCGGTTGAGGATGGTCGCGTCATCCAACACATTGGTCACGCCATCGGACAGTAGCGCCAGCACATAGCGACGATCGTCGCGGAGGTTGACACGGTTGAGGGCGGGCTCGCTGGAGATGAAGTCGCCGCGCTGCGGGGGGGTGTCGTTGACGCCGGGAATCTCTCCTTCGGAACTGCGGCTGCCGCTCTTGGCTCGCTGGGTCATGTTGTTGAGGGGGTTTTTGTAGCGCAGGTCGCCCAGGGCACGGGACATGTTCAGCGCTCCTGGTGAGGTCAGCTCAGGTCTCGTTCCGATCGCCTAGTCCTAGTTCAAGGAAAGTAACTGGGAAAAGGGAAGGCCTACCGATTCGCGCCGTCCCGCTCTCCGTGTTAACCGTCCCGCCCGCCAACTCAACCCGATGCTTCTCCCCGTCGCTCTCGGGCTTATGCGTCGTCGATAATCTCGTCTGCTCTCATCAGCACCATCCCATATCCCAGGTACCGGGTAAGAACATACCACCTCCATCCCCATCCCACACCCAGCAGCACCCCCCTCCTCCCCCAACAACACATCCGAATCCCCCACATTCCCGACGACCAACACGCCCCGCGTGAGATTCACGACCGCGAGCGCCATCGTCGTCCCCGCCAGCGCATGCTTATCCTCCCCCTCCCAGAACTCATGCAGCAGCTGCTCCTCCTCGCGCCGGATAGCCTCGACGATCGCCTTCTCGTACTCGCCCGTCTGGAGATCGGGACTGTGTCGCAGGAAGACGGGGAGGTTGTCGCGGGCGTGTTTGGCGACTTTGCTTGATCCGCTGGTCGGTCACCTGTTAGTTGTGGGGAATCGATGTAGGAACAGGGTGAGAGCGTACTGGCCATCGTAGACCGCGAAGAGCGCGAGCTGGTCGTTTTTACTTTCGAAGGCTTCGGGGCGGAGGATTGTGTATTGGTCTTGTTGGGTGGGGCGGGAGCCTTGGGACTTTTGGGGGGGGATTAGTTTGGTGGGAGAGGGGAATTGGGGTTGATTTGTGCTCGTAGGGATTAGGGGGGGACGCACACTGCTGCCGCCTGCATCTTTTAGTGTAAGGGATCTGGGGAAGTCCAAGCTATCTGCCATTCTTTCGTTCGTGTTGGGTGACAATGGGTGGAAGGTTGGTTGGTGGACGGTGTTGCGAGTGTGATGAGGTTGTGGTCGAGGCGGAAGTCTAATTTATTCTAATTCTATAATCGGTGCGATTGTTATTCCTCTTTTATTTGTGTATTTGAATCTTGGGGGAACAAACAAAGGAGCGGATCATCAAGACGCAAGGTGAATGACATACACATAGCATGGAGACCGGATCTTGGATGGGGAGATCTCCGATGGCGTGGTTAGGGAGAAAGCTTAGGGTGGTGCCGTCATCGCGCCGTCAGCGCCTACGGGACTGCAGAGTCCACTGCAGACACCCCCACAACCCTAATCGGGGCCGAGCGTGGGTCTCGCTCCAGGTCTGTGACCCACGCAGTGGCCATGCTGAATGAAGTAGCCGTGCAGATTCCTGGCTTATCTGTCATACAATAATTCTAGTCGCTATCTCAAAGATACATTGTAGATACCAATCAATTGCAAAGTATCATATCTGTATTGTATCGTACAGTACATCAACCCTAGACCCCTGAACCCCGCGCAAACCCCCCATCGATCCACATCTACAGCCTACAATCACAATCAAAAACCGTCATCCAACCCCCCTTCCCTCCCCATGTGTACAGAACAAACCGAAAGGAAAAAAGTTACTGCCGATCCTCCGCCCCAAGAGGCCTCTCCCCCGCCTTCTCGACATTCCGCCGCTTAGTCGCCTCCGACTCCCCGGGGTGATTCTTGATCTGCGCGTCCGCGGAGGTCTGCTCCTCGCCCTCGTGCGCCTCGCTCGTCGGCCCAAACTGCGACGAGATGGGCGACTGCACCGACGCCGTGTCGGGGGTGTCGGCGTGACGCGCCTCCTTGCCGCGGGCGACGTTGATGGATTGCGATTCCGGGCTGCTGGATTGCGGGTTGGCGACGTTGGAGGTTTGGCCGGGGGAGGCCTTGCTTGCTAGTCTTCTGACTGCTGAGGCGGCGGCTGGGGTTGGGGCTGTGCATGGTCCTGTTTGCGTTAGCGTTGGGTGGTGGTATAGGGGTTGGAACCGGTGGGTAGGGCTTACGCTGGACGAGGCGGGTGTGGGTGAGGGCGAGGCGGCGGAGGTTGTAGGTTGGAAGGGACATTTTGCTGCGTTGTTATATATGTGTAGTGGTGTGTAGTGTAGTGGTGTAGTGAGGCGGAGTTGAGTCAGTGAAGCTTGGTGGGTGTGAGTGTGAGAGCTGGGTGGGATAGAGCTGGGTAGCTGGATATATAGTAGGGTTAGGGGATGTTGACATGAGGATGACTTCATGGGGTACTGCGGATTAGGCTAGGTTGGGGGCATATGATTCGCTCATTGGGTTTTATTACAGAGCCCAGTGACTGCATAATTTTCCAAGTTGACTCTAGCTTGGGTTCATGAGGGAGCATGTCGATTCAGGTGTGGATTCGAGTTGTTGTCGATGAAATCGACCTAAGACTTGAGGTGGTGATGGGGTGCCGCCTCCCTTCTTGTCCGGGCTTGACAAATCATAGTGGTAACTTCCACAAGTGCTTCTGGCATCTGTTGTATGGACTCGATCTTACATTCAAGTGGGATTTGATACTGACGATTGGCTCTTCAAGCTCTGTCTGATGCAATAATGGATTTGTGCTGTCTCTTCCGCAACATTGTCGGTGTCGGCCGTATGAAGAATATATACCGCAAGCAAGCTCCCACGATCCCCAGCACAAACCCGACCAACAACCCCAGAACAGCCACACAGAAGGTCAAGCAATACTCAAAGCCCACAAAAGACATCAAATACTATTACCAAGCCCCTAAACTCCCTTCAAGGACTGACCAAGTCCACCAGACGTTGGCAAATCTTGCAACCTGGTTTAGCTTGTTTTAAGCGTCATATAATCAAAAACCTTGCCAGTAACACATCAAGGCAAGATGGCCGAGTTGGTCTAAGGCGTCAGGTTAAGGTTACCTTAGCATTCAGCTTTCACGAGCTTCCTGATCATCGTTTGATGGCGTGGGTTCGAATCCCACTCTTGTCATATCTTTTTGCCTCCAAGCCGTTGTTTGGCTTGGCTTGGCGTGGCGTGGCTTTTCCCAGAGTCGCTCATAGGGTTTAATTTTTATTACTCTTCTTAATATGTGGTCTTTTGATGTCGGTTACATTCCTTGCATGTCCAGCTGTATCTTAACGATTCTCCTCTACGGGCGCACTTGGTATACCGTACTTTGCCGGCGTAGGGCATCCAGTAGCCTGCTTATCTTCATCTAAAGTACCCGTTCCGTTGCCTTTACGATAACACGACCAGGTATATCCTACGTCGTACAGCAGCAATCAACACACATCGGATTAAATCGTCAATTCATACAGATTATTAACATACTAGCCTACACGTGTCCAAGACATTCCTTAACTCCAAACAAAACTGACCACGAACTCGACAACCAGACCTAGAATGCAACCGTAGAAGCCAACCCGTCCAACTCGCGCTGGTAGTTCCGGTGCTGGCTGACCTGGTAGAAGAATTTGCTCACAAAGTCCTTCCCGTCCTTGAGGATCTTGATCGTCTCGCCGATGCTCTCGGGCTTCTGCACGCTGCCCGCAGTCACCACGCCGTACCACTCCACGGGGTCGGGGCTCTGGGCGGTCGCGACCTGCACGTCCAGCACGCTGCCCACGACCTCCTTGATCAGCTGGGCGGCCTCGCCCGTGCCCGCCAGAGCCTTGAGGTGGCCGAAGGTCTCGGCGATCCAGTACTTGATCTGGCCGTTCTTGCGGAGGGTCTCGACGTGGGGCCCGCCGGGGATGAAGGTCGCGTCGAACATGGTGGAGCGCATGCCGTCGTAGTAGTGGTCGGGCACGATGCCCTGGCCCGTCTCCTTGGATTCACCCTCCGCAAAAATGGGCGAGCGCTTGGTGCCGATGACGAAGGGGAGGGCGCTGGCGGCCTTGACGGCCAGCTGGACGGCCTTGAAGGCGACAGGGTCGTAGCCGTCGCCGATGAGGATGGCGATGCGGCGGCTGGCGATGGTGGGCTCCTTGGGGGGAAACTCGGTCTGCGAGAGGCGGATGGTGCGCTTGCCATGGTTGGGTCGCAGCGCCTTGTCCGGGATCGGGGCGCCGACCAGCTCGGCGACCTGCTGGGCAAGCCCCAGATCAATCTCGGCCAGCCGGGTGCCGGCCAGGCGGTCGTAGACGACCGGGTCGTCGCAGTGGTCGAGCTCGAAGCTGAACGCCTTCAGCATGTGCAGCTTCTCGTGCTCACTCATCGAGTTGTAGAACAGCTGCGCCTGGTTGTGGTGCTCGCGGAACTTGGGGCTGAGGCCCCGGCGCTTGCGGCCCGTCACGGGTGCCGGGTACGACTCGAACCCTTGACCGTGGTGCGGCGCCGCCCCGTCGGGCTTGCCGGCCTCGAACCGGTTCGGCCAGTAGTTCACCGTGCCCTTGGTGATGCGGTGCTTCATGGCCCCGTCGCGGTTGTGGTTAAGCACCGGGCACACCGGCCGGTTGATGGGCAGCTCCTCCCAGTTGATGCCGAGGCGGCTGATCTGCGTGTCGAAGTAGGAGAAGTTGCGGCCCTGCAGGAGCGGGTCGTCGGAAAAGTCGATGCCGGGGACAATGTGCGAGGTGCAGAAGGCGACCTGCTCGGTCTGCGGGAAGAACTCGTCCACGTTGCGGTTGAGCTCGAGGACACCGATCGTGCGCGGCGGGACCAGGTCCTCGGGCCAGATCTTGGTGGCGTCCAGGATGTCGAATTCAAAGTCGTCCTGCTTCTCCTCGGGGATGGTCTGGATCTGCAGGTCCCACTTGGGATAGGCGCCGTTGTCGATGGCTTCCATCAGGTCCTTACGGTGGAAGTCGGGGTCCTGGCCGGCCAGCTTGAGGGCCTCGTCCCAGACGAAGGAGTGGACTCCCAGATGCGGGGTCCAGATGAACTTGACGAAGTGACGCTTGCCCTCCTTGTTGATGAGAGAGTAGGTGTTCACGCCGAACCCTTGCATCATGCGGTAGGAGCGGGGGATGGCGCGGTCCGACATGGCCCACATGAACATGTGCGTGGCTTCGGGGTGGAGGTAGCAGAAGTCCCAGAAGTTGTTGTGCGCGGTCTGCGCCTGGGGCACTTCGTTGTGCGGTTCGGGCTTGACGGCGTGGACTGGGCCTTGTTAGTGGGGTGTTGTATACAAGAAGGTGGAACTGACATACCGAAATCGGGGAATTTGATGGATTCCTGAATGAAGAAGACGGGAATGTTGTTGCCAACGATATCCCAGTTGCCCTCATCCGTGTAGAATTTCACGGCGAAGCCACGGACATCACGGACAGTATCGGCACTGCCCTTGCTGCCCTGGACGGTCGAAAAGCGGACGAAAACTGGCGTGTTGCGGGACGTGTCATTGAGGATGTTAGCGTAGGAGACATCTTCGCAGCTCTCAAGGAGCTTGAAATTTCCGAAGGCACCAGTGCCACGCGCATGGACGACTCGCTCGGGAATGCGCTCGTGGTCGAATCGGTGAATCTGGTGACGTGGTTCGTCAGTAATCAAACTCCCGTCGAAGTGTGAGGGTAGGATCAATCTACCTTCTCACGGGCGATCTGGTCCTCAAGCAAAGAGGGACCAGTGTGGTCGCCATCAACGGCCTTCAGCCAATTGTCAGTGTTGCTGATAGGGACGCCGTGATCGGTGGTCTGGCGCTGTTCGGTGGTGACATCAACCATGTCACGCTCGAGGTCTACGGCCTTCTTATTCTTGTTGGAAACGCTCTTGACGGCCTCTTGGGCGCGCTCAAGGCCTCCTGCGACGATGCTGGCCATGATGGGTGTGAAGAGGCAAGCGAGGGTTGATTGCACTTGGGAGAATGTGGGAGAACTGCGAATTTTCAGGTCGCGGGGACATGGCTGTAGTTAAAAGAACCTAGCAACCCACCAAGCTGCCTTTTGGCGCGGTCCGCCATGGATAGTGGTGGGTAATTGGGAGCATCTGGTTGGTGACATTCAAGACTTGGAAGGTTGTGCGGGGGAACAGAGAGGGAGAAAGAGAGGCTGTGGTGCTGTGGTGCTGTAACCATGACGTGAGCTGTGAGGGGAGAGCGGGAGACGTCACTCTGACAGCCGAGCCCTAACAACTCGTAACCCATCCATCCGGGCCTCGTCTCCCTCTACTATGTATGCCGCGTCTTCTCAATCACCGAAACAGGGTTGTGTCGTCCATTCCAGGTTCTCCGCCGATTTCACCCCGGGCTGAAATAGCGACAGACTCATTGGCGGGCTGGGTTCCCTGTGGTTGGCGATCATCCAAGCACATGGTGAACCAAGTTTGCGTGGGTCTCGCAGCTATAGTAAGGTTAGATAAGCATAGACACGCAATCCTTCAGTGGTAAAAGTATCACCCAGATAATCTTGGTGAACCATGAGTCAAGCAGGGCACTAGCCAGGTTCCTCTGCTGGTAACTACGTAGATCATCGAGGCCCACCTTCCATCAGTTGTTGAACAGGTGGGAGCCCCAGGCCCAGCATTTGTAAGCCCGGGGCTGGAACATTGCTGCTGCAACCGTTGCGAGCTGCGACCGTGCTATCGCCGACGGGCGGTTCTGCAGACTAAGCAACGATTGCAGCATGGCAGGCAATGAGAAACGGCGTCCAAGCTGAAGATGATCAATCACATAAGGAAAGGCATTGGGGCGAGAACACCGTTGAGGCTACCCCTCAAGGAGAGATAGAGCGGGAAAGTCGGCATTCCTGCAGCTCCACCGGCTGGGGGGTTAGCGATAACCCCGCCATCCCGCCTGTCAGAGAACATAACCCAGGCTTGGAACAATTACGCAGGTTGACTTTCGTTCACTGCTACACACGTCCTTCGATCACAATGCGTGAGAGAATCCAACAGCTCGACATCGAAGGTCGCAATAGCCACGATGCCATCTTCGAGGCTTCCTATCTGGATGACATCCCGGCCGCCCTGACCGAGTGGAAAGCGTCACGCATCCTTCTCGTCGTCAGCACCAGTCTCGACACGAAGTCCTCGGTCATTCGTGATCTCGAGAAGGGCCTATCAAACTACCAGGTCTACAAAAAAGTCGGAGTGGGCAGTCACTCGCCCTACAGTGACATCATCGACATCGCACACAGAGTCCAGGACCATGACATCCAAGCCGTTGTCTCTATCGGGTCGGGCTCCTACTCGGATGCGTGCAAAATCGCCGTGATGCTGAGTGCTACACTCCCCTCGGGATTCGGGGAGAATGAGATGGAAGCCTTGGTGGACCAGAAGCGAGGCCTAGCCGGACCGGACTCTGTCAAGGCTCCCGCAACCAAGCTGATCTGTGTGCCCACAAGTCTCAGTGCGGGCGAGTGGAACTCCTACGCGAGCGGGACCAATGCCGCAGGGAAGAAACAACATTTTATGCATCCAGAGGGGGCCCCGTCCTTGATCCTGATGGATCCCACGGTCGCACGAACCACCCCGTCGCACCTGTGGCTGGCGTCGGGCATGCGCGCCGTCGACCACTTCGTGGAGAGTCTGTGCCGCGCCGAATGCCACGAGGCTGCAATTCATATCAAGAAGGGGTTGCCGCTTTTGGTGCGAGGGCTGAAGGAGTACCACGAGGGACAAGAGGGTGGCAACGAGGACGAGCTGCTAAAAGGCATTGCAGAGAGTCAGCGCGGGTCTAGAGATGCGCTGATTCCTCTCATCAAGTGGAAAATACCCATGGGGGCAAGCCATGCTATTGGCCATCAGCTGGTGAGTTTGGTTGGCACCCGCGCTGGATAGAGTAGAGTAGCTTGCTGATCGAAGGTGCCAACATAGGGCAGTGTGGCAGGCGTCCAGCATGGTGAGTTCAATTCTTGTCTTGTTTCCTCAAGCCTTAAGTCTCATGAGCTAACTGTCGCCGATAGGTGTGACGGTAAGCCGGCGTCAAGTTCCACCCCATCCTCTGCTGTAGGACGCATACTGACTTTTGTCGAGAGCTGCATTTTACTCCCCCCGACACTTCGATTCACGCTCGATGAGACCAAGGCGGCACAAGAGGCGGTCCTCCAGATATTCAACGAAGTGCTCGGGTGTCAGGAGACCGAGGCTGCAGATGCGGTCCATCGGTTCGTCAAGCTGCTGGGACTGCCATCGCGGCTCTCGGAAGTTGGCGTCACGCAGGAGGAGCAGCTGCACAAGATCGCTGAGCTGACGCTGACTGACGCATTGGCGCACAACAAGGCGATACCAGATAAGGAGGGGATCCTTCAGATCTTGAACATGGCCAAATGAGAGTATGGTGTGGTAGACGGAGGAAGGGATGCGGCGAGTGGTTGCGAATCCGGTGTTGACGCGTTTCGATTCCGGATTGGGTTAGATCAGCAGCCACTCCAGCCACTCCAGCCATGACGTCATGAGCTTGGCCACGATCATCTCCTAAGGCACATTCACGTATATAAATCTCCGTAAAATTGACATGCGCGTGGTAGGTTCGATCTTCCTGCAATATCACTAAGCAAACTCTGAAGCATATAACGAGTAAAACAAAATTCTTACTCTGAAATCCATACTCCACTTCTATACACTGGGCTTACTTGCCGCATATCCGAACCAAAGCTCCACCAAGCCATAAACTCTCCCACGAACCGCCACAACCAAACCACAAGATGCCTTCCTCCCAAGATTCCGGAGTCACTGGCGCGGCGAAGTTTGTCACCTCCACCCTCGGAAATACGGTTGGCGGAGTTTCTCGGACCGTAGGCGGCGTCACCGGAGCTGCAGGCCGAGGGATCGGAGACACCATCACCGGCGCAACAGGCAGTGCGGGCAAACCCGTGGGTGATGCGCTGGGCAATATCGGAAGTGGCGTCGAGGATGGAGCCCGCAAGGTCGCGCAGGGTGTCGAGGATGCTGGGCAGTGGAAGTCTCGGGGCTGGTAGGGAGATTATACAGTTTATGAGGGATGTGTGATATGAATGTCTTTTCGTGGGAATTATGAACATGACCTGATGTCTGCTTATTTTTTTTTCTGTTTGTGGGTTCTTCTGTAACTAGTGACTGTAATGAGACCAGGTCCTTTTCACTCGTACGTGTACATATGTGACATTAATGCAGTGCCATCTGTCCACGCCATCTTCGATCCCGCTCATTGATCTCGTTTTTAGCGTTGCACAATTCGAGTACCCTAAGCAGTTCCTCTCGCTCAGCCTGCAACTCTGTCACCTGCCTCTGGCTGGTGTGCAATCTCTCTAGTAGTTCGTCCAGGGTTTCCTGATTCTTTGCATTGGTTGCAATAGCTTGAGCCAGCTGAGCCTGTAGGTCTACGTTTTTCTGCTCGCCAGCGTTCAGTGTCTCCTGAAGCGTCTCTTTCTCCTTGATGGCCTCTTTCAAATCCACCTCAAGATCGGATTTGCTGTTCATTGTTTCGCGCAACTTATTTTCCACGAAGAATCGTATCCTCGTCTGCCCTTTGAGTCTCTTGGTCGACTCGTAGAGTGCTTGCTTATGTTGGCTTTGTTGACGGTTCACAATCGCCAGGAGCACGTTCCTCATATGAGCCGTCACAAGATCGACTCTGATCGTTAGCATATCATGCTGCGGGTCATCGACTTGAACTAGCCAAGAGTCATCTGCATCTGTGATTCCAGGTTGAAAGGCGTTATCTTCATCACATGTAAGGGCTTCTATATGCTGCATGTAGTCGACCAGCGCGGCATCGACTGAACTCTGCGGGGTCCTCAGATCAAGGCCCCGCAGAAGGAGCCCGAGGTCTTCCAGCGAGTATGCTCGGCTGCCATCCCGGTTCATGGTCTGGTTTAGCCCGGTCAGCAGGGGACTCAGTCATCTTTGTGTTGGTGGACGCGTCACTCACTGTCCTTGACTCCGATGCCCCGGACCAGGAGGAGGATGAGGGGGTGGACGCACTACTCGGACCGGGCTCTGGTACAGGCATATTTATTCGGATCTAGGCTGATGTGCTGGGAAAGGCAGTGATGAGAAATTGATGGTTGTGATATAAGCTGTTGCGATGATGATGAGGAGGAAGGGATGGACGGGAGCAGAAGTGAAGTGAGGACACTGTATATGAAGACCAGATAGGACGGGATGAGCTTACCCCGCCAAATCTGGATGGCAGCGTGTTTGCCAGTTTGTTAGGTCTTATAGCTCAGGGTGGTTGACAGCAAATTGAGCAAACAGAACATCGCCGGCTAGTAGCTCGATCGTTCGCTGTCAACCACCTTGCCCAACGACTTTAGCAGAGAGGACGATCTCTCCAGAGAGCTCTTTGAAATGGAATAGCTATCTGTTCGAAGACTCGTCGCTCAAGGAAAAGCACTCCATAGCTGTGGATACAGAATGGATACTTTATGGCTTGAAGTATGGCAGCGATGTAAATTTCTCCTATACACATATCAAGATGACTTTCGATAGTAGGTGGCCTCACACCTATCCTCCTCCTTTGTCTCCCGTCATCGCCATCTACCATTACCACTTTATATGTTACAGACCTGCTTCGCTAATGCTAATAAGATGATTAATCCTGATCGCAGATGATAGCTTGTTGGATTCGGTAGATTCACCCACTCCCTACTAAGGTTCTATTTACAAGCTAGAGCTGCCTCCTCCTATATACAAACGTGGGCTCAATCACAAGGTTGGGGGTGAAGACCCGATGCGTTGTTTGCGCCTTGTCACCGAGATTTTGTACTGTAGAGAGCCTATACCAGTGGAAAAAGGAAAAAGGACCCTCAAAGTGGTTCTAGAAGCTAGATTCACCGTGTGAAAATAAGGTGGCAGGGATGACGTCGGGTGGATCCTTTTGCTGGAAAGTATAGGATGGGACATACGTATACGTTCGAGGAGAATAGGACAGCCCTGGGGGGTGGGGGCCTTTGAGTGAGTAGTGGGGCTAGATCTGCTGCAATATCAGGAGCTGATACTGAGTATCTTCACCTCAACACATGATGCTTGACAGGGAGGATACTTGATCATCTTTGATTCATAGTTATTCATCTTTAGTAATGAGGCTTGTCTCAGACCCTTCATTGTTGCCACACTTTAAATGGGATCCTTCCGATCCACTTCCTGCCTACTAACCGCAACAAGCTTAGCGAGTATCGGGTATTCTGCAGCCGGACTCCGCTCCGGTCCGATGGATGCCCGAGCAGAAATATATCGGCAGAAAAATTGAGAAAATGAGGCGGACGGGCAATGCCACAGCCAATTGGGTAAAAGGCGGTGAAGCTTTACGATGCCGGGACAGCCGTGCTGATCAATCCCGCCTATGAGAGGTGGCAATGCCCCGTTGCATCGCCAATTGATGACTCTCTGGCTGGTGTCCGTCTGGCTTATTCTTCTAGCTGGCCCGCCCAGAGCCTCGCCCATCTCTTTCTTCCCCTCCTGCATTCCTCCGCCTCTGTCATTCTTTCTCCCTCAATTACTCCTCCAATTCTCGGTCGCTTATCGCGTTCCTTACGAACTTCGTGTTCCCCTCCCTTCCAGCTTCGTGCTCTACCTATTCTTTCCTTCTTAGCTCCAGCAGTTCGAGAATCCATCTACTTCCGGTCGGTCGCATCCCACTCTCCAATTGCTCTCTGCTTGTCCCACCCAGAAGCTCTCCGCTCTCCCAATCCAACCCAACCCACCACGTCACTCACCTCTACATTCTGCTGGAAACCTTGTCTGACGTGCAAGGATTGTTCTAGGCTGGCTCCATTCCCATTCAACGACAGTACCATCGAGCTCCCTCACCCGCTCTCCGAGGCCTGCGCTGGCCGCGTCGAACCGGTGCTCGTCCATCCCGACCGGTCCGATGCTTACCGTCCCGTCGCTCGTGATAATCCGGGAATAAACCCACGACCCAGATGGACAGCTACGACGGCAAAGGGGAGAATGGACTGGAACGAGCCTCGAGCGAAGTCCCGCCCCTCCCCAGTAGCTCCGAGGAGGACGCGAACAACGCGAACAAGAAATCCACCAAGCGCGCGCGATGGGCCACCAAGAGAATGACCGCCGCCTCGGGCCTGCGCAAGAGAGTCTCCATCCTCGAACGCGGGCGCCGACAGAACCAGACGGATACCATGGCGAGCGCGACCGCAGGCGTGCCGGACATCACCGAGGGAGAATCGGGATCGCGCAAAGTTCATTTCAACCTTCCTATTCCGGACGAGGAGCGGGACGAGGAAGGCAATCTCAAGGCCGTCTATCCGAGGAACAAAATCCGCACCGCCATCTACACCCCGCTCACCTTCATTCCCAAGAACCTCTGGCTGCAGTTCCACAACATCGCCAATCTGTACTTCTTGTTCGTCATCATTTTGCAGTGCTTCGAGATTTTCGGGGACGCCGATCCCGGTCTGAGTGCAGTGCCGCTGATCGTCATCGTCGTCGTCACCGCCGTCAAAGATGCCATCGAGGATTGGCGACGAACCGTGTCCGACAACGAACTCAACAACTCTCCCGTATATCGCCTGACGGAGTGGGACAATGTGAACGTGACCGCCGACAATGTTTCCCTCTGGCGTAGGTTCAAAAAGGCTTGCACCCGGGCTGTTGTCACCAGCTATCGAGGCATGAAGCGCCTCTTCCGCAAGAATGGGGCCGACAAAGATGTGGCGGGTGACGTGGAAATGGCGGATGCCAGGCCCTCGGTTGAGCCTACCTCGCCGATCGCGATCGAGATGACGGCAGTTTCCCCTACCATGGAGGCCCGTGCTTCTGGCGACTGGCCCGACCCCATGAACGATCACGACCAGCAGGCAAACTCGCCGTGGGCACGGACCAAGGGTAGTGTCTTGAATCCGAGCCGGGTAACCCCAGGGAAGGCGCGATTCAAACGCCAACACTGGAAGGATGTCAACGTGGGTGACTTTGTGCGATTATACAATGGTGACCAAATTCCGGCCGACATCGCCATTCTCTCTACCTCCGACCCGGACGGAGCATGTTACGTCGAAACTAAAAACTTGGATGGAGAGACGAATCTCAAGGTGCGCAACGCCCTGAATTGCGGTCGCGTGTTGCGGAATGCTCGAGATTGCGAGAAAGCCGAGTTCACCGTCGAATCGCCGCCCGCGCATGCCAACCTCTACTCCTTCAGCGGTGCTATCTATTGGGATCAGTATGACGAATCCGGGGAGGCTCCGCAGAACCGCGTGGAGCCCATTACGATCAACAACATTCTGCTTCGAGGCTGTAGCCTACAGAACACCGAGTGGGTGTTGGGTGTCGTGCTTTTCACCGGACCGGAAACGAAAATTATGCTGAACCAGGGTCTCACGCCAAGCAAACGCCCACAGATGGCGCGCAACATGAACTGGAACGTGGTCTACAACTTCGCCATCCTCTTCATCATGTGTGTGATCTCTGGATTCATCAACGGGTTTGCCTGGGGCCTGGACGATGGCTCACTGACGTTCTTCGAGTACGGCTCCTATGGTGGCACACCTGCCGTTCAAGGTGTAATCGCCTTCTTCGTGGGCGTGGTCCTCTTCCAGAACTTGGTTCCTATCGCTTTGTACATCTCCCTGGAAATCTGCCGTGTCATTCAGGCCCTCTACATCTACTATGATATTCATATGTACTACGAGCGCTTGAAGATGTCCTGTGTCCCCAGGTCTTGGAATATCTCTGATGATATTGGTCAAATCGAGTACATCTTCTCTGACAAGACGGGTACCTTGACGCAGAACGTCATGGAGTTCAAGAAATGTACCGTCAACGGCGTGCCGTATGGTGAGGCATACACCGAAGCGCAATTGGGCATGCAGCGGCGGCAGGGACTGGTAAATGTGGAGGAGGAAGCTGCTAAGGCTCGTCAGAGAATCAGTGAAGGACGTGTCGAAATGATTCAGCAACTGCGCCAGCTTCATGATAATCCGTACTTGAAGGAGGAGAACTTGACCTTTGTTGCTCCACAGTTCGCCGCTGATCTGGGTGGTGCCTCGGGAGAGGCTCAGCAGCAAGCCACGATAGACTTCATGACTGCGTTGGCATTATGTCATACAGTAGTCACGGAGCGTATTCCTGGCGACCCTCCCCAAATTGAGTTTAAGGCACAGTCGCCGGACGAGGCTGCCCTGGTTGCCACGGCCCGGGACTGTGGATTTACCACCCTCGGCCGATCGGGCGAAAGCTTGATCTTGAATATCATGGGTGACGAGCGTAGGTATACTATCTTGAACATCCTGGAATTCAACTCCACCCGTAAACGAATGAGTGTGATCGTGCAGATGCCCGATGGTACTATTCGTTTGCTGTGTAAGGGTGCTGATACCATGATTTACTCCCGCCTGGCCCCCGGCCAACAACGCGAACTGCGTGATGCTACCACACGAGATCTCGAGACTTTTGCCCAAGAAGGTCTGCGAGTGCTTTGCATTGCTGAGCGCACCATTGAACCCGAAGAGTACCGCGAATGGAGTGTCATGCACGACGCCGCCGCCGCCGCCATTGTGGACCGCGAGGAGAAGTTGGAAGAGGTATCCAATGCTATCGAGCAGAATTTGTATCTCCTGGGAGGTACGGCCATCGAAGATCGCCTGCAGGACGGCGTTCCTGACACCATCTCCCTCCTTGCCGAAGCAGGTATCAAGCTCTGGGTCTTGACCGGTGACAAGATCGAAACTGCCATCAACATCGGTTTCTCCTGCAACCTCCTTAATAACGACATGCAAATGATTGTCTTCGACGCGCCCTCCGATATCGACATGGCCGCCAAGTTGCTGGATAGCAAATTGGAGATCTTCGGTATCACGGGCTCAGATGAGGAGCTGGAGGCCGCTCGCAAGGATCACTCACCGCCTCCGCAGACTCACGCTCTCGTGCTGGACGGTGACACTCTTCGATTCATGTTGGACGACGCCTTGCGGCAGAAGTTCTTGCTTCTTTGTCGGAAGTGTAAGTCAGTGCTTTGTTGCCGTGTTAGCCCAGCGCAAAAAGCCGCCGTGGTGGAGATGGTTAAGAACGGTTTGAACGTCATGGCTCTGGCTATCGGAGACGGTGCCAACGATGTTTCTATGATCCAGAAAGCCGATGTCGGAGTCGGTATTGCTGGCGAGGAGGGTCGTCAGGCCGTCATGTCTGCCGATTACGCGATCGGACAGTTCCGGTTCTTGCAGCGGTTGATTCTGGTTCATGGACGATGGGCCTATCGCCGTCTAGGTGAGACCACCGCCAACTTTTTCTACAAGGTTAGTCGAAGAATCTGTCTCGTCGCGCTCTGGCGATATCAGTGGACGAAGAGTTGCTGACTATTTAGTAGAACTTGGTCTGGACATTTGCCCTATTTTGGTATTCCATCTACGATAACTTTGATGGAACCTATCTATTCGAATATACGTATATTACCTTGGTCAACGTGGCGTTCACGTCACTGCCAGTCATCTTCATGGGTATCTTTGATCAAGACGTTGACGATCGGGTCTCCATGGCCGTCCCACAACTTTACATGCGTGGTATCGAGCGGAAGGAGTGGACGCAGTTGAAGTTCTGGTGAGTAGTACTCAAAGTCCGCTTGTGGTGTATAATGTGCTAACCATTTGTCCAGGATATACATGCTCGATGGATTCTACCAGTCAATCATTTGTTTCTTCATGCCCTATATGTTGTATCAAGTTGCCAACTTCCAAACGGAGAACGGAATGGGCATCGATGACATTTATCGCGTGGGTGTTCTTGTAGCCACCTGTGCCGTGGTTACGAGCAATACCTACGTGATGATGAACATGTATCGCTGGGATTGGTTCTCGACGTTGATCAACGCGATCAGTTCGCTGTTGATCTTCTTCTGGACCGGTATCTATTCGTCCTTTGAATCATCCGCCACCTTTTATGGTGCCGCAAAGCAGGTCTATGGGGCGTTATCCTTCTGGGTCGTGTTTTTGCTGACTGTGGTAATCTGCCTGACCCCGCGCTTCGTCTGCAAATGCATCCAGAAGGTGTACTTCCCCATGGACGTGGACATTATCCGAGAGAAAGTCATCCTCGGCCACTATGACTATCTGAAGCAATACGAGGCCTACGTGCCACCGGATGCCGGCAAGCTGGCGGGCTCGTCGGAGAGTGGAGCATCCGCCACTACTTCGGACCCGGAGAACACCCACCAAACCACTGTGCCGCGCCACTATCCGGGGGGAAACGACGTGGACCGCACGGCGAACTCGACACCGGTGGCACCGCTCGTAGATAGCCATGGCGCGCCGACTCGCCTCGACAACAGTCAATTCACGAGCGCCAACAGCAGTGTCGCCTTCGGCCTCCAACGCAACACATCCTGGGACAGCGCAAGCCGAGAGCAATCAGTGCTCTCGGGCTCAGTACTCCCGGTCGACTCCACAAGCATGGAGCCCCAACAACCGCACAGTCCCTTGAAAAGTCGCGGTGATCCCCCCTCGACGTACCCTGTATAGAAAGCGTTGTTTTTCTTTCTATTTTTATTCTTGGTTGGCTATTCCCCTTTCCTTGCAATTCTCCCTTTGATTTCCCACACAGTTTCTCCGGGGGTGCAATGACTCTGCGCCCCCCGCCCCCCTTATAAATACCTCACCCTCCTGATCCGCAAAAGCTCTTCAGCCCCCTGCGACTGATCTCTTCTTATATTCCCCCGGTTGATTTATTCCTTATAAATTTTTTCCGTCATTTAATGTCTTATTGAAGCGCAACTTGCCTTGCGCTCCTGTTGATACCGATCCAGTCGATATATCTCGCACATATTCAGTTAAATGTAACATAGAGCCTTCCGTCAATAGGACTTGCAATTCATTCCATAATCTCGGCTTCCCAGTAAACCCATTTACCGAGATATCAAAAGGGTACATGGGGTAAGGGTATCACAGAATCAGCACTGCCTCTTTCAACAGAGCGAATTCCTTCCACCAGCCCCTCACTGGTCTCTGTTTGTCAGAACCTGCTCTTCTTCTTCAGCCTCTCCAACCTCACCTGCCGAAGATGGACTTCTCGTTGGGACCTCCTGCTCACTCCGCGATCTGACGATAAACATCACTGCGAGTGTCCTCGAGACATTCATCTTTGTATTGGTGCATATGCTCATTGAATACAGCCCCGTTGACTTCGGGAAGCCCTACCAGGTCAAGTCTGTCTTCGAGAAGCTGCATCCTCTGCAAAAGGACCTCACTGGAACCGTTAGACTTGTCTTCAATAGCACAATTAGTTCTTGCACCTACGTCTTTTCATCTATCATCTCAACTGTACACGCTACTGCTTGTGTCTTAGCAAGTCCTGCAGCGATTGATGTATTCTCCCACTCACCTTGCACTACTTCATCCTTCATCCGGGCAACCCACGACGGTACAACATCCACAGCCCGCGATTTCAGAGAAAGAAGGAGCTCGCGTGCATACGCCGCAGCGGTCAAGGCAGCATATTTCCGCCAATGCTCATTATCATGCGAGTCCGCATAATTCCCAATGCCACGAATGACCAGGCAAGGCAGGTTATTCATCACCCCGGCAGCTTCCCTGTCGAAGCACAGAACCTTCAGCTCTGGATTGTGGGCGTAAAAGTCCCGCGTGGCAGCATCCTTGATCATGGAATTCCCCGATGCAATCGTTCCGTGATGCAGGGCTATCACCCGCTGACTACTTCGCTGTGGCCTCGGCACAGTTTGCGTGACATCGCACCCCACACAGGCCTTTCCCTCCTGATGCTGATACTCAACACGGTACAGATCATCCCGCTGCGGTCGCTGATACCCCAACATATCGTCCATAAGCCGGATATGCCCTGCGACAAAATCCGGCTTCCTGGGATCATTATACCGCCTCCGCAGATCCCCAACGACCGAGAGCAGCTTATCCGGCGGAGCATTCAACTGCCCCGTCAGCTTGAACGGACCGTCGGGCAGGCGCTTACCCAGATCATACTGAATGACGCCCCCGAGTGTTCCCTGCGGCTTACTGACCACCACATCGCCCAGCCGAATATCCGTCTCCGCTGTCGGCGCTCCGCCTCCGATGCCCACCATCAATGCAAATCGTAGACGTGGAAACGTCCTCACCATATCTCTCGCCACGCGCGAGGCAGACTCCGTACCGTACCGGCCGGCCGGTAGACAACCCACAACGACCCCATGGTTTCTGATTTTTCCGAAGGCGTAGGTGTTGTCGTCGCCGTCTGGGAGGGTCTCGGGACCGGCGTACTCTTCGTCTAGCATGCGGCATGCGCATTCGTATTCTTCCTCCAAGGCGCATATCCAGCCTACTGTGTAGTAGGTCCAGTGAGGCTTGGTTCGCGAGTTTGGTTCGAACAGGCCTCTCCGGGGAGATGGGGGGTGGAGATGTCTTTCGCTTCAACATATTCTATTCCTCCTGTAGAGCGTTCTCCAATTCCTTGTCAGCAGTCGGACCGAATACTCTTATGGCAAGCTATTTTCTTCGTCAGTTGGATGTAGGAGTGGAGTACACTTATCGCACACTCACATGATTTATTGCGTATCGTCTGACTATACGTCCCTACAGAAACGTTTGAGTTGTTCCAACCTCCGAGAGCAGTGCGCCGGGCGCGAGTGTAAGTTATAGGACCTGCCAGAAGCCATAGCAGCTTCAGTGAGGTGATGCACGCAGGAGGGAGCATACCGGCCGGCGCTCAATGCAACAATCGCATTGGCGCCCGGAGGCCGGGCGAATAGCAGCACCTGGCAGGTTGTTTCATGCATGCGTGGCGCCCCCCTCCTAGTAACTCAGCCTCGCTCATCATTGCCTAGGCGGCAGGGCTGAGAAAAGTGCTCAAAACTCCACGTGAGAATACATGAAAGGCCTTCCTGGTCTCCGGAGCTCAAAAGAATCATGCGGAAATCTAAACTCTGGCCAGGGTATAGAAGCCGAAATCCGCCTTAGCTAAAGTACCCCTGATGGCAACGATACAACCTAGTGCAGACTACGTCGACTTAGGTTGGTCCAGACTTGGTATTTGAGGGGGTCATAGAAGGAAGGTAAGTTTGACTTCTCAATGCGGAACATAATAGTCGATGTTTTGCGCAATAACTTTACTTCTGTAAAGCACAAACCTGCAGGCAATGACTGGTTAAGTTGTTCTGATGTAGACAGTGGTTACTAAACTCTTCAAAGCCTTAGAATAGCCCATTATCTTCACCTATATATATTCTTACCTTCCTCATGCCCCTAGTTCTTCCTGAAAATAATTTCATTTCCAGCCCTGTCAACGTACCATCAGTCGATTGTAAATGTCGTATCAACGAGTACTGAACCCACTGCTGAAAAACCAAGAATACAAGATACAGTGATTTATAGCTCCGCCCACGCGGTCTGTACGATGCAGATCATAGATGTCAACAGGATATAAGTCAATGATCATCACTAGATTCGACTTACCGAATCATCATCTAGAACTAAAAATACATTCCTACGGCCGATATGACACAACCAACCAACGGGTCGTCCAGACAGCAAAATGCGCTTTACCTATCCGGGCTAAAAGGTACACAGAAAGTGTACCGAGATTATCCTATCACCTGCCATGACAAACAAAGATATACAGATGATCCATGGTGCGGGAACGACATAGTTCCGGAGCTTTTGCAAATAATGTAATAAGAATGTATCTTATAGATGGTTGCACTAACCATAAGATCAGCGTTAGTGGTGTAGCGGTTAGCATTGTTGCCTTCCAAGCAATAGATCGGGGTTCGACTCCCCGCTGACGCAATTTCTTTTTCGCTTTTTGCTTTCTTACGGCACACGATCCAGCCAAGGAACTACAGTGGGTTGCGGTTATCTCGTATCTTTTGTTGCGGCACAGGTTCTGGTGGATTTTTCCCACCTCCCCCATGAATGGTAAAAAACACTGGTGCTTGTTTTCACTCTTGGAAGGAATGGCAATCGTAAAGCTTGGGGTGCAAGTCAATGGTTAAGCCCTACATAATATCAATGCATACTCATTGATAGGTTCTCACAGCATCACTGACATTTTACTCTGGACGTCAAGGGACAAGATGTAAACAGAAAGCAGATAGAATGGTTCTCTCTTCTTTCTTTCTTTTCCCCGAAGCCATGCTATCGTAGAAAAGATTGCAAATCCGACAAGAGATTATCTTAATGGCTGAGTCCAACACCTTGCAGCTGAGTTGCCACTGTAATCAATCTGTCCGAGTGCTGGCTCAAATAGCGACCTGTTTCATCTGCGATTTCCTTCACACTCCGAAAGTCGTTCGGCCCCGTGTCTTGCACCAGACCTATCACAAACCGAATGTACTTATCCTCATATCCCATATAGTGAAGCTTGTTTTTGATATATTGTTCGTTGTCTTCGAGCATACCGATAACTTGGAGAACGGTCAGTCGCTCAGCTGGGGTTCAAGTATAGAACAAAGAAGTGTTACCTCGTCGGGTGACCTATAGATTGTACCTTGATGCAAATGTTAGCGATGTAGTAGAAATATGTATATCGGATAAGATAATACCAATGGATGCAAGATGTCTCAAGTGACCGAGCAGTTTCCAAGGGAGGACTAAGTCACTCAGAGAGGGAATCATGAGGCCGTGCAGTTCGCCAAGCCTTAGGAGACCAGGCATATCGCTGAGCGGCACCCTTCCTTTTTAAAATCTCAGAATTAGTCCAATGGCCTGGTCGCTCCATTGTTCCCGGATCTCCTTGAGAGCACGCCCCAGGCCATATTGAGAGTCACCAGATTGGCAATGCGATTGTCGATGTAAATATGCAGTGCAAATGGCAACTATAAAACAACAGTCAAGCCAATACGTCTCCAATTATTGTAACCAGGCCGAATGCTCCAAGTTATTGAGAAGTAAATATATACACTGGGGAGCCAACACCAGTTCAAAACCAGACGGCGCGAAATAGTTGGTGGCGGTTCTGGGACAGGCTTACCATTATCAACGTGTTTCAAGAATGCACTTGCCATTGCAACCGACATCAAGAACGATCACGATGCATTTGAGGAAATTGCCGGCCTATCGTCGAATTGGTCCTATTTCAGGTTCAACTGCGGTGGGAGACTTGCAGATATCTCGCTCGACCAAGCGAGCCAGTTGCCAACCATTGAGAACATGACCAGGGCTTATCTTGCGAAATCCCAAACGCAAGCGACGATACAAGATGCTGTTCGCGCAATGGCCTATCCTGGTTGGTAGGTAAATGGCGAAGAAAATTATTATTAGTTCAGGTACATGCTTTGATTTACTGGTCTACTCACCAACCCGCCATCCTGCATCCTAAAGCTATACAGCTTTGTTCAAACAGGTGTTTATCTATGTGTTCATCTCACTTCTTCTCATTGACGAAATTGTACATCTCACTTTTCCAAACAAAGTCAATCAAAATATCAAGAGGGTATTAGATCAGGATGGAGGCGATATAGATTCCACGTACTGCAGAACCTGTCTCTTAGTTGGTGATCAAGTTCATGTTACTAACATGTGGACTATTTCTCCAATTAAACCTTTAGTGAAGTATATTCCACTCAATACAGCTGATCAAAAAGCCCCATAACATCGATCCCCAACCACTGCACATCATTTAGCGCATAGCTCGGATCATCGAGCAGCGGGAAGAAGATGGGGTCGAACGACGCCGGACTCCAGGGCTGGACGGGCGCCGTCGGATCGAGCTCGGTCTTCCGGGGCCGATCGGCATCCATTGACGGATTGCTAACCGGGACACGCAGGGCGGCTGTCGACTCCAAAGTCGCATCCTCTGTGATGACAGGTGCGGTTGCTGTATTCTCAACGCGCCTTTGGGCGCGGATAGTCTCGCTGCCCGTCTTCGTCTTGCCATTCCTGACGTCCGACACGTACTGCCGGGCGAGGTGGGCGAACTCAGCCACCAGGGAGCCCGGAAGCGCCCCTTTGCTGGCGTACTCGATGCGGCTGAAGTGCCCACCGGCCATGTCGAGGAGGGCGAGACTGAGGCCGGTTTCGGCGTGAGTGGGGTTGTGCACGACGAGGTCGAAGAGGATCATGAGGGCGGAGAGCGGGAGGACGGCCAGGATCCTGTAATTATTGTATTTTGTGTCATTACCGCGCATCCAGGACAACGGTCAAAAAGCAGGAAACTCACCAAACAGGCGCCGAGGGCGCAACCTCGATGAAGGCTGTTAACTCTAGAACACTTCTCGCCGTGCGCAACAGTTCGCGCTTCAAGACGTCCTGCTGCGACGCCGCGACGCGAGCAGTCCCTACATGGAGGATGGTCCACGATAGAGTGAGAAGAGCGTGGAAGTACAGATAGTGCGTGAGTAAGGCAATCTTCAAAGCCAATGGCTCGCGCAGAAGACGAGGTTTCGGGACCTCGCCCGGCCGGAATCGAGAGGGGATCGCAAGGCGCCAGGTCTCTAGCTCCGAACGTAGACTGTTCACGGTGGCGTTATATGTCTGCAGGGGCTGGCTCACGGCGCTGACGTTGAAGAGGGACTGATGAACCTTTGAGACTAGACGGCCGTACTTGATGAAACAGAAGAACCAGTCGTAGTCCCCAAAGGCAGACTCTAGCACGTCTGGAATGGCACAGCTGATGTTGGAGTCATCGATGACCTATTTGACGGGTTTGAGTAAAGAGGAGCTAGGTAGATCAATCGGCTTGGAATGACTGACTGAGTTCCTTGCCGTGCCAAAGCATGAAGTCTTTTCAAGATAGTAAAGGACCCAGAATGTGCGCCGGTGAGCCGTTTCTTGCACCCCGTTCGAGCGATGGTAGCCGAGTGCTTGTGCCATCATGCTGGCTTCTGACAACATCAGGGGTTCGAATTGGAAGGCCGACACGGTGGATGAGAAGATTGCCTGCAGTAAACCTTAGTTGTTGGGAGATGTCTCGTCAAATATTGTATCATACCATAGCCATGAGCGCCTAGGGTTGATGTTAGTCTTGTCCCTCCCCTCGAGATTGAAGCAGAGATGCAAACCTGAACGGCAGTCAACGAACCGCGACCGAACACCAAGTCTGGAAAATACGACAGTGACCGCTCGAAGTATTGCCAGGCCTCACCCACTCCAACCTCAAAGCTGCCCCCCTCGTTATTCTGGCACCCGATGGCAACAATCGCGTAGAACAATGCCGCCCAAGCGCGGTCAGCAGCAAGCGAATGGGATAAGTCCTCGGCCGTGGCTTTCTGACGGAATGTGTCGGGAGACAGAAACGGGTAGACTGGGTGGACGGCTTCAAAATAGGCTACTCTTCGTCAGTACTTTGCAGGAGGACTAATGGGAAAAGGTGCCGAGTTACCGGCTATATGAGCTTGAATGCTGGCCCTATCAGGAAATTCGTGGCTCTGGCTTAACGAGTGCCGCCGCTGGATATAAGACTGCGGAATGGCACAGGCGGTTTTGATCTTCGTTGAAACGAGCGCGCGGATCTGCTCGAGTAGTTGGTCTAGTCGGCTATGCCCCAGTCTTTCATTGATCGCCTTGACTCGTTTGGCGGGGAAGAACGAGATATTAGGATTGAACCCGGAGATCGTGGTGAGCTCCAAGAGCACGATTAGTTTCGGGTGTTCGGTCACCTCGCGGTTGTGTTCATGCTACGTACCTGATCTGGATGGCCCGAGTCTCGCAAGTGACGAGAAGCTTGTCGATTTACCAGAAGAGAGTCCATATACAGCGCGCCGGTGCTGGAGGACAACGACGTGGTATCAGTATCCGCAAGAGGTGTCAAAGCTAGTGCACATCGTCAGTTCGGCTTGGATTCCAGATTTATAATCAATTAAGCAAACTACCTTCCAACTCATATTTCCGTTTGCGGGGCCTTTTCACTGGCGTAAAGGAGCAGGGACGCCTCTGCGACTAAAAGGAATCAAATACCGTTCGATGAGGGCTGCAAGGATTGTGGCCTGACTTACCAGGCAAAGATCGCAGGTGGAATTTGTGCCTGAGAGACCTGGCAAAAGTCAGCCAAAGCGGAAGAAGACACTCCAAGGGTGTCAGGTCACTCCACAGAGTCCACACTCACTACATCGCGTTTTTCGGGTCCGACAGGCGTCGCACGCCTTGTGCAGCGCGGCAGAGCTTGATGCAGCCGCTGACATCATCTCCATGGCATAAAGATGAGCAGTTGAGGTGGAAGGAGACGAGGAGAAAAAGGCTTCTCTCAGCATTGACAGTATCGGCCCCTTATGGCGGTGCTGTGTTCGCCGCCGAGGAGCTCCGACGCCCCCGCGCCGGCTGGCCCACGCTGGCCCTAACTTCCGCTCCGATCGCCTCCGACGCTAGTCGCTCGTCGGCGCCGTCTATCATCATGTCTGCTACTAGGCTGGGCTGCATTTTTTGCCCAGTAGAATGGGTGAAATTCACCTTTCATCACATGCTGATGAGGTAGTGCTGTGGTGAATGCGATATAAATCGTCATGGAGCCTGTTATTCGCAACACACAGCTACCTTCAGGAATCTTGTTCCTCGGCCACCTTACCAACCGAGCGAGAGTCTGTGCCCTAATTCCTTCTGCCGCCATCCACCATGCTAGACCCAGCTTCAATCCCCAAATTGCCTGAAATGCCTGAGCAGGCTACCCACACTAGCAGGTCTACGTCGACCTCGTCCAGTGATCGAACAGCCGACGTGGCAGATGAAGCCGAACCGATGCAGATATCTCCAGAGAATCAACGTCAAATCCTCAAATTGGCAAGACGCTTCACGCAGGACTCGGTACATGAGTGGCCTCACGGCTCCTCTATCAATCCGTTTACGGATGCAGAGGATACGTGCCTAGATCCCAACTCCCTCAAGTTCAGCGCCAAGCGATGGGTGCAGGCCTTGGTGGAATTGACCTCGCAGAATCCCGAGCGGTACCCCAAGCGCAGAGCAGGCGTATCATACCGTCATCTCAGCGTGGGTGGATACGGGGGTGGCGCTGCTTACCAGCCAACTGTTGCGAACGTCGTGCTGCAGGGGCTAAGGGATCTGACGGTTCGTTTGGTTTCCGGAAGAAGACGCGAGGTGCAGATTTTAAGAGACCACGATGGCATTGTCCGCAGCGGCGAGATGCTCCTGGTCCTAGGGAAACCAGGAAGGTTCGTACTTTGAGATCCTACGAGTAACAGCTTGATTGTTTTTGACTGACTAGATTTCGTACCTGCAGTGGCGTATCCACCCTCTTGAAGACAATCGCAGGCCATACCAATGGACTATCGGTGGCGGATTCCACAGAGCTCAGCTATGAAGGTAGGCCAGACCCCATCACATTTCGAGTGGGAACTGACCGAAAGTCCCCTTGCAACCAGGCATTCCATGGAAGACAATGCATCGCAAATTTCGTGGGGATGTGATCTACCAGGCTGAGACGGACGTCCACTTCCCCCATCTCACGGTCGGACAGACGCTGTTGTACGCCGCTCTGGCCAAAACCCCTCGGAACCGGCTGCCAGGTGTATCCCGGGAGACCTATGCAACTCATCTCCGCGATGTGGTCATGGCTGTGTTTGGCATCTCGCACACCGTCAACACTAAAGTCGGCGACGACTTCATCCGCGGAGTGAGTGGTGGAGAAAGGAAGCGTGTCAGCATTGCGGAAACCTGTCTGACACAGAGCTGTATCCAATGCTGGGACAACAGCTCCCGCGGGCTGGACAGTGCCACAGCGCTGCAATTCATTCAAACCGTCAGACTGGGCGCCAAGATGACTGGTACTGCCGCCGTGGTTGCTCTGTACCAGGCTTCGCAACAGGCTTACGATGTGCGTCTTTACCACCTAAATGTCCTGCGTGGAAACTGTGAAGCTGACTACTGCACCCCATGTACTGTGCACAGTGCTTTGACAAGGTGACAGTACTCTATGAAGGTCGGCAAATCTACTTCGGCCCGGTAGATCGAGCAAAACAGTACTTCATCGACATGGGCTATCTTTGCCCTGATCGACAAACGACAGGAGACTTCCTTACCTCATTGACCAACCCGGTGGAACGAATCATTCGGCCAGGCTTTGAAGCTCGAGTGTCCAGAACACCCGATGAATTCGCCCAAGCCTGGCAACAGAGCCAACTGAGAATAGAGCTGTGCAAGGAGATTGACCACTTCAACCAACAGCATGACGCAGAGGTTGTTTTTGAGAAGTTCGCAGCCTCCAAGAAGGCGGAAAGATCACGCTTGATGTAAGAAACGTCACCAACTAGACACAAAATCGCTCGAAGCTTAGACTGTGCAGGACCCCAAGTTCACCTTATACCATATCCATTCCCCAGCAAGTGTTACTGTGCATACGACGAGGCTACCGCAGAGTCTTGGGCGACTCCACCTTCTTCTTCGCTACTGTGCTCGGGAACTTCTTCCTCTCCCTCGTCCTGGGCAGTGTGTTCTACAGCCTAGACGACTCGACCGCCAGCTTTGTCGATCGCTGCGTCCTCCTGTTCTTCGCCGTGCTATTCAATGCGTTGAGTAGCGCTCTAGAAGTGAGTACATCCGGGCACCCAGCTCAGTAACCGCTAATATAGTCCCCAGATCCTAGCGTTGTACGCCCAACGACCTATCGTCGAGAAACATGCCGCCTACGCCTTCTACCACCCGATGTCCGAAGCCGTGGCATCCATGATCTGCGACCTGCCCAGCAAGGTGCTCTCCACCATCGGCTTCAACATCCCCTTGTACTACATGTCGAACCTGCGGCGCGACTCCGACCACGTGGTCATCTATCTGCTTTTCGCCTTCATGACCACCCTGACCATGTCCATGATCTTCCGCACGATTGCCCAGTCCACGCGCACGATCCCACAGGCGCTCACGCCCATCGCCCTGGGCGTGCTCGCGCTGGTGGTGTACACAGGGTTTGTCCTCCCGACTCGCAACATGCAGGGCTGGCTGCGGTGGATCAATTACATCAATCCGATCGCGTACTCGTACGAGACGCTGGTGGCCAACGAGTTCCACGGCCGCTACTTCGAGTGTGCCAGTTTCGTGCCCTCGGGGCCAGGATATCAGGACGTTGCGAGTGATTACAGAACGTGTGCGGTGGCCGGTGCGTCGACCACCTCGAGCCTGGTCAGTGGGGATGCATATGTGGCGGCCAACTATAGCTATTACTTCTCGCATACATGGAGGTATTTATTCACTATGCCCTTCCAGACGATACATGTACTGTGCTGACTGGATTATGCTCAGGAACTTCGGCATTCTGATTGCCTTCATCCTGTTTTTCATGACAACGTACCTGCTGATTGCGGAATTCGTGATGTTTGACCATTCCAAAGGCGAGGTTCTCGTCTTTCAACGCAAGTCACAAGCTGTCAGTGCCATCAGACATGCTGCACATGATGAGGAATCCGGCAAGAGCGAGGCAGCCACGACAGCGGAGCATGCTGCGGTGTCTGATCGTGAGCTCAATCTCCAGCTCCAATCCAACACCTTGCATTGGAAGGATGTGTGCTACGACGTGCCGATCAAAGGCGAGATGCGCCGCATATCCGACCACATCGACGGATGGGTGACACCCGGGACGCTGACTGCATTGATGGTAGGGATTTTCTTAGCTCATAGTCAATCTACCCGATACTGACATTGTGAGCGAACCAGGGAGCCTCAGGCGCGGGTAAAACCACACTTCTCGATCTCCTTGCCAGCAGGGTCAAGACCGGAGTGGTATCCGGGCAAGTCTTTGTCAATGGCGTCCCTCGAGACGCCTCGTTCCAGAGGAGGGTAGGCTATGTTCAACAGCAGGACGTCCATCTTGAGACCAGTACCATTCGCGAAGCGCTGCGATTCAGTGCCCTTCTCCGACAGCCGGCATCGGTGAGCAAAGCGGACAAGTATCAGTACGTCGAGGAGGTGATTGACCTCCTGGAAATGCGGGCGTACGCGGATGCAGTCGTCGGTGTTCCGGGCGAGGGTTTGAACGTTGAGCAGAGGAAGCGGTTGACTATCGGGGTGGAACTTGCGGCGAGGCCCGATCTCCTGATTTTTCTTGACGAACCAACCTCAGGCTTGGACAGCCAGACTGCTTGGTCTATCACTTTACTACTGCGCAAGCTGTCTAACCACGGGCAGGCGATTCTGTGCACCATCCATCAACCCTCGGCAATTCTTTTCGAACAGTTCGACCGTCTACTCCTCCTAGCCAAGGGCGGTCGCACGGTCTACTTTGGACCGATAGGACAGAACTCACAGGTGCTGACCCGCTACTTCGAACGACACGGTGCCAGGCTGTGTACCCGTGAAGAAAACCCGGCTGAATGGATGCTAGAAGTAGTTGGGGCAGCGCCTGGTACGCAATCCACGCACGACTGGGCAGCGACATGGAGGGGGAGCCAGGAATACCAGGAGGTGCGACGAGAGCTGCAGCATCTTGAAGAGCGCCAGGCCTCGACACAAAACTCTGCAGTCGACTCTGGCCAACAGTACGCAGCCCCGTTTCTGACCCAGCTCCAACTATGTACCCAGCGAGTGATGGAGCAGTACTGGCGAACGCCCTCCTACATCTACGCGAAGCTCATCCTCTGCTTTGGCGCGGTAAGTCTGCACCCCCTGCTCCTCTTTGGGTTCAGTTCTCATCACCGACGCAGGCCCTGTTCATCGGCCTCTCCTTCCTGAACACCAAAATCACCATCCTCGGCCTGCAGCACCAGACCTACGCGATCTTCATGCTTCTAGTCATCTTCGCCTTCCTGGCCTACCAGACGATGCCCAACTTCATCAAGCAGCGCGACCTGTACGAGGTCCGCGAACGGCCCGCCAAGACGTACGCCTGGTCGGCCTTCATGCTGGCCAACATCTTCGCCGACCTGCCCTGGAACTCGCTGGCGGCGGTGCTGATCTTCCTCCCGTTCTACTATCTGATCGGCATGGACCACAACGCGCAGGAGACGCACGCCACGCGCGAGCGCAGCGGGCTGATGTTCCTGCTCATCTGGTCCTTTCTGATGCACTGCGGCACCTTTACGATTATGATGGTGGCGGGCGTGGCGACGGCCGAGGTGGGCGCGACGCTGGCGCTGCTGCTGTTCTGCATGTGCTTGATCTTCTGCGGGTGAGTCTATCCCCTTTCCTCCTTATCTGTCTATATTCCCGTGCCTTCATATCAGCCCGACTAACCGCATTCCCACCATTGTAGTGTATTAGCCTCCCCCACAGCCCTCCCGGGCTTCTGGATCTTCATGTACCGCGTCTCCCCCCTCACCTACCTGGTCAGCGGCATGCTCTCCACCGGCCTGGCCAACACAGAAGTCCACTGCTCCACCCTCGAGCAGATCACAATCCAGCCCCCGTCCAGCCAGACCTGCGGCAGCTATCTGGCCGCGTACATGCAGCAGGCCGGCGGCGCCGTCGCCAACCCGCAGGCCACGCGGGACTGCGCCTACTGCCAGATGACGGACTCGAACGTGTACCTGACAGAACTGTCGGCGGAGTATGCGGATCGCTGGCGGAATTTCGGGCTCATGTGGGTTTATATTGGGTTCAATGTGGTTGCGGCGTTGGGGTTGTATTGGGGGGTGCGGGTGCGGGGTGGGGTAAATTTCTCGCGGTTGTGGCGCTGGGTGAAGCGAGGTTAGATTTGGTGAGGAGGGTGTATTCGGGGGTTTTGAGTGCGGATTCTTCGGTAGATGGTGGAGTGGATGTGTTTGATATGGTTGTGTTGTTAATGTACTGTAAACCTATCTTCGGTGTTTTATCTCCACTCACTTGTGTAATCAGTGTCTATTGCAGTTTCTTTTCTTTTGCCAGGTGTGAGGGTCAGTCAGGAATTTTACTCTTTGTTTGTCCACCTTGGGCTCGGCTGGAACACTGATGTAACAATCACAACAAGAGTGCGATTCCTAACCCTGCACCATCAGAATGTGTTTACTTCAAGGTCTTTCCACCCCCGGTGAAATTGACGTCATTCGGCACCGAAGCCAAAAGTGGAGCCACTAGTTTCGCATCGGGACTCGGCGCCGAACCGATAAGATAGGCCTGAGCAGTGTGATTAGATCCAATGCCATGCCGATGCCAGCCTGGGGCCGGAGCTCCCATGACGAAGGAGGCGACCAAGTCGGTGCCAAATAAGAAGTGACAATTTCAGATGTTATTATATTGGTGACCAGTAGTAACAGCGTATGCATGGACAAGAAAGACTATGACTGTCTGCGCAACTGTGCTGTATGTAAAAACCATGATGTAAACGTGTAGAAGTCTCACTGCCAAACCAACTAAAGAAAAGAGGAAGGAAAAGACAATGTGAACAGAAAAGTCAATAATCACAGGATGAGCAGCAGCTAAGCAATAAAGCACAAAGCAAGGGACAATCGACCCCGTCCACACTTTCGTCTCCATAGAAACGCGCTCTCAACCCGTATATCCCAAAACATGGAAGTAGCCGTGTAACCCCCCTAACCTCTATCTGGATTCGCCCGAAGTCCGTGATCAGGCCTCAGTATCACTCACAGTGGTTGACTCTCAAAACCACTATCGAAGGGCCAGCTCCGTCGAGCCATGGAATTACTGAGTAAACTAGGCGAAGTCGGCGTTGACCTCTCCGTTGAAGGTGATCTCGATGTGGTCTCCCGAGGGCTCAGATGGGGTGTATGATGGCCGCTTGTTATGGTCGTAGCACTTCTCGTCGGGGCAGGGGTCCTCGTGGCAGCCATCGTCGGGGCACTCAACTGGGGTGGGCGATGGATCAGTGCAGGGTCCCTCGGGGCAGTTGTCGTCAGGGCAGTTGCCGTCAGGGCAGGGCTTCGCTGGGCAAGGCTTCTTGTGGCAGGTGTCGTCGGAACAGGTCGTGTTGACGCAAGGATTCTCGGAACACGGAGGAGGGGTCGTTTTGCAGGTTTTGCAGGGAGTAGGGGTCGGCTCGCAGTCAACACAGGGGGCAGGTGTAGACTCGCACTCGTTGCATGGCGTCGTAGTGGGCGACACCACGGGCGAGGGAGTCGTGGTGCAGGAGGTCACAGGAGAGGGAGTCGTAGTGCAAGAAGTCACAGGCGAAGGTGTCGTGGTGCAGGAGGTTCCAACCGACGGAGTCGTGGTAGATTCGCACTCATGGCACGGAGTCATAGTTGAAGACGATATAGGTGACGGAGTCGTGGTGCAGGTGACCACAGGGGAAGGTGTAGTCGAGCACGAGGATGTCAACGGCGCAGTCGAATCGCCCGGCAACGGGTCTGTAACAACCGGTCCCTGAGAACTAGGAGGCGGCGAGGTAATCTCCTCAGAAGAGGGAGTAGTAGTGGAGGGCTCCTCCGGCTCCTGGGCAAAAGTCGGTGGATCCTCAACCGCCAGTTCTGGCGCATCGCCGGAGCCCTGGCCTGGTACCGGCAAGTCCTGCCTGGACCGACGCGAGACTGACGGGGTCTCTGTCGGCTGAGCCCAGATTGTCCACGCGTCATCGGGCTGGATCAGGGTTGGCGGAGTGGCGGACGGCGAAGGTACCCACGAGCTCGCTGGGGTCGATGATGAAGCGTAGCTCACGAAGCAGTAGCCCTGGGTTTGAGCCTGCGGAGGCCCGACATCTACTACCGCGGCGCCTGGGACAGTGGTGCTGCTGTGGTCTATGCCGCTGAAGACACATGTAACATCCGGGGTGCTGGATGAGATGCGGGAGATGCTCAGTCCGTTGTCTGTTGGATCAAGTGTTAGCAATCATGGAAGAACAAGCACGAAGTAAGTAATCTGAGGAGATGTCGTACTGATGGCAACAGGAGCTCCGTCGGTGGAAAAGCTCTGGGTGAGCTGCACACCACCAGCCGCGTAGAACGTTATTGGAACTTCGTTGCGCGAGCGAGCAGTGGGCAGAGCTCGCGCAAGGAGTCCGAAGGAGACGACGGTGACAAGAGTAGATGCTGAAGTATACATTGCGCTGGTTGATCTTTGTAGCAACGAGGCTTGGGTTGAAAGTTGAACGATTGAGAGTTGACTTGAATATTGCTGTTGTACTTGCTGTTTTTGTGAGGATGTGAAACCGATGTTGTCGTGATGCCCTTGAGGCTTATATAGACTTCATCCTCATACTACAAGCTATATCTATTGCAGAATAGAGAGGCTATGCTTCTTGACAGAATGGTAAACAGTGAGGCTCAATCCAGAACGCCTGTCAAACAATAAAGATGGCCGTCCCCCAACCATGGATGGCCTCTTCAGGCCTCGGGCTGAGCCCACCGACCTAAAATTATTCGAGCCAGGAGCTCCAATATATCCGGGGAAAGCTCATTCCACAAGGCTTGTGTGGACGAAAATAGTGACAGGGTGCAGTGCCTCCGCGGCCCGAACCATGGAAGAAATACGACACCACCAATGATCAAAAGTGACTCGCCGGCGTACCGAACAATAGCAGCAACACGAACCCGTGCTTGCTCGAGTACTCTTGGGTCAATCACGAGCACGGTATTTTAAGCTGATGCTACGCGGAAATAGACTATGGACTAAGCCACTTGCTTCGACTGAGTGGGTATCAAAGCCACCGCTACGTCTGGGTACATAAATTAGAAGCGGCTGTCCTGTGGCTGGAATTAGCCTCAGCAACATCAGAGTACGAGGTAGTAGTCATCTTCGCTACACAGTATCTCTGCTCAGAAAACCAGTAGTCAAAGAGCATCCGAGTGGTAGCTATCCGGATTCACTGGGCCAGTCGTGTAGGGCGAACAAGACCTGTGGTGGACTACCCTCAATAGCTGCTCACATTCCATTGCAACCTTGCTAGAACAAAGATTCCGTTGCCATGAGCAGATAGTGGGACCAGACAGAGCCATCACTAGAGGCCACCGGGTCTAGCCTCCCAGCTCTAGCCCCCATTCCTATCTAATTCGCCCAAGCCATGCCTTGACACTGAGGACCTCCCCGCCCACGCAGACATTGCCCTCGCCGATCCTCGCTTGGGCGATGGGATCATATGGCGGAGCATGCAGTAACTCGTAATCATGGCTGCAGATCTCCACCGCGAGCGTCCCCGCCCGCAGTTTGTCCGCGCAGGCTTTGTCGTAATGAACACCTGGCCAAGTTTTGCACACATAGAGATCATCCGCATGGGTCCAGTGGGTCTCACAGCCCCCCGCGCAAAAGATATCCATTGCCCCCGGGGTTTCCCGGGGTTGTCCGAGTACTTGGGATACGGGCTGACCAGGGACCAAGCTGCGACAGTGGCATCCCCCATGCCAACTGCTCGAAGGTGGCCAGCAAGACGAATATACCCTTCCCAATCATTGAGTGGACGGTTGTCAGAGAGAAGAGCGAGGTCGGCCTTGAGGTATGGACGTAGCGTATCCTGGGCCCTTTCCATGCTACCCCGAATGACGTGGTAGTGTGCAAGCCGCTGTGCGCCATGTCGCTTGAACTCGTCCGTCAAGTCCTCGGGAGTTGGGACTCGTGCCAACTTCTCGAGCTTGACGATGTATGATGCGTCGGTGTCCAGGTTATGCTGCACCTCAGTATAATAAGCCCATGCGAGTCGGCCTTCCGTCCTACTACTAGTGAGGGAGAGTTCTTTGACGGCGTCATTCGCTGGACAAACATCCAGAACACGCTCCCACTCCTCAATGGCGTGAATGCGATCCTCATGTTGATGGCCCAGGTACTTGTAACGATAGCGTGCGTGATGGTACATTAGCCCCCTCTTACATAGTCCATCCAAAGGTCTTGAGATTCAATTTCTCCATTTTTCAGTGCTTCTCGCTCCGCCTCACGCTCCGCCTCAGCAGCAGCAATAGCCATCTTGTAAATCGCTAGTGGAACATCAAACATCAGTGTTAGATGCCAGGGCAAACAGTGCGTTATTAGACTTATCGTCAAGCCACAATGAGCGAACTGCAGCTGTGCGTCGGTCGAGCTCCGTGGTGGGGTCGACGGAGCCCTCTAAAACACGAAGGAAGTGAAGGGCGCTTTCATAGTCATTCCTTTTCTGGAAACTTGCGAGAAGCCTCTTCAGCGGGTCGTACTCGCCCGAGTGCTCGTCGAGAAGATCCTTGTACATTGCGAGGGCCTGATCTTCGTGACCAGTCACTTCATACCACGGACGCCAGATGCTGCTTCGTAGCCATTACGATAATTCCACCAAGTCCTCCGGGTGGCGTCTGTTCTTTTTCAGCAGCCACCCGCTCAATTGTTGCATCGAGAATTTGAATGGCGGCGCAGAGTCTTTCTTCAATGCGTATGTCTTTGCCCGGTAGGCGATCGCATTGAAACAGAGGCTGCTGGGCGCGAACACCTGTGCTAGAGAGAAAAAAGGGAGAGCATCTTAGCCCACTATTCGACCCAATCGAGACGGGGCTGACTGGGATGTACCATGCTCGCGCCCTGCGCAACAATGCCCCCGATAACCTTCACAATGCCAGCGTCTTATCGATAACCGCCTTCCCTCTTTGTATCGGGCGTTCTTTTCGAGATCCTCCGCTTCCCGGACGCGGATCTGCTCGAGGACTTCCTCGATGGTGTAATTGGGCGCGGACGTCTGATCAACCTTGGTGGTCTGCGCGAACGAGCGGCACACACGCTCCCACGCCTCTTGGAGGTTGTACTCGTCATTGGGTTCGGAGATTGCGATCGGTTCGGAAATTGCGATCATTGTTGCTCGCGAGGTTCTGGGGTCGGGAAGACTCGACGGTCGGTGTTGAGCTCGAAGCTGGTCGCGCAGGTGGGGAAGATTCATTGAGAGCACTCATGTCGAGGGAGGAAGTCTGATGGTGGATTCTCTCATCCTCCGTGGTGTTTGTCTGTTGCGGGCCATTCCCCTCCACCCTTCGCCTTAGCTGAAAACGACGCGCGTTCTTGCCCGAAGCGTCATCCTAAGTAAGCGCTTCATTTGAGGGGATGACCGTGCTACTGCATGTGCAATCGAGTTGACGATGTTCATTTGACGCCACAGAATGGACGAAGAAGTTAAGCATTAGCCAAGAAGGAAATTGGTAGCGACGGGAGGGCATTGAGATTAAGTGGGACTCATGGTTGATGCGGAGAGATCCAATAAGGGGCTGAGAACGTAGGTATCAATCAACTCATTGAGAAGAGGAGGAGATTCTTCATGAGATGACGGTGATGTTGACTGAGAGAGAGCCCGAGTCCCGCGCATGCCACTATTTCCAAAAACGGCAGGCGCCGGCCACCGATCGCCTTGACCGCCCGTGCCTGGCCACGGCAGTATAATTTGTGCCTCAGGCATAAACATACTCAGCGTGCAGGACCATGAATAGATCGTCTCGAAGTGAATACTTATCGTACGAAATATGATGATGCGTAGATGTGCGTGAGTGAGGCTAAAATGTATGCGTGAGCATATGAACGAAGAATGTAGTGGTTCAGCTGTGCTACGATCCGGACTACTCATTGTGTTGGTACATATACGAGGACTGAAATGTGGGTTACTGTGCAATAATTACCAGCCTGGGCTTATAGGTACATCAACTCTTGAGGCACCTTCCCAGGCACCTGTCTAAGCAACAATCTAGAGACACAAACCAAGGCGATCAGCAAGAGTTACTGTCACTCTCAGTGCGTTCTAAATTGTTCTTTCGAGTACATGTACGAGCATTTCTTCGATGAAGCATTTACATCTTGGCCCACAGCCAGGGAATCTTGCATTCATTGCCGGAAAGGCCCTCCTCCCCTCTCACCCTCTGCTAGATGGCTAGGCGCACATTCAATTACATTCTGAAGGAGCTTCTTCAGCTGTATGATGCAGCGAGTAAATGAACTAAGAAGAGCCAGAGATACAGTCCATGAGCGTTCGTCACCCTGAGCAGGCCGTTACATAGTTGCCAAGAGGTAGCTTGGCATCTATCTCAAAGTCCTGGCGTCTGTGAAGCAGTAGACTGTGGCCAGTCCCGAATTAACTTTCTCGACAGATCCGAATCTCGTGCCGCATGTATCCTATACATGCGGAATAAAGCACTTGAACTCGGAAAAGATTTCCAGAGCCAATGAGCCAGGGCGGAAGATACTTTAACCTACGGGTGGTTCTGAATTTTTCATCGCCTGCGAGCGCATCGGCAACTGAATTGCCGTACGTACTCCTCAAAATTCTTTCTGGAGGAATTTGAGCAAAGGTCAAAGATCTACTGCACCTTCGTCGCCCAAGGAACGGAAAAAAGCAATGAACTGACATCATTCGCAACAACATAATCGCACCTGGCCGTGGTCAGTGGTCAGTGGTCAATGGTCAGAACTAGTCGGCAGTCGGCACGCATGGATGCCATTCCGTCATTGGAGATAGCCAAAACCCTATGCTCCTATGTGTAGTTAGCTGTGTAGTCTGTTATGTCGTTAAGCGCGGGAGATTTTACTGTTGATCCTTCGCCAGTTACCCCCTTCTAAGCGAGCCCGCAGCTCGGAAATATTTACCGGAAACTCCACTTCTTGCAGGGTGGATGAGATTGGAGTTTGGACTGTTGGGGAGGGCCCGCTGGAAGGTCTCAGGTTGGTGTGGGGCGGGGAGGGACCATTAATGAGGTGAAATATGTCACCTTTGCAGGTTTGTTAGAATCAGTCTTGGTGACACTTGGTGGGAATGATGTTTCCAGACTCATACATTACATACATACTATGTAAGTTAGTAGACACCCACAGTCAATCCGCTATGAGTAAGTGTATTAAGGGTTATCTCGGCTGAGGTAATCCGAAGGACGGGCGGGCGATCGCAGCAGGTTGATCTACGTTGACCTCATCTGGTCACAATTTCGACACGGGGTGGGTGAAATATGTATGTCGGGTTTGGAGTAAAGTCCAAGTTTGGGGCTACGTAGTCGAGAGAGAGCTTTACAGTCTCCGTAGTTAGCTACTACTTCCCAAGTTCTGCAGCAAGCCTATCAGGATTGCCGGAGTTCCCCCATGTTCGGCCGGTTCAGCTTGGTTGTTGACCGGATCGCAGATTATGATTATGAATGCTGATGTGGTAAGCTGTAGAGCACTTGATGGGAATCTCTGTAGCACCTCGACAATCCAAGATTCTCAGATGACTCAATCAGAGCTGTGTGCAGCAGAGAACGGCGACTGACCCAGATAAATGTGTCAAGCCTGTCCCTCCACCAAAACATCGAAAGTAAACACCCCACCTCCGAGGTCGGGGTCACTTGAATTCCACCCCGAAGTCAGTTGTCTGCGAATGATCCCCGCCAACAGCAACCCATCAACCGGGAATAAAGTACGGTCGGTACTCGGTAGAATCCCCCCCATCGATTGATCTGATTGTGATGCATGTGCGGCCACCATGCAGTGGCCACTGCGAAAGACCTTGTTTTGTGGCCAGCAACAATCCCCCGTCCAGCCCTGGTGGAATCTGGATTTTGATGCGAGTAGAACCGTGGTAGCCGGTCTGCACTACAGGTTCCTCTCGAGAGTAATCAAAAACTACCCTCCTCGAGCATAAGTACTGATCATAAACCCCATGCGATGAATCAGTCCGAAAGTCAGATTCAAAGCTGTGCTCCTGCCATGGAAAGAAACTCTGTGATACATAGAACCCCCGGGGATTCCCCCCCTTACAAAGCTAATCTCGATCTGATGTGAGTAAGATGAGGCATCCAGGGTATTTGGGAGGGTGTGACGGAGATCCGCGAATCACAGGCACGGAAGGGATGATTCATCACATCCCAAGCCACCAAGTCCGATCGCGGAAACTGCCAAGACCCACCGCCAGGAAGGAAAAACTGCATCTTCCCCCCACCCGGATATCGAATCCGTGATTTATAGGTCTCTTATTGAAGGGCGGAAGGGGTGCTGTGGGAGCTGACACCGCCAAAAACGCCTCCACTAGCTAGTCTCCCTGAAAATACGAATCGTGCATGTTTGACTCGAGTAGAAGTGAGCAAGAAGTAGGTGGGCTACAGACCGGCGGGGTATGAGGACGGAGAGCAAAGACGCAAAGGCGCAAAGGCAACACGAAAGGGAAAAAGGAAAAAAAAATTGCTCACATGCCCCTGAATGTGGTTCGACTTTCGAGAACTATGGAAAGAAGTGGAACCCATCGACTCGAGGTCCAGGAAGATAGTCCCGAGGGCCAAAGGCTTTTTCACTGCTACCCTACGTCACCGGAGGTGCTGGGAGGAGCCCTGAGGTGTTTTTCCGGTAGCGAGCATTCTGGGTTGGTTTCTGTCGGCTTTATTCGGCTCAACCCGAGGGGAAGGAGGTTCTACTAGTCAAAGAGTGAAGGAGGGTCTTCACCCACAACCGTCTTTCTCCCTTCATAGCACTGCAGAAATAGTAAACAAAAACCTGGAATTGAGAATCATCTTAATTCCTGGTAATCCGGTTTAGATGGGTGAGCTGAGCTTGGTCAGACGTACAGGTCCAAAACCACAAACAAAGAAAAAGCCAAGTCAACTGGGTGGAAAATGCACCGACCGAGGGTCGAGGCCCTGGGAGCCCCAAGCGGCCGGCAAAGTTACTTGCCTTGCCTTGAGCAGCCAACAACTAGTCTAGGGGAGGGAAAGTGAGGTGGAGACGGTGGAATGCAGTGGACTCGAGTGACCTCCAGTCGCCTGTCTATTTAAACCTGTTTGGTGGTTGGCTGCAAGGGAGCCCTAACCCACTACGTCACCATCTTTCACTTCCCTCTCAGCCCAGAAGGTAAAGGAATGAAGGGCTTGGCTGCTGCTACCACTGCTGCTGCTACTGCTGCTACTGCTGCCGCTGAGCAAAGTACGGAAATAATCACTTGATGAGTTCCCGTTTGCACTCAGCCTATTCTACAAAAAGTAGACCTTAGTGCCCACCTTCTGCTGTTGGTGGGCTTTTCTTATCTACCTGACTCTTACTTCCAACCGGTTTACCCCATAATTTCCCACCCTTCGCCTACACATCTACGTCTACTACACGATCGATCTCCCCCTCCCGATCGGCCGTGATGGAAATCTCTCGAGTCCTGAATTACATTGACGAAGCGCCCAAATGGGTGGGAATGGGGGGCACGGACGACATCAGACAACTACCAAGACAACAACCAGAACCCCAGCCATCGCCTGAACGACAAAGCCAACCGTCCGAAGAACCCTCCCCGCTCCCCCTTGCCCTTCCCTTCCCCCGATCGACCATCACCACCACAACCTCAACCACAACCACCACCACCACCACCCCGAACTCAACCTCACATACCATAATCCGCAACAAGAAACCCATCCCGCGACAGGCGGGACGCGGATACGCCCCGAAAAGCCGAGCCGCGCTGGCGTGCAACTCGTGTCGACAGGGGAAATTCAAGTGCACCGGCGAGAAGAACCAATGCCAGCGGTGTGCCATGTTGGGCAAGCAATGCTGGTACCCGGCCCATAAGCGCGAGCGGATTCAGAGGTAGTGATGATCCCGTCCCTCTTTGATTATGATTCGGATATATCTAGAACATGGACATCGCGGTTAACATTCGGGGTTGGCATTGACAGGGAGATGGATCAACTGGTCACGGAGGCGAATGAGTATCGATTAATGCTGGAGTTGCTGCTTTCACGGGTCAATAAAGAAGATGCGGAGGATATCTCCGCCCTGCTGTTCAAGGTAACTACTGGTTACTTGTTCTTTTTATTTCTCCTTTACTTGCTGGCGTGGACTAATATTGGAACTATGGTTGAAGTACGAAAAGTAGGGGTGATGGGACGTCAAGTTGACTTGACCTTTGCACCTCTCGACAAACAATTACTCGACGACTGGATCGGCGAATCTTCCGACAGCTCTGGAGAAAACATAGGCGAAAATCCATGCCAACACCCAGGGAGCTCAGCCTGTCCACAAAACAGGACGGCATTCTACTCGCTCCGATTGCCAGCGCAAGACCCTCACGCAATTGCTCTTTCGTCGCACGGCAGGCTTTCGTGGCGCAGCCAGGGAGGAAGATCCTGGAATGGTAGATTTTAGACCTACTCAGCGGCGATTTGTCTTTCTTTTTCCTTGTCTTTTTTTGTTCTTTCTTTTTGTTTCTTTTTGTATTCCAGATAGAGATACCCTTCCGATAAGGAACACACCAATCAGGCCCGAACAAGTACAGTACAGGATAGCAGAGAGCCAGCCGGATAGGATAGTCTCTCCGATAACATCTATTTCGCATACCACCGGAGACAACCTAAAAGAAGCTTATTAGCCCACCCTCCGATCTCCACTTGCTGCAGAAATCCTGATTTCAGATCCCCTAGCAGATGGTGCCCCACGCTCGTCAGCCGTAGCTTTTGCTGGACAGTAGATAAGCGCATTGCCAAGAGCACGGCTCGATGATCCGGGCTATCCTAAGCGACAGCCGTGGAGTAGGTCTGGGGCTGTGGTAACAGGCACGATGAGATAGCTGTATTGCCACAGAGTTATACCTGTCGTCGAGCATGTCTCTCAATCGAAGACAGTACAGTACAGTCGTCAATTAGCGCACAATCGGTTCATTTTGCAACATCCTGGCGACCACTATTCTCTGTACACTATATCGTGCCATTAGAGATTGGCAAGCTGAATAGCTTCCTTTCCCGCTACGTCCGTATTCTTGCACTCCTTCTGCTGAGGAGTGCGGAATCACTGCCGATGAGGTCCATGATCACCACACCGCCAGCGACATGGTTTCAACCCTCGGCTCACTGCCCGTCAACGTGGTTAGATGGTTTCGTATAGCTTGAATTCAGCAACGTTCCACACTCTTCATAACACATACTCCACATTCGGGCATTTGACTGGAATTGCTTTAAGCATTTCCTATATGCTTAATATCATATATTGAGACCACATCTAGAGTATCTCACCCCGCGCCGCCCTTTCCCTAACAGCATCCGTTCAGCATACCCTACAAAGTGTAAATAAAATCCGGCCTCTTATCCCCCAACACCTCCACCTCCTCAGTCCCCAACCCCTCCAACCGATGATCCCGCTCCCCGCGCAGCCGCCGTCGATTCTCCTTCCTTAACAGAACATACTGCGTCATCGACCCGCCAAACAGGAACACCACCAGATACCCCAGCACGACGCCGTGTCCTGGATAGAACCGCGGGGCGTCCTCGCTGCGGTAGATATTCGACGAGACGATGCCGTTCAGATTGCCCCAGCCGATCATCAGCCCGAGCGTGATACCGCGTTTGTAGACTCCTAGTGTTTATTTAACGTTCCAATTAGCCGACACGGTATGGCAGAGGGTGAAGCGGGGAGGAGGGGGCTGCTGGATATAATGTCGTGCTCGTGCGGATGACGGGACTCACCTTCAACATTATTGCTGACCCAGGAGATCGTGTTAGCGATGCAGGGGTAAATGCCCATGGCGCCGAGGAAGACACCGGCGTACTGCACCCCGGGGGTTTTCGAGCCCAGCAGCATACAGAATCCGGTGATGCCGATCAGCGACACGCCGATGTTGCACAGGCCGCGTTGGCGGGTGCGGTCGGCAAGGTAGCCGATGCTCACGGTCAGGATAGCGGCGCAGGCGTACGGAGGGACGCTGAGGAGCTGGGCGCGGGTGGAGGAGTAGCCTTTCTTTTGTCAGTTCCCAACAGCTAAAGCTAGTGAGTAGGTGAAGAAGGATGAAATACCCTACATTCCAGCGTTAGCACCACCATAACCCGCTGCAGGAGGATACACTCACCAGTTGATTAATGATAGTCGGTATGAACAGCGAAAACGCGTACAACGCCCCATCGGCGCCCATATAGATCACACACCCCAACCACGTCTTCGAATCCTTCAGACTGGCCCAGATGTACGCCGTCTTGAACTCGTGCTCGCCCAACCCACTCGCCTGCTTATCCGCGGCCAACCGCCGCAGCACCCGCTTGCGCTCGTCCGCGCTCAGGAACGCCGCGCGGTCCGGGAAGTCGTAGACGAGCCAGTACGAGAGCACCCCGATTACGACGGTCGCCAGCCCCTCCAGGATAAAGATCCACGCCCACCCTTGCTTGCCGCCCACACCGTCCATCTTGGCGATCGCGGCCGCCAGCAGCCCGCCGAAGGAGCCGGCCAGCGCCGCGGCGGAGAAGAAGATCGCCATGCGGATGCCGAACTCGGAGCGTTTGTACCAGCACGACAGGTAGTAGCTGATGCCCGGGAAGAGGCCCGCCTCCGCGAGGCCCAGGAACCATCGCGCCGTGATGAGCCCGCCGTAGTTGTGCACCAGGCCCATGGTTGTCATGCAGATGCCCTGTCGGTCAGAGCATACATTAGTTACTGGTTGGTTGCATTCGCATCCCTACCTCGAAAGGGTCGTTGATGTCATCAACTGCCACGGGAGACGTACCCAAAGCACAATGATCGTCGGAATGAACAAGCTCGGTCGCGTCCGTTTCAGGAGGACATTAGTCAGGGGCTCGAAGACGGAGTAAGAGACGAAGAACACGGTCAGCGAGGCGTTGTACTGCGCATTGCTCATGTTCAGTGCCTGCTGCAGTCCGTCCAGCTTGGCGTTGCCGATGTTGGTGCGGTCCAGGAACGAGGCCAGGTAGAGTAACGAGAGCCACGGGATGAGGCGCAGGTCGAGCTTGCGGAGTAGACGGCGGTCCTGAAGGTGTGGAGGTCAATTGCACGTTCTCAACTGCAAGCACGATACATACGATATTGGCTTTCTCTGCCTCGCTCAGACCAGCGTCCGGATCGTCAATCTCGTGCAGGTGTTCAGCGGTGGGTTTGGAGATCTCCGGGTCGTGAAACCCGGGGTCTTTCTCGTCGGGAGCTGGACGTTGGGCGCCCATTTCTTTGGAGTCCATTGAATTGAGACGGGGGGTTGTAGAGGGAGTGAGGTGGTTTGCGTGCGACAAGGTTGCGAAAGAGAGAGAGCAGGGAAAGAGGCAAAAAGAAGGACAGCTGGACGTAATCTTGCGCGGAGTCAAGCTACCCCGTACGGTTGGGAAGCGATCATCTCGGGGTAATACCGTGCGGGGGCTGAGTAATCCTTGCCAATGATCTACTGGTCCCTTGCGTCTTCTGCTTTTTCATGGGTTGGGGAGAATCATTGCTGCTTTCATTCATTGCCGCCCAATAAACTTCTGCAGCTCATTTTTCAGCCTCGTCATACGGAGACAGATACGGCAGTGATTGGAATGCAATCCACAAATGCTTCTTCTTCTGCTGCTTCTACTTTTTCTTTTCTTGTTCCTTGCTTCAACCATGGATACACCAGCATCCCCCCGCTGCCCCTCCAACAAACACGAGGTTGTCGGCGACTTCCCCGCATTTTGAAAGCCGAACCGATCAGCATTTGCCGCTGCCAAGAGATAAGCATCTTGGCGAAATCCCCCGCATCTCATCACCATGAAGCCATTTCTCAGCTGGCCAGTGACTCAGGTGACGAGTGATGAGTTTCGCTTAATGAACATCTGTGGGAGCAGAAGAGAGGGTTCTGATTCCAACGTGATGAGATTGCGACGGCCGCTGCAGGTACCACAGGTACGCAAGGGGCGTAGGTCGTGTCAGGTACCAGGGGTTGTGTGCACCCTGCCAAGCTCGGTGAATCCCAGGTAGAGGTCTGCTGAGTCTTCACTTACTGGGTAAGTTAGACCTTGATTGCTTAACTTCACACCGACTTTTGGTGGGGTTGACGATTTGCGCCTGAGGCCCCAAGGCTTGAGGGGTCAAGCTTTAAGCTTAGGGGCACGTGATTCGCCCACTATTGCTGGTGGCCGGTTGCCAGTTTAACATGAGTTAGTTATTGCGCTGCTGCTTAACAGAGAAGAAAATCTAAAATGGCAGCACCTACGGCACGTCACCCGTGCCAGTTGACATCCGAAACTGGCGCGAGTCAACGAAGACATCATTCTCGGTTTAGCGAGCACATCTCTTCAAGCAGACACCAATCAATCACAATCCCAAGCACTTACAAAACAAATCTCACTCATCACCATCCATAAATTACTTCATGAACCCATTAAATCTTAAATCTTCAACATAGATCAATCGCATCAAACCAAAAAAAGCGTCATTGACATCGCACCAATAAACCCCCACTCTTCACCACCTCCACCTCAACATCAATTATCATTACACTAAAACAGAAAAATAATTTTAACGCGCCTCCTCATCCGCCACCCCCTTCGCTTCCCAAGCCTGATGCGACGGCGATGGCGACTGACCCTCGCCCTTCCCCTGCAACTTAGCCGCAACCCCCCCATCCAACCTTGTATCCACCTCCCGGGAGAACAGCGACGCGATGATCGACAAACCACCGAACGCAATGCTCACGCAGAAGACCGTGCGGAACGACATCGCGTACGCCGTCTTCTCCGCGTCCGCGACCGCGGCGAGGATCTTGGTCGTCATGCCGGGCACGGCCTCCAGGGCGGCGCTGGTGCCGGCGGCGACCGCCTCGAGGAGGTCGGTGAGGGAGGACGAGGGGAGGCCGGCCTTGGTGGCGGCGTGCGTGACGGTCGTGGGTAGGTTGGCGGTGATCCGGTTTTGGAGGATGGCGACGTAGATGGCCGCTTTGGTGCGTTAGTTATAGATTTAGACTTGGGGGGTTGTGGTGGGGTACCGGGAAGGAGGGCATGGGCAAGGGAACACTCACTGGCGATAGTGCCGAAGATCTGCTTGGCGGAGCCGAGGAAGCCGCTGGCTAGACCGATGTCCTCCGGTTTGCAGTACAGGGGGCACATGATCAGGGTGATTAGTTCGAGGTAGCCGACTGCGAAGCCGCCGATTGCGGTGAACTGATGGTTGCGTTAGTGGGGCTGCACTGTGTGGTAGAGGTGGGTATCTGAGATGAGGGGAAAGGTGTGGAGACAAAGGAGGTACGTACAGCAATGCCATATGCCTGGTGGTGCTGGTTGATCGCCGCCAGGGCACCGGAGAACGCAGTGATGATCACGGTGGACGCGATGAGCTGGTACTTGGTGAAGCCGAGGGGCTTCATGAGAATCCCGGCGGCGATTTCACCGACGATGACGCCGACTCCAGTGGTGATCTGCAGCGCTCGTTAGCGATCGCACTAGCTAATATACAAGAACACCGAACTTACGGAAAGCCAGCCAGCTTTGATGGTGTTGGTGGTGAAGAGGTAGAGGACGGCCTCGGGCCACAGGAGACTGTCGTTTCGGTTAGGGCTGAAGGCACGACGGCATTGACGGATGCTCGCGCGCTTACCTCATGGAGAAGTAGACCATGTTGCCGACCAGGGCAGAACACACAGTCGCCGCGTAGCCGGGGTTGCGCAGCAGCGACATGGGGAGCAGGGGCTGCTCCAGGGGTGCGTAGATTTCTGCGGTCGTGTCAGTACCTGCGTGCGTGCTTGGGTGGCTGCACATGCAAAGGACATACCGTAGAGAACAAAGACGATGATCGACACGAAGCCGACGACCAGCACGGCAACGACGTGGGCAGAGGACCACGCATACGAGGTACCACCCCAGGCTATCTACTCGTCAGCTGTGTCAAAGACAATGAACCAGACAGCACATACAGAGTCCCAACAGCACCAGAACAACACCAGCGGCGTAGAGCACGAACCCGATCCAGTCGAACTTCTTCAGACCGTCGAGGCGGCTCTGCCCGCCGCGCTTCTGATCCCAACCAGGGGGGAAGTAGAAGAGCACCAGCAGGATGATCGACAGGCCACAGGTGATCATGTTCAGGTAATACGTCCAGCGCCACGAGGCGGCGGTGTGAGCGACGAAGTCGCTGGCAATGATGGATCCGAAGGCGGAAAAGGGGAGGGTGGTGATGAAGATGCTAGCGTTGACCGCAGGACGAGCGCGGTTAGGCACCAGCTCAGCAATCACAAAGGTGAAGGTCAACTGCACTGCAGCAGCCAGACCGCACAGCACACTTCCGCCGATCACGGTCGGGACATTCTTTGCGGTCGCGCAGACAATCGCCCCAACGAGTCCCAGCAGCTGGCCGCCGATAAGGATGTACCGACGACCGAAGATATCGCCCAGACGGCCGACCAGCAGCAATCCGACCTAAACACACGACCATCAGTATGAAGGATGGCACCCAGGCAGAAAAAGGATTGACGAACTCCGGAGATTAACGTAAAGACCGTTGAGATCATGCTATAGTTGGGGTCCGGCCCTGTGCGCGCAAGGAGGGACGATCAGCGGATGCCACTCAGATCGGCCCCGTTCAGGGGGGCGATGGAGAATTACCGAGATCTTGGTTGATCGCAGTCAAGCTGTTGACCTATCTGCGAGTCAGCAAGCCAGAATTGAATCAAGTACGCAGAGAAACGCACTGGCAAGACATATCCCAGGTACAGACTGATGGCCATCAAACAAACGGCAACCACCGAGCCGATGAAGTTGGGGCTGCGGTAGTATCCCGTCGGCAGCTGGTCCAGGTCGACACTCTTGGACTGGATGGAGCCCTCGACGGGCTGGGGAGTCTTCTCGTCCGCCATGGTGCACCTCAAGATCAAAGGCTGGGATCCTTCAACAGAGAAGAAGTCGCAGGCACGGAGGTGTGAAGTGGGTAAAAACGGAAGAGAGGTTCCTGAGCTGCAGGAAATGCAGATAGTTAAAGTAGACCCAGCATGGCCATATGCAGGGCGGAGGCGACAGCCACGAGGCGAAAAGGCGCTAGAAAGTCATCAAACCGGACTGAAGTGTCAAACCATCTCATTTCCGTAGTCTAGATTACCACTACGACTGGAGCTATGAGAGACTACTGGCACGCGAAACTGGTAGGCACGGCCAATGAGCCATGTACGGCATACCAAGACTCAACATGCAATGCCTAGTCTGGCCTGTGAGTAGAAGATACGTACCTGGGTGGTGTGTGGGTGGGGAATCAGGATAAGAGAGGGGGCAATAGTCATGAAAAGAGAGGGGAAGAAGACGGCCGCTTAGGGTTCGTTCATCTTGACAACAAGTCGGCGACGGTCCTTGCGCGATATTGGGAAGGGCCCGCAGTAGTTCAGGTGGAGCCGGAGTCGGCGAATGACTTAACCCAACATCAGCCAATCCAGTCGCCCCACGATCGATCTAGAGTGCTCTGTTTTGGATTTGTTGCATGCCATGGAGGGGAAATGAGCAAATAAGAAATTCAGCAAGGCAAACACAAAAGGAATAATGAAAAATTATCACTTGTTCTGCAGCTCGGAACGGCAATTTACAGAGATTCCACGTGTGGCTGGCTCGTTTGCAGAACCGACGGAGGCGAGGAACTGACTAGTAGGCAAGTACCGACTCGAGGTTTTCCCACACCATTGAATGAGTTCTTTTGTCATCGTGACTGGGCCGAAGGAAGGACTGCCTTCGCCGAGATTGCGGTATAGTCCCGGAGAATAAGGGTAGTGGCAAAAGACCCTCCTTGTAATTCCGTCCACCCCTGGGCATAATAACTAAGATAGAAAGGCCAAGAAGGACGTCTTCACTGCCTTGTTACTACTACATGCTTCATGTAGGCCCTTAGTTTCGATCTTTTCGCGTCTGCTTCTGCTCGTCTCTTGCCCAGCACGACCGGTTGTCATGGACGATTTGATCTTCAGAGAGCAATCTTCGTCCGATTCATCGGTCAACCTCAATGCCTCAGCAGTTCCGTCGATCATCGTCTGCAACACGGTGCTCATCGTGATTGCGACAATTGGGGTGCTGGTGCGTGTATTCGTGCGGACCCAATATCTTTCCGGACTTGGGGCAGATGACTATCTGTGTATAGTGAGCTGGGTAGGTCTCCCGGCTATGATACGAGGGATCGGTGCTCGAGACTAATCCAGTGGTTTGTTATCTAGGTGTTTACACTCGCACTATGCATCCTGTGTATATTGAGTGCGTTATTCTCTATTCTGCCTCCACATCATCCAGAAGAGGGTACTGATACTTGGAATGTAGTGACCAACTATGGCTTTGGAAAACACATCGGGACAATCCACGACACTGAAACCCTGGATATGTTCCTCAAGGTCTGCAGATACTGATCCCTGATACATGTAGAGCATGCACTAATGTGATCATCGAATTCTAGCTGGACTTCGCCACCATGATCGCCTACCTAATCGCCCTGGGCACCGTCAAATGCTCCTTCTGTATCCTGTACCTCCAGATCTTTCCAGGCAAAACCTTCCGCATTATCTGCTGGTGCCTGGCAGCCCTGCTCGTGGCCGAAACAACCGAGGAGTGTCTGGTGGTGGTGTTCCAATGCACGCCCATCCATAAAGCCTGGGATTCGCAGGGCGTGGTCAAGGGGAAATGTCTCTCTCTGACGGCATTCTACTACATCTCATTTGGAATCCGTCTGGCGACCGACCTGGCTATTTTCGCCCTCCCGATTCCCAAACTGGTGCGGCTGAATATGACCCGCGGTAAACGCGCGGGGTTGGTGTTCATGTTTGGGCTGGGAGTTCTGTACGAAGCTCCTGTTCCCCGCCACGCTCTCAAAGCCTGCTAATCAAAGCTGCAGGGTCTCCGTGACGAGTATCATCCGGGCGACTTATATCAGTAACTTCTCGCTGGACCACACGTGTAAGTGTGCCCCCCCTGGGTCATCCACTTTTGATTGACATGCATCTAATGTGCGAGGGTAGGGACGCTGGTGAACCCACTCAACTGGTCCAGTGTGGAGGTGGCGGTGGCCATCTTCATCGCGTGCATTCCTAGTTTCAAGAGTCTCATCTCCTTCCGATTCCCCGCCCTGCAGCGTCTGCTCGGTCTCTCCAGCAAGGGCGACTCGACGGGTCGATCGCGCATGTACGGCACCTCGGGCCGTCGCACCACGCATGGACGGTCGCTGGCGCATCAGAGCATCAAGCTGGATACAGTGACGGGCCAGAGTCGGGCGGACATCGAGGCCAGCTTGAATGGGTCGGAAGAGCGCATCTTCCCGGTGCACGCGGGCATCCAGATCACGACGCATGTCAGCGTAAACCAGAGTGATTGAGGCTCACTCCCCTGCTTACCCACATACACTCAAACATAATTTTCCTTTGTTCCCACCGTGTCTCTATGAGATCTTTGCTCTTATGACCATAATGCCACGCCTATCTTGCTGCTATGCCCCGGAAGAGCGGCAGATCCTTTACCCAACTCGGTTCTGGATCGGAAACATACGAGTAGCATCGGAAGGGGGTTGAAGGCCGTCCGGGCTCTTTACCCGTTCTGACTGTCTCCATGATCCAGTCTAATTAGCTTCCTTAGTTGGTGGGTTTGATGCATCGTAGGGTTGAGTAGAGTGGGTGGATGGGTAAGCTAATCTAAGCTTATGCCAAGAGACGGCTGTATTTGGGACAAGAAGGGATGGCCCGTCTCTTGTTCATATGCAGTCTCTAATAGGTGGGAAGGATGAAAACATGAGCTAATATATTTGGTCCTGCCGACCAAGCCCCTGATGTGGCCGGGTGTCTTACTTGGACGCGCAAGCCATCGATGGTTAGCCTTGAGGGCTTGACGTTGGACGGCTGGGGGTGACCAGCACACTGTCCGGTCTCTCTGCGTGTTGATAACCTCGCATGAGGATGTCCGGCATGATTGGGCATTCCAAGCGTACTGCATATTCTTGCATTCTTGGGTTTTTTTGTCGTCTGCTTCATCAGGGAGAAAAAAAAAAAACATGCGACACTAAGACTGCAGCGCAGCGCTAGTCCCAGGCGGAAGAAATAATGTCGGCGACTATAAAATGTGTGGCCATGGATAGGGTCGACGGCCCGCCGGGTGGAAATTAGTCCAAGGGCGGCGGCTCCACTCACTCCATCCCACCAACCCATCAGATTCTTTTTCACCCGCTCCATAATTGCAGGAATGTACCATCGATGGTTTGATGCAAGTTGGGAGTCTGTCCCTTCAGCCCTTTTGTTTTGCGGATGAAGCACTTCTTACCTCGGATACCCTCCGCGTTGGTGATTTACCGACACACACCAAGATGATTGGTTCTGCTGCAGTCCATACTGTAATTTCTCTGCTGTATGTTTCAGACACCTAGCACGTTATTGTTCTGGCTTGGCCAGGGCTACATTCGTGACTGGCGACACACACCATTGCAATCGGTCGGCTGTCGTTCGGTGTTTTCTCTAGCCCGACCGGCCAGGGTATTATCCTCAGATACGCCGCGCTATCACTATAGCCTATACACCCCTGTCTAGAAAGGCAATAAGATGCTTATTGCCCATAGACTAGGAAGAAGACTCATTTATTTATACTGACTATCCTAACTGTCGGAATTGTGTGAAGAATCTCAAACCGAGTCCCCAAGCCCAGCCGAGAAATCTTATCTTGCGCCACTAAAAGAGGGATGACACCCGGAACCCTAGACGCCTAAAGTCAGCAACGCAACTTCAACGACCACCCTTCGGCGGGTTAGACGAAAGACGAAAAAGATCAGAAAATTTTTGAGTATGCCCACAGCGGCACTACCACATCGGACCCGAACTTTCGACCGATCGCGTTATCCACCCAACGCAGCCAGGTCCGTTCTTTTCGGGGGATTTCTGGACTCATCCGCGGTAATGGCCGCCCGTCCGCTGGGCTCCACTGCAAATTGCCTGACGCGAGTGGACGGTGGCGGATGGCCGAGCGGTGGTGGTTTTGTGTGGTCACAACTCCGTAAGGTGGTAGACTTCTTCGTTCGCGGGCTAAACTACTGCGTCGACAGTCGATAGTCTCAATTAAGCACGGCAATTTGCATCCATCTAGCATTCGTTATCTGACTCGGACGAGCAGCGGAAGGAGAATGGATCGGAATTAGCCGGCGAGATTCTCGAATATCCTGCAGACTTATGCCCATCGCTCCTTGCATAGTGACGGAATAACCAGCGCGGCAGACCCCTGAATGCCATGCGTGGCATGCATGAGCCGACTCCATAATGTAAGGACCACAGCAGTTCCCGCCGCAGAGACTAGACTTCCTCTCCCTAAAAGTTTCCTCTCACTCAACCACACTAAACACACGTAGCCCATCATCATGCAGGAACAGCACCAAGACACCAATCAGGGCCACCACGCGGTCGTCTTCGGGTGCTCTGGCATCAACGGCTGGGCGCTGGTCAACCAGCTACTCTCCGACTACCCAGCGCCCGGGACGTTCAGCAGGGTGACCGCCGTTGCGAACCGTGCGTTCAGTCCGGCAGAGGCCCAATGGCCCTCC